ACACACACACACCTATAGTTACTCAGGCCTTATTCATATTCTGATGAAGATAAGCACCGTGCGAGTAAACTGTCTTCGCCTAAAACACAGCGCAATGACCTTGCCATGTTTCTTGAGAGTCCCCGTAACTTTATTAACGGACCCGAAGCAAATAAACATAGACTGAATAATTTTCAAATTTATTGAAACTCCCATCTTGAATGAAACAGAAGAGCCTAACGAGCCAGTTAAGTTAACTGCATCTTAAAGAGACGGCACTCAGCTGCATATATTAACCATGCACTGATCCACTGTAACATATTTTGTCAATTCTTCTGCTTTTATTATAAAACGGCTTGCTAAATTACAATGTTGTGAATATCTTTTCTTGTACACATGATTTACGTCATTTTGGGCGCTGGAGTAAATTTTTTTTAGTGTGCGAAAGACGTGAGCGGCAAAACTTGATGTTATAACTTGCATAATTACACGTTTCCAATAAAAAATAATGGTGCCATTATTTTCTCTTGACATTTCCAAGATGCTACCTGGGCGAGAAATGTGTAAAGATTACTTGTTTTTGATAAGGGTACTTCTAACTAAATTTGCATCTTTTAGAGCCTCCTGTCACGGTTCCCTAATCTAGAAATAAAGTTAACGTGTAAAATTTGCATGGAAATGTTTGTAGAGCAGCTCTAAATGACATATGTCAAACTGTCATATTTTCACTAATTTTTTTATAATAGGTCATTTTGAATACATTAGATTTCTACCATGACTCCGACTCAGCCAGCCTTCAACCTTGATGTAATCTCTTTTGTTTATTCCCCCAAACCTCGGAGCCAAGTTTGAATTTTAATGCATCGAAAATGGCTTATTCCATCACTTGGAATATTAATCGTTGACATCATCATTTTTCAGCAAACATCTGGATGGGACTGTTTATTCCTTAGTGTCAGTTCACCATCTGTTGCTGCTTCTTTTGTCGAATATTGTCATGTCCATTCCTTCAAATATCGAGTTGATATCTGCGTCTTTTGTCACCACGTAATGTCCTCTTCGATCTACGAATTCAACAAGAAAATTTTACACCTCGTCAGAAAAAAGGGCCGCTAACTAGTGAACATATAAAAGAAGATCTTGTTGCAATGATTAGATCATCCCCGATAAAGGCACTAGACCGGCAGGAGTTTCGAAACGTTGGGTCCATTAATTGTAACTTCTCGGTTACATTTATTAAATGTTTAAACCAGAGTAGGATCAAACCAAGTATGATTGTCCACTTGGTTACTTTGTAAACTTTAAGAACGCTTTGAATTAAAGAAAGGAAGGTTTTAAGTTGCTAATTGATCAATTTTCTGAAACAATTCTATGAAAATCCGTTAAGGAGGTACAATTTAGACAAACCAGGCGTGGTCCCTCAGCAAAGATCATGTTTTTTTGTTTCAATATAATCAGGAGATTCACTTTTGGTGTCTAAAGAGTTCAACAATTTAACATTGAACTGCATTACAGTTTTGTCACACGAGATTCACTTACTTGCTGCTAACTCCGTTAGTCTTCTAAACTCTTTGAAGTTAAAGGTAAAATGAAGAAAGGCAAAATGTATTAATCTCCTTTTCTTGCTCAATCTAAATAACTCAGCTTAATACAAAATAACTCTTTGTTTCTCTATCTATCTTGCGCCAATCCAGGCTTAGCGTAAAAATTGTATTCAGTTTTAAGCTTATCTGATTGATTCCCTGTTTATTTCTGTTTCGTTAAATTTTTCTTCATACCATGACCACAATCCGAAAGACGCGGTCCTTTTACATGTTATTAGTAGTGGCGGATCCCAGACGTTGAGCCAAGGGGGGATAGCTCGGTTGTGTGTGTTTGTACACCTGCCGGATTTTCGTCCCTCTGCGTTTATTTTTACCCAAGATAAGGGGGGTCCTGGCCCCTCCCCTACATCCGCCACTGATTAGTATATATCCCTCGAGTAAATGGTGCTTTACACGCGCACTGATTGGCTAGTTCGGAAGTGAATAGCTAATACAACTCACCTCCGAGCAGCGGACGAGACAAAATCGCGTTTTAGGAGTTTAAATTCCCACCAATTTTCGGGATATTGAAATAGATTAATTTAATAAATTCTTTTGCAACTGTGTGGTATAAACTAAAACAATTATTCACCAAAGTATCGTTGAAAGTGGTTGATATTTACCTCGCCCCTTTGCAGATCGGTAAATATCCACTACTATTTACCTCCACTTTTTTGGATAATTGTTAATCATATGTGAGAAATAAAATCAAAGTTTAGCTTTTAGTCTCGCATTAGTGCCAACCGCCTTTCGGATAACCCACCCCAGAAACGAATGTTTTTAGGTGGAACAAACACATTTGGATATGGATGAAAGCGATCCTCGCAGTAATGAATCCTACTTAAAGAACCACTACATCATAAGTAGGGTTCATTACTGCGAGGATCGCTTTCACATATTTCATGAAACTGCATATATGATTTTCATATGTTCGAATACATTTGGGTATGATACGAAATGAAGAGAGAAAAAATGAAAAAATGGAATTTCACTTTCCTACTTTCTCCCCATTTTGTTCTATAGAAATGAGAGAAAGAGGGATGCTGGGCAATTATCACACGTTTCTCTTTTGGAAAAATAGTCATGCTGTGTCCACTTTTCCTAAAAGTAGAGGAACCTAGGATCAAGCTTAGAAAATGCTGCAAAACTAAGACGCCAAGAATCCGCTTTTTAGAGTCAAAATAGATCGAGGAAACAGAGTTAATGCACCACTTTCATAAATGGCTGCCGGATTGATATTCTTTTGTTTAAATTCAAATTAGCCTCACTAGCCTCGCTTGAGATAATGTATTCTTTTGAATTTTAAACTGGAGAACGAGGCCAGAAAGGCTAATTTAAATTTAAACAAAAGAATATCAATCCGGCAGCCATTTATGAAAGTGGTCAATGAGATTGATTGTAACTGTCACTCTTTAAAAAAGAAAACCAAGCGTTGTCAACTAAAGTAGGTGGAAATATGTCCCGATGTTAATTAGAACCTTAAAACTCCGCACATGGCTCGTGTATTATCACATGGAGAACATTTACCTGTGTCTTGATTACCACTGCGTTCTCTCCTGAACTCCTTAATCTGTTCGATATGTTTTCGTCGTAAAGCAAGATACCTTCGTCGAAAGGATGCATAAAACTCGGCGATATCTTGTTTCAGCTGTTCCATCAATTCCTGACGGGTTATTCGTGATTTGCTTGACCCGTCGACGACCACTATTTGTTCGGCTGACAACGCAATGTCACGAAATTAGAATCACTGTAGACTGAACACCATCACCATTGCCTTTCCATCCTTATCAATGAACCAGTCATTAATTTATCGATCGTCGGCGGAAGGGGACAAGGGGCGTCAAAAGATTTTTTTAGGGGGGAGATCATATGTTGGAAAAAAGGGGGGATCAGTCATCGGTAACAGAGCTGAAAGGGGCGAGACTATAGAAAACTGACTGCGAGAATAGTATGGAGCGTTGAAGTGGGATGGGAGGGGGAAATCAGGTAAATGTTATTGTGACACGATTAAAATCTTCTCATCCCTCCCTCCAGGAAATAAACTGGTCCCTTAGAGGGGCGTAATTTGATGAAATCCGTGTGAAAACTGACCTGAACACAAAACTAGAGACTAGGGAGAACGATGTACTATTTTGAATAAGTCACTCCGCAAAATATCATGATGCTCTTTGATATACCGTTCTAGGTAGTATTTGAATTAGGTCTGATCTTATACAGTAACTTGACCGTGACCGTGACCGCTGACCGTGATCTTATACAGTAATTTGTGTTCTTAGCACAAACTGCTACACGTGGTACACTTTAACTTGATAATCGGAAAAATCTGCCATGCTAACTTTCGCTCTGGTATAGAACAGTTTCTGTGATTTTGGTCAGAGAGGCCTACTTTAATGTTTCCTTAGACACTGATTTATAACCTCACTCAATGCAACGTGCCAGCGTAAGTAAAAGAGGGGCGGGGGAATCAAAGTACATGGACACCACCTTTTTGTCAAAGAGAGTGGTAATTTACAATGACAAATAGCTTTTCATGTCTTCAAATGCCGGTGAAAGACTGGTGAATTCATTTCTATTTCTTACAGAGTGAGGTACCAAAGAGAAACAAACATCAGTTAGACACTCATTCATTATGAAACTTGTGGTTCGATTGAAGCAAAATCATCTTTTTGTCAGGGAAAAATAAATCGCGAGGAATAACATGAGTGTAGTATGAATATCCTGTACCTGACTCGGAAGGCTTTGGCGACGGCGTCCTCTTGGAGAAACAAAAATGCCAAAAGAGACCACACAAAGTGAAGACGCCTAAAGACGCACCAAGGATGATGACTGTATTCACATACACGTAGGACTCTTCTGTTAGCAACTCTGACGATGTCTTCACCGCAAAAGGAACATCACCTGCCTGTAAAATGGGTCGATTGAAAAGAATAGCACAGAAAATTTGAATTTGTTAGTCACTGGCTTAGCGTTACTGTTACTGGTTCGGCAAGGTAAAATGGGATGCCACCTCTCCCGCGCAAACCTATAGCTTGCGTTGAAGATGTCATTTCTTGGTTTGCTTGTTTTTACTTTTATTAGGGGCGTGTAGGCACCAGTCCTCCTCACGCTCGCTTGGCGCGGACGGTGGAGGACTGAAGAGTAAAACATGATATAACTAACGACTTTTATTGACCCAGAAGGGTTTGTGATCTTGATTATATAACCTCTCACCTCTATTGATCCCACATTTTTCTGTATTGTTCTATGTATGCTGCTTGTTTCCGATTTCACGTAGCGCCGAAAACAGCGCGCCAATCTAGTGGCGTCTCCGGTCAGCACCAGGCCATTAGCAGATTCGTATCTAACAGGAATAATCTCTATTACTCGGATCCAGTCCTTACTGAACAACTTGGTCTCACTCGCTGTTGAGTACGAATCCAAAAGTGCTGCATGCACCCGGTTATTTTCAAGATCGTCATAAATATCGTATATGTTCCCGTATGAGCGGTCTGAAAGAAGACATGTAAGTTGTTAAGACCTAAAAGTAGATCCTTTACACGTCCTGACGGTTTCTTTATACGAGATTGATTCGCTTTGCTGTGGGAACATTGTCTGAATTCTATACTAGAGAGTGACCGTTCTTCTCGGATTGGATGCCAGTCCCTCGGAGGCTACACGCAATTATTCTCTCATAAGGGTTTGCTGGTCCCACGCATACTCGATACGTGGAAAAAGCATGAGCCCAGATCTTCATCTCGTATCCAGACCCTACAGTGTAGTTGTAACCACTTGGCTGTAGAAAGTCTGGACACGAGACTACTCAGATCTCTCAACCCGAAGTCTAGCAAACCAACCACATGGTCACGTGGTCTCTCCCTAAGGGGCCCCCCCTCCTCCCCACGACACTTTTGTTGTAACTCAGTGAGTTTACTATAAGGGTGCGTCATGGCAAATGTTATATAGATTAAGTTATTTTAACAACTGACCTTATGCAATCACAATTAGTTAAACTCGTACGCAAATAGGAGGGAGAAAAGGGGTTTGAGTCACTGAGGATGAGTTATTTTTGGGGGTGAGTTTTTGAAGCTTACTGATAATTTGGTGATGTACTCCAAGATTATCATTCTTGAGGTCAAGTTTATGGCTATTTGTTATGCGAGGTCGTGGATATCGCGCAATCAAATTCGTGGGAACTATTTGTTGAGCCCAAAAATAAAAACGGTAGGATTTGGCTAAAATGTTACTAGCTTTTTTTTTTTTCAGTAACTCAATTAACAATACTGAAATCGCTCCTGCAGGAGGTATTCCACGTGTAACTATGTTAATTACGATGTAGCTAGACTTACCTGTGTTTAGTATGGCATTTCGTCTGAGTCCTAACTGGTATTCACTGGAGTTAGCAATGGCCGCCAACTGAACAGATAAAAGAACATGACGTTACAGATTAGGTTTATCCGGGTGGTTGAAAATCATCTACAGCAGCTGCATTTTACTTAGTCCTTTCTTTAGAGTGAAGTTCCAGCGCGGAGCACATGAACGCGCAACTCCATAAATATAGGAATACGGTAACCATTAAGCGAGAAAATTTGGTCATTACGTCAGAAAGAATGAATTCTGTCAGTTTACTCTCTGTTCTCTCGCTGAAAGATCTGGTCTTACTAGCCAAGTGGCTTATTAGCCGTCGAGTTCATCTCGCTGTTGGTTTCCTGCAGGAATTGGGAGCGTTGCTATTCTTTCTGAAATGGAAACTTGTCCAATTAATGGTCATTCCCTTCTCCCCTCCCTCGCGTAGCTTGATACTCGCTATTAATTTTTTGTTGGAAAACGCACTATGTAAAAAAAAAACGTTCTCTGCATAAGAATACAACACGATGAGTTGGATTAAAACTCAGAACAGAGAACTGGAGTGAATCAGGTAACGGATCTCGTATCTCTCTGTTTTATGTAGATCTGGCTGATGTGGCTTTAAAGATGGCTGACCAAACCAATTTGTGAGTGTTATTGACTCTGACAATGTGGGAAACACTATGTTGTCCCCTGGTGAAAGCTACTCATGTGCCTCGGTATAGCGCGCTGTTCTGCGCCTCAGAGGCTGGTAAATAAGATGGCAATCAAAGCCTTAACAACAGTGTAACACTTTGCCTCTGCCAGGTGTCAACGGGAACGCCTCACGTTCAAGCTTAGGAAAACACGCAAATGATGAAACTCCAAGTATTTTATAACATAAGTCATAACGTTCCTTGTAGTTGAAAGACAAAGTTCGCATTTGTCTCTAGGTAAATTTTTCATTTTTCACAGTACTGAGATTTCTATTTATAACATGCTCCTGCAAAGTTGAAAACATTTTGAAATTCATGAAATAGTTTAGAATTTAAAGACATTACGATCAGCTTGTCCAGTCCTCTTACCTTTGTTCCGTATAGCATCTTCTCTGACTGGAACACCATACTCATTAGAGAAGCTGTAATGCTGCTAGTAACAACCGCCATTGTGGCGATGCCAATCCAAGTCCACAAAAAGGCAAAAGACCGCGCGAGGATGGACTTGGGAATTCGTTCACCGTACCTTGAAGAAAAACACCACCACCACCACAACAAAATTTTTGATTCATCTTCTTTCAGTCTCATAGCACACAAAAGTTTCGTTTACAATTAAAAAGACAAATTTGTTGCGGACTGTCTCGGCTACGCCCGTTTTCGATAAGAGTAAAGACCGCGCTAAACCACCGTCGATTTGTTGTTTTTTTCTTTACTGGAGGATCGACGTCAAATAAAACGATTCTTTCACTGTACGACAAGTTGACGCGAGCAGTGTGGTCTGTACTCTTATCAACAACGGAAAATTGGGCAATCAAGTTGTGACATTACTGCCAATTGTGGTAAAAGATAAGACTATTAGTTATCTGAAATAACTTGAAGGTGTTCTGAAAACGCTGGGCAGCTAGGTTACAGAGAAGATATGCCATTTGTTTTTAGATTGGGTAAACAAAACAAACATTAACCAACACCTAAAAAATTGGAAAACCAGACTTGAGCTTACTACTCTGAGACTAATTTTGTCAATGATGTAATCAATAGTGGGTAATAGAGAGGTAATCGTCTATTTGTTTCAAAGCAGCATTTTTTCCAGGGGACGCGATAGGTAGAAGCCTTTGATCTAGCGGTCATTTCATTTTGACTTGATCTTTCGTCAAATTGATTCCTCAGTGACGGACCCTGAGATCCACTTTCAAACATTAATTGTGGTTCCATTCACTTTGAAGGATTCTGGTTCTATTAGGCGCCAAACCTTAAGGAAAACAATTCATGGAAAATATTTATGTTGCCCTTCGATAACACTCGCGCTGAGGTTGGGCATCCCCTGCTTATTCCTCTTGTTAATGAAAACGAGCTTTGTGTGTGGACTTAATAAAAAATAATGCGAGTAACAAACTGACATCGGAAGCAAACTTTGATTCAGTTAATACAAAGCTAAAGATGCTTACCCAACTGTTGTCATAGTAACAAACGACCACCAGAATCCCTCCAATGATCCAGCAACGAAAGATTTGGGAAAATCAACATGATTCCAGTTCATGTCCTAAACAGAAACACGAGCGCGGTAAAAAGACAATTCGACTTCCCCATACACAGTTAAATATCTCGCGTGCCGCCCACTAGAAAAGTTTGTTTATATGCGGTGAGGAACTTTGAAGCAACCTTATTCTTATTTTTTTTTATTTTTGCTTAAAGTTTTTGTTAATATGTTTTTTGGTGAAATCTCTCCCATAAAAAGATTCGGAAGATTATCTGCCATGCATTTCCTTTTTCAGAGGGGCCTCTCATCGTATGTTATTGTCATCTAGCGCAGTCTTCGATGCAGGAATTTCATTGGGTGCTTAGCCAGACCGCCTGCCCTAGATGGTCTGACTTTTATTAGAATCATATACGTAACTTACCAAGGCCCACACTACGATTCCAGCCAGGTATGTCATAACACATGCGATAACTACAGCAGGCCAGCAGCTGAGGATCGCGAGCAGGACTTCCTTGTGAATATCTCTGCACGGAACCACACAGAAATATTTATATTGCATTTCAAGCTAAGGTAGGGTCTGAATCATTAAGACAGTGACTATATCGTGGTAGACGACGATGACATATCAAAAACATTGATATCTGCCAATTTTATGTCACTCTGGAGCTAAACGACAACTCTTCTTTATTTCGACATGGTGTTTTTTTTTTTTTATCAACCGATCATGTTGTGTCTGAAGACGGTTCAAGTAAGAGTATTTTATAACTGTCAACAAAAAACTCAGGAAGGAATTTTCATGTTGAGCATTAACTTCGTACCCAGATCCTACCAGTTTGATTGAAAATGCTTGGTCATGAGGGGACTGAGACACGATATCAATCAAACCGCAGTGTGCTTCTTACAAGGATCAACTTTCTCAGTCTCATACACAAAGGCATCCTAATCTTGATGTCAATAAAATAAAAATAAATAAAAACAAATTCACGCACTGGTGATGGAATAAACGAGGAATGAAATATGAAGAATGTCAAATATAAAGAATTTGAAATTTTGCCTCTAAGTAAGTTTATTTTTCATGAGTAACGACCTGTTTTCTACTCTTCACCAATGGATGACTGCAATAATGACCTAGCGACGAATTTTGAAAGAACAACGACAGAAGCGGCGACAAAATCTAAGATATTATTCGACACCTAATTAATGGCGTTGATAAATATAAAAGTAAGAATTCTTAGGAAAGATGATGTTAATGTAAATCAATTTTTATGGAAAAATTAACCCCTTTTGGTTTTTTAATTGCTACTGGTATAGAAGTGAGTTCATTATGAAATAAATATATTGAGTTATCGTCCATTAACGTTCTGGTGTCAGCTAAGAATTCAGATTCAAGAATTTCTCACGGGCCGGGCTCACCTTCTTTCAGCGACGATAAAAGCGACACCTGGTGTCTCCATAATTGGTACATACTCTGCATCGCCGTCAGGACTATGGTAGGTCTCCTGTGGCATCACTCCAGCGACTCCAAAAGAAATCATCGTCTTGGTGCTTATTGCATCCTTTACCTCTATGACGCCATTCTTCTTGGCTTCTAACCCGTCTGCATCAGTGGTAAAGTCAACCGCCGAGGTGCCAAACTCAGCGCAGCTTTGGCAGCAGTGAGTTACTATTTGCTGCAAGATGGCTGGTATAATACCACTTTCCTTGCTGCTGTTGCTGTTAGGTCGAGAGCTTACGTATGGAGGATTGTTCCACCAGTTGGTAGGAATGGTAGAGCGACATCTGCAGGTTCCTGCAAGAGAAAAATAAAAGAGTGAATGACAGCCTCGAGGACGCTATACCATCTTTCAATTTGCTGAGGTCGAGTTTAAGGGAGATAGAAAGACCACTGTTACAGTTGTTTATGTCGTTGAAAAGCGTACCAAATCGGAATGACGATGGTGAAATATTCCTTTAAAGTACCAACAAACCGAAAATAGAGGTTTTGCACAGCAGCCATGTTGCATGGCAGGAACAATGATTATTTTTCCCATGGGAAAAAAATTTTCTTTCTTATGCAAATATTTTCATTGTTCCTGCCATGGGTAGCGGGTAGCGAGAATCATAACAGATTGCTGACAGCAAAGTAAATTTTTGAAGATGTGCAAATTAAGATACGGCTTATTTAATGCTGCTTTGGTATAAGTCAGCAAGGGGACCTACACGAGCAGTCATGATGTTTAAATGAATGGTTAAAATTAAAAAAAAAAAACCTTCATAGTTATTCCCCTCAATTCATGAAAATGCACTAAGCTAATAAGTAATTAATGAAAGCACGGTACTCCCTATCTGTAAATATTTAAAAATCTATTGGCGAGACTGAGCGCCTTCTTCATTCCAAGGCTGGAGGATAACTCAGTTCAAACGGCTCACGACTTGAGAAAATGTTATGAAAATTACCGTTTGTGAGCTTGCGTCAAAGTAGGACCATGTGAGGTGATAAAACGTTATAGGCGAGCTAGGAAATTACTTCAGTTAAAGAATAGCATTGTAGAACTAGAAGTATAACTTCTGCCCTGCTGGATTAGAAACTAGTCCCTTGCAGGTTACCCCCCTCCCCCCAGCATTAGCTAGGTTTCGCCTCCCCCCCCCCAGCATTAGCTAGGTTTCGTTACGGCTCGCCAAACCCATCTATACCCACACGTAGAAAAGGCGATGTGAGAATGAAGTAGCTCGCTAAAGGAACAACACAGTCGGATACGGTCAAGGCAGCAACTCGGAGCACTCGATCTAAAAACTATTCCCCTTATTATTGGGCTACTGCAAAACCTACTTGAAATAAAAAATAACAGGAAATGTCACTCACTAGTGGTTATGTCTTTAATTGGTCCATGTCCTTTGCTGGTAAAAGCTGCGATCCTTATGTCATACTTAGCGTAGCTCTCTAAATCAATGAGCACGTCACTTTTCATTGAGGCTGATAATTTCTTCTTGACGTAGTCTTTTGGAAAAACTGGCGTTTTATCATGAATACCAAGGCTGATGATGCTGTACCAAATGTAGTACCCACGAAGGATACCGTGTATGGTGTGTGCAGGTGGACTTTGCCATGACACGGAGATTTTTGTGGCGCTTTCCTTGTCCCTTGCGTAAACATTTTGCGGTGTCTCGCTTGGAGCTGAAGCGAATCATTACTGAGTCAGTTGCAACAAGAGCCATTTCTAATAGCTGAGATGGGAGGGGTAAGATGGGAGAGGGCCTAAAGTATTACGAATCTATCATTGTGATAGTTTCCATTTTTTTAACATGCACGAGCAAGTGATTCTCAGGGAAAGGATGTTTTCACGGGTGTTGGAGAAAAAAAATTTGAATGGTCATCGAGGATCCGAAATCTAGGTAGTAAGGATTCCACTTCCATACCTCAGAACTGCTAAGGCTGGTGTGAACTAAACTAAGAATCAGAAAAACGTTTCTTCACCAAAAGCCTATTGTGTCACAACGATTTTATTGCAAAAGGAAAGGCTTTTTATCGTCTAGGATTAGTAAAACTTAAAAATTGTAAGTCGATAACGCTTTAATGAAAATATCTCCCAGACACTCACTGTCCTCGTCTGTTGAAACATCTACCGTTGGAGACTGGATACCATCTCCTTTGATGGTAAACGCAAGGACCTGTATGCTGTAATAGGTAAATTTCTTGAGATCATGTATTTCTCTCTTTCTAACACCGGGAGACACAGTGATCTTTGTATACGGTGCTGAAGGCTTGTTCTTCTCTTTATATAGTATTCGGTAACCTCGCAAAATGCCGTGAACAAATCCGGTGGGTACTGGGTTCCACGTTATTCTCAGTGCGGTTGAACTGATATTATTAGCCCACAGATTTTGAGGAGAACGACTAGGAACTGAGTAAAAAGATAATTTAAATCATGTATTACAAAGCGCATTTCCACCTGTTTAATGGACGCGAAAAGCAAAGTTATCACTAACTAATCAGAAGAAAGGAAGTATGAAGTGGCAAATAGGAAGTTTTATACTTGTGCGATTGTGGGTGCTTTGTGCAGCGTTCTTTTGGTTTTATGTCATATATTTATTTTTTAAAAAATTTCCTGTATATCTCTATCTAATGTTCCTCGAGTATTGTGTAATTCAAACACCATTGCATTGGTTTTGTTCCATAATTTGATATTATGATACATTGACTCATTGCGTAACCGGCTCTTTTTTTGCGTTTTTAGACATCACAACTTTAAAGTTTCCTTCAGATCTTTTTAAGCACCGGGAAATTCTTCCAGTTTACACTCTAGAATTGAAGGATATGTACTTCAAATAATAACACCTACTATACCAAAACACTAACGTGACACAACGTAAACGATTTTGCCTCAGAATGCTGAACCTTTTTCGTACCATCTTCATCGGTAGAAACTATGAATTGCAGCGACTTTGCCCCGTATCCAATCCTTGTAAAAGCAGCCACTTGTACAGTGTAGTTTGTAAACTTTTTCAGCCCCGTCAGTTCCTTGAACAGATTTCTCGCAGGCACGATGGTATAAGGCACAATTGCAGATTGGTTTTCGGTTACACTGTAGAATACTCGGTAACCTTGTAATATGCCGTGGACAAACCCGATGGGAACCTCAAGCCATGTGACGTTCACACTTGTAGAGCTTGTGTTGTACGAGTGGACCCTTTGAGGGGGCAAGCTGGGAACTAACACAAACACCATGGCATTAGGGGACTACGTAAAGCAACATTCTTATCTCCCTGATTTAAACCACTACCGTCAATTATTTTGATTCTCCCTCACACAGCTTGGTTTTTTCCTTTCTCCTTCCCGAATTTTTTCTTGCACAACAGCCCTGTTCGGAAAAGGCCATAAATATCTTCTATGGGTTATCCGCATCGAAGAATAATCATTATGTTTTCACAGTTGGAATGAAGCAGTTCAGTGGAATTCAGGGCACGCTTAATAACTCTACAACGTAGCCTTGCGCGAGGGTATGAGGAGCAATTTTGGGTTTGGCGAGTAGAAAGAAGGCTTTTGTACGCAATGCACCCACACCTAAACTCTATTGTTTATCTTTTTACAACATTTGCGCTAATTTGATTGAAGCAGAGGCTTAAGTTATATGCTTCCAATAGAATACGTCTCAAAGATTGTTTAAATGCTTGAAAGATGAACTTGAATCTTACCATCTTCATCTGTCGTAACAGAAATGTTATTGGACACTGCTCCGTCACCCTTTATTGTGAAAGCCAACACTTTCATTGAATATTCCGTGAACTTTTTCAAGCCTGTGATGCTAAGTTCTTGCTCGGTTGGGCCTGTGGTTGAGTTGAGATAGCTTTCTTCATCCTCAGTCTTCTTGTAGAAGACTCGGTACCCCCGAAGAATTCCGTGAACAAATCCCTTTGGAACCTTACGCCAGATCACCATAAGACTGGTGGAGCTGGTGTTGTGCGCTGCCACATCAGACGGGGGTAGACTGGGTACTTAAATTAAAAGAAGACAGAGTACGATTGGTTATCAAATTGTTTGGCAAGGATTATGTTTTTCTGCGTTTCTTTGCAGTCGAATCTTGTGCTAAATCAAAAGAAGTAGGATTGTAGCTTAAATTTTACTGCCATTTTATCAGCCCAAGCTACTGTTTCTCATTACCCACTCGTCCCATAACAGGTTTGCATTTGAGTTAGGGGTTGATCGTCATCGAGGCCCATATGCGCATGCACGAGTTCAAGCGTTCGTGTACAACTGCTTGCAGAAAGGTTGTCGGAAAAGTGCACGCGACGATCTTGCAAACTTAATCCAAGAAACAATTCTGAAACAATAAATATGAACTAATGAACAGGGTATAAATACAGACTTGCACGTGAATACGAGAGGAACAAAACAATAGCATATTACGTCAGTGTAAAGATTTTTTCTTTGGGCCCTTTCGAATATGCTCTCGTTGAGTTTACTTAAGAGATCTATATTGTCTTGGCTTACGTCGTTTTCTTCGCTCATAAGGGTTCCGGAGTTCGCTCCTTATTCTTTTTTCAGCAAGTTTAAAATTAGTAGTCAGTCTTGGGAACAACGAGAAAAAAAAAAAAAAAAACTTTATCAAACCCGCCATGTCTCTTCTTTACAGTGCTGTTCTCCTGAGGGACCTGAAAACTACCTACAGCGCCTATCGAGGTTGTCACGTGCACTTGCGCTTTTTCCAACGACCTTTCTGCAAACAACTGTAAATCAAAGACATGGTTCACGCAATAATATGTTGAAATTTTAACATAACGAACGCTTCACTACACATATTTATTCATGTCATTGTTTTCAACTAGCGTTTGTTTTAATGCGAGAAACAGATCTTAACGAGTTTCTATAGAAATTGTGGCGCTGTTTCGGTTGGGGATATTACAAGATAATTTGGTTTTTAGCAACTAAGTAGACAATGTAAATTAGCCACCGTAGAGATTTTTTAAAGCGACGTTTCAGTGTTAATCCTTCTCCAGCGCGAATGTTCGCTGAGAAAAGCCACAAAAACATTTTACTTATCTCGCAAAAATATATTTCACGTTTTGTTCTCATCCTTCACTTACTGTCCTCGTCCGTTGAAACGAATAGCGTGGTGGAGTTGATCCCGTCCCCAATTCTTGTAAATGCTAAGACGGAAATCTCATAGACGGTGAATTTCTGTAGTCCTTGCAATTCCTTTGTTTTCGTATTTGCTGAGGTTGAAACAATGCTTTGATTCTTCAATGCACTCGCTTCTTTGTATAGAACGCGGTAACCGAGTAGAATACCGTGGACAAAGCCAACGGGTACCTCATGCCAGCTTACATGAACACTGGTCGAGCTTGTATTGTAGGAACTCACGTTCTTGGGTGGGAGACTTGGAACTACAAAATAAACCTTTTTTTTTATCAGAACGAATTTACATGAAGTCCTTAAAATTATCCAATTTCCATTGTACTGGTTTGTTAATGGCTCAGAAAACTGGCAACAGCTGGGTGACTTACATTGGTAAGTCAGGTACGTTGCCAAAAAAATTAAGTAATTTGTTTGAGAACTCTGTTTAGCTTCAAGCTCTTTTACAGGAGGCCCTCAGTTAAAATTATGTAGAAGTAAAGTAAAGTAATAGCAAGGTCGAATTGCGATTCAAAGAAGTAGGTATTCGTTTTTAGTACAAGCGTTTGATTCTTTATTTTCCAAGTTGTTTAAGCAGTGATTAAAAAAAACGTTTCTCGTGTTCTCCCAGCATCCCAAGCGGTCCCAGCATCCCAAGCTGGTTATTACGCCGGTAAACTAGAAGAAAGTGCGGTCTATTGCTTTTATAAAATAACTATAGGTTGACCTGTGTAATAAACGATAGGTTTCGACCAATCAGTAACGAATGATTTGTTCAAATATCACTCGTTTCCCGCCCTTTTGTGGTTTTGCCGTTGAGGACCGTAGGCTTTGGTACTCTTTTTTACTGTAGCGGCCATTTTGCTTTAGTCATGTTTTGAGCTCGAAATAGATTATTTTATTTGGCGACTTATTCCTGGTTTTTCAACTGTTCTGGTATCGAGAACAACCAGGGCGCTCGTTGTATCACAACTTTTCACAATACTCTGATAAACTGATAGAAAGTATAGTCTGTTGCTGTTATGAATTAACTGTAAAATTTTTGAGCCTTTTACAGGTTGGCCAGTGAAATTTGCGACTGGTTTTTGACCAATTGTCAGTCAGGTATGGCTATCCAACTGGGCTATTTTATCATATACTGTGTTCTCTAGATGATTCAAGTTTTCCTTCCTGACGTTGTTGATTGATTACCCAATAAAATCTCGAATACACTCTTACCATCTTCATCAGTTGACACGGTGACAGGGTCAGATTTATTTCCATCACCAATGCGAGTAAACGCCAAAACCTTAACAGTGTACTTTGTAAACTTTTCAAGACTCGTCAACTCAAAGCTTTGATTGGCTGTTGTCACGTTGCGGTACGAAATGCCCTGATCTGTTTTGAACAAAACACGATAACCTCGTAGGATACCATGCACGAATCCGTCAGGCACATTTGACCACGTCACCATTAAACTGGTTGAACTGGTATTGTGAGCTGCAAGGTGTTTGGGTGGTAGACTGGGAACTATCATATGAAATAAACAAAACTGTTGAGATGGATCCGAGGGGCGTCAATGTTAAATTTAATCCCGATTTGTGTACATTTTGCCTTAACGGCATAATCAATCATGATTAAAGACACACCTTATTTGTTATTCTAGAGCTGTCCACTTATGGGAGGATATGTATCCACTTATTACGCGTGCGCAGTTTTACTCTCCGGGAGTTAAATCATAAAGCGAATTTACCATAAAAATAGCACTGAACAGCTTAATTTGGATTGAATAACAGATTTCAGTGTTTTATCGTAGTGAAGACACTGAGAGAGGTTGTGTTCTGAAATTTATTTGTACAAGTAGATAACAACAATTTAAAAGCAGAAATCTTATAACATTTGAGAGACGGAATATTGTACTTACCATCCTCGCGTGTTCTCACGCGAGTGTCATTTGTTACCGCACCACTCCCTTTTATTGTAAACGCCAAAACTTTGATAAGGTACATTGTAAATTTGTCAAGACTGGTGAGGTTTGCAGAGGTCACTGAGCTTGTTATATTTGAGTAACTTTCATTTCCATATTTCTCTCTTTTGTACAACACCATGTATCCCCGAACAATCCCGTGAGTGAATCCCAGCGGGACTGGATTCCAGGTCACCATCAAACTTGTCGAGCTCGTGTTGTATGCCGCAAGATTGGTTGGCGGAAGACTGGGAACTAGTGACAAAAAAGTATTTAGTTGTATAGGGTAGAGTTGCCTAATTATGTATAACACTACTTTTAAAACTTGGAGATATCTCTATTCTATATAAGCCCCCTCGAATAAATTTGTTTTCTAGGACAGAAGTGATGGACATTTGACAAAATGAATTTTGGGTAGAATTATTTTTTTTCCCTTGCTCAATGACTATAAGTTGATTTCTCTCACCATCCTGGTCTGTCGATATCGTTACATTTGCTTCTGGTCCATTCCCAACACGAGTAAATGCCGAAACATTTACGTCATAAACAGTGAACTTGTCCAATGCGATGAGTATGGTGAAATTCAGCGTCGTGTTCACGCTTTGCTCTAAGGCGAAGATTACCCCACGTTTCTTGTACGTCACTTTGTAACCTAACAAAATGCCGTTTATTTCACTGACAGGAAGTGGCTCCCAGGCTACTTGAAGGCTTGTTGAACTTGTGTTGTGCGCGCGAAGATTTGCCGGAGCAAGACTGGGCACTTTAATATAAATATATGTAATTAGTCAGTTCTACGTAGTTTCAATAAACCTCGGGTGATGTTTACAGCACCCTGCCACTCTCAACATAACTGCTAACCCCTTTACCGACAATTACAGATGTAGTTCTTCTGAAGTTTTATTGTTAATTCAAAACAATACAATTGGTTCGTTAAAATGAATAAGGGGGGGTAAGTTTCTAAAGAAACTGTGGTGCTACGTCGGTGAGGGTAACAAGGTAATTTGGTAATAACTAATTGATATTGTAAATTTGCCACTGTAAAGAGTTAAAAAGCTGACGTTTCGAGCGTTAGCCGTTCGTCAGAGCGAAGGGCTAACACTCGAAACGTCAGGATCCAGTGGATAGTGTTATCCATCCTAAGAACAACTGGGGCTTGCCGATGGATAATCTGTCATTTGTCCTTTCTATGGCTTTGAATATGGACGATACAGCCGGCAGAAAATTATTATGTACCTATCTATGAAACTGACGTGAGCACCAAAACGGAAGACGTTAATTAAATGAAACCCGCATTTGATCCGGTCTAAGTTTGATATTAATTTTTCAATTTCAAAACACCCATTTAAGCAATTGTTGTTTGAAACTGTCGGGTTTGAAAGGTTGGTGACTACTCGCTCTGTTCGCCGAGCTTAACAATTAAACTACTTTTGCGCAATTTTCTCAAGATGTATCGGGCAGACACTAGCGAGAGTCCCTCGGGTGTCCCGAAATATAATCGTGTAGGTGTCCATTACATGCAAACCGGCGATTTTTCCTTGATATAGTCTATGGCCGGAGTGTCCTCTCATACAACCCTTGTAGGAGTCCTCTTAAAACAGTCACGTACAATTCTTTTTAAAACAGTCTTTTGGGTGTACATTTCATATCATCATTTTAACACAGTCTTGTGAGTGTCTTTAATACTGTCTCGAGGGTGTCACTTTAACACTATCCAGCAGGTTTCCTCTACACTTACCATCCTCTTGTGTTAGTATAGATAGTCGTTCACCCGGCAGACCCAGTCCCCAGCTCGTTATGCTAGTCACGTATACCGTGTAGTTTGTGTACTTGCCCAACCCAGTTATCAAGAGCTTCCTTACAGTCTTGTTTACCGAGCGACCTACTGTTCGGTTACTCTTCTCATGTTTGTAGGAAATAAGAAATGCTACAGTGAAATTGTGCTGCTGACAGTCGACGCATAGCCACGTGACTTCAATGCTGGTGGACGTGTTAGATTTGGCAGTTATGTTGGCTGGTGGTTTACCAGGCACTGAAAGGGAAAAAAAGAACAAAATAGTAAATCAAATTCAGTCCAAATTACATTTTTCGTTTTGCAACTTCACCTAAAACATGATTTATATCTCTTGATACCTATACAGTTCCTATTTCCAGAAGCCAAAATTTTCTTGTCATTTTTAGTCATTTTATCTCGGATATTTTATGTGAATATGGATGGAATTCATGTGAAATGTAAGATTATGTACCATTATCGCTGACTGGTTGGACGGTCAAGTTTCCCAGTCTTCCATCTTGATACAGTGCTTTGTAAATAGTGCGAAACTGTTGGGGTCCAACATTTTGACCATAAACAATAGTCATATCTGCCAAAACACTTCCATTTCTGAAAAAATACCGTCAGTATCAATGTACTATTGCTAAGAGGGCGGTAATTTTATCATTTTATCATTCATTAGGAGCATATTTTGACTGACTGTCGGAACACAAAACCAAGTTTCAGCAAAGGCGAATCAAAAGGGAAAATAAAATAACTTCAAGGAACCAATGAAAACTCAAAGTAAACCGACAGTGAAAAAGTACTAAAAGAATAATCCCGTATTAGTTCGAACTTCGATTAAAAATTTTCCCTAATGACAATTTTTACCAGCATCATATTTGCTTAGTCTGTAAAAAGATTATATTGGTCTTTCTCGTAAATGACTTCGGAAATATCTTGCCACTAACGTAAATCGATGACATCGCACATCTCGCAGATAGCTCGACTCCTGGCCATACAATGTAAGTATCTGAGGAAGAAAAGCATCATTTGTGAACAGAGCCCTCATTTAAACCTCAATTTGCCTTTTCTTAACCGTCGTATGAATTCATCAGCTTATTTCATTGGAAATTGATTAAAAGTTCAGAGGCTGTGACTTACAAAGGGTGATTTTAATTCCTTCAAGTCGTTATTAGGCCTACATGGTAAGGCAAACACATCTAAGAAAGCTTGATCTTTAACTGCATACTACTAGATGCAACTTAGAGGCTAGAACTCCCCCCCGGACGTTTTGGACGGTATTTGCATTTACTGTAAGTTAAAAACCCTGACTTGTTTAAGCCAAAATGATTTGGTATTTTTATCACATCCAGTCACGTCTAGCCGATTCAGACAAAATATCTGGAATGAAATTGAAAAAAGAAATGTTTATAACATACATACAGCCCGCTCATCGTCAATGCTAACACTCGATCTAAGACTTTCCCTGTGTAAGATTAAAGACCTCGAAAACACTTCCTGTTTGGCAGTTAATACCTGTATGGCCGAACCATATAAGGTGGAACAGTATCCATACGTGGAGGGCAGGGTAGTTCCCTCATATAGAAAATTCCGTAACTGAATTGTGTGTACTATTTAAATGGTACCAGTTAGCACCTATAGACGATATAATCTTAAAAGCAAAAGTTCAGCATAGCAAATTTTCTTACATTTTCTCTTATTGTTTGAGACAAGTTTCTGAAGCTTCCACTCTCTGGATTGGAAAGATTTGCATTCCACTTCATACTGGTGAAACGAATTGTCAAGTTGATTGGTACAACTAAATTGAGAAAAAAAAGGAGGAACAGTAAGACCCATGATACGAATACAATTCTCATTTAAACGTGAAATTCTTTTATAGTGGCAAATATTTGAAGTGTCAAGGCCTTTTCGTTCATAAGAAAAGCAGAAACGAGTTGAATCAACTCTCTCCATTATGCGGAGTATTGAAAAGGCTCGGGCCGAGTGAGTCCGCGACAAATTCTGACCACTATGATGACGAATATCGCTGTCGATAAGAGTACAGACCCCGCCAAACCATAGCATTGACGTCAAATAAAACTTTCTTTCAGTGCGTGACCATTGCGTGACACATTAACGCGAGCAGCGTTGTCTATACTCTTATCGACAACGGCAAATTGGCCGATCAGATTGCGACATTACAGCAAATTGTGGGGAAAAGTCTTATAGTCGAGTAAAGAACTGGAGAATTGTGACTATCGTTACCTTCCTCCAATGTTCTGACGTAGATCAGAAGGCTGGAGAGACCAGGACCCCTTCTTGAAACACTCCTCACCCAAACGGTGTAGTTGACAAACTTTTCCAGGTTTCCGATCCCCACGCTGTCTTTTGTTGCATTGACGTTAATCATTGAAATGGTTTCATTTTGACTGTCTGCTGTTACGTAATATACCTTAAATTGTATGATATCCGAGTCACTTGGGACCCTGTTCCAATTCACTCGAATGCTAGTTGTACTTGAAGCGAGTGCTGAGATGTTTTCTGGAGGTTTTCCGGGGACTAAAAGTAAAAAAACGTTATGAAACCCTTTCTTGTTATTTAAAAGTAGGATATATATGACAGAAGCAAGAAATTTCGTACAAAATGGTTGGATGCATAAACAAACAAACAATCATAATCAAATCATTTAATGCAATAAAACAAAGACATACTATTGTCCCATGTGGGGTGTACCGTTAAGTCGCCAAGAGAGCCATTCCGGTAAAGAGCCTGGTAAAGAGTTATAAACTGTTCCATTTCCACTTGTTGACCAAAGATAATTACCATATCTGCAATGACTTTGCCACTGTCGTTCCTGAAGTGATGAGAGCTTGGTATCAACTTGCGCGTAGAATAGTCGAGAAAGACTTAAAATTTGAATGTTCATATATTATCTTGGTGTCGTTGTTGTCCCAGTTTAAAGTAGTGGCTACTGGGGAAGTTCAGCTTTTTTAGTTATATGTTTAGGGAGAGTCCTTTATATTTTAACCGTATGCAAATGAAATCAAATCCTTTAAAAAAACAACTGATTTATTGAATGACTAACGCAATGAATGACTGAATGAATGAATGAATGAATGGAAGAATGTGGGAATGAATGAAAGAAAGAACATGCAATGGGACCTGCTTTTGGGACGTCTCTATTCAGAAGGCACTTACATTCAAGGGACGCATTGAAGGAGCATCTATCTAGGTGCAATTTTTTAGTCTCAAGGATGTTCCATGAATAAAGGTTCTACTGTTTTACAGTCATGGTTACGCAAGATAATTTTACAAAGTCACCTGAAGCGATGAATAACTATATCTCGTAGATGAGTTTCGTTTGGATAAAGACCTGCTACCTGTAAAAGAAACAACCACGTAATTGATGGCTGATCAGATGTCGCTAAGATGAAAGCGGTGGTAAATTTTTTCTTCATCAGAGAGTTTGTCGTGAAAGACGCACCAAGCTCACTTACCTGAGTTTGTAACTGCTTTGTTAGATTCATGAAGGAGCTCGATGTTAGATTTAAAAAATCATCTGTCCATTCCTTATTAATCAGCTGTACGGATGCGTTGATAGGAACAACTAAAATAGGATTAAGAGGCAAAGAAGCCATCAGCCCTTTTTAACATGTAGCTGAACTAGCCCTTTACAAAGTCTCTAAATTTTCACACTGGAATGCACCTTTTCATTTGAGCTATTCACAAAGAGGGCTTTAAAGAAACAGCATCGAGCAGAATTCGACGACATCATAAATTACTCAAAACAGATAAAGCAGCAAATTTCAATGCGACCTGTCTCTAAATTAGAGACGAATGGGCCACAACTGGCCTATCGGGCTTCTACTATGATACAAAAATGACTTGGAATATTGGGGAAGAGCTTATTAATAAATGACTCTCTTAAACTCTTACCTTTTTCTAACGTCCTTGCTAGCACTACTGTGCTTTTTGGCCCAAGGCCTCGTGAAGTTATCGTTTGTACCCAAAGCGAGTAATATTTAAAATTTTCCAGATTTTGTATGAAGATATAATTTTTAGGGCTTTTGACGTCCACGAATTGAATATTAGTCACATTTTTTTGTAAAGAATAGAAAGTACGGAATCCTTGAAGAGGGAAAACCTCACAGTGGTTCGATTGAGGAAAGTTCCATGTGACATTGATAGAGGAAGGACTCAGTGGAATTGACGTTAGATTCCTCGGCGGCTTTCCTGGAACTAAACAGAGGAAGGTGTTATTTAGTTCTCCTTTTTTTCATACTCTACAGTATGTGATCAAGTATTAACATTTGCATTTGGGTACATTTTAGGAATGCTACTGATGAAAAATAATTGCATCTAGATCTTAGAACTGCAACATATGCCCATGTTGTAGGTTTAGCGCAACTTAATGGCTTTTGCTTGAGCCAAGCAAATAGCCTGAAATTATTGAAATCATTATATTATCAATCAAGATAGGACCCTACAAAAGAAGAGAAAAAATAAAAGGTTTTAGTTTCAGTTTTAAATACGTACTGTTGTCGTCGATCACTTTTATTTGCAGGTTTTGCAGCCTTTTCTCGATGTAGAGAGCCTCATATATGTTGTAGAGGTCTCTCATTTTAGTGTTTGGATTGTAAAGGGCTTCCATGGAGACCAAAGTCTCACCACTGTAGTTGCTGCTAAAAAAAAAAAAAAAATGGATGTATAAACTACTTGCACCAAATTGAGTTTCTAGTTTTTGATCAGGGAAAAGTTACACTGTCCGCTAAATGAAACGTCTCTTAAGCGGTTTCTAATGTGTAAGAAGAAAACTACGAACTCCTAATAAACCTCCCAAAAAACCTCCGAGGTCTCAGTGGGTTTGCCTATAGTCGCACCTATTGCGGTCTTCTGCGAAAAACTTCTATGTAATGTAAGCTATTATGTGTGATGCAGCTCATGAAAATAGGTGATAAAGCAAAGCAAATTCATGGGGCTCCAAAACCTATCGAAAAACGTAATAGTTGAGAGCCTTGTAGTCATTTTCGCCCAGATAACACCCGATAGATTCATGAGGCATGTTTTCTGAAAAGGTTTTGATTACAACCTTTAAGAATTAAATCTTGCAATAGCCCAGGGGCGTAGCCAGGATTTTTCAAAGAGGGGGGGGGGGTAACAGAGGCTACTCACCAGATTGTTATGTCGACCTCCACGCCGTGCATGTTTTACTTTCTGTTACAGTTTTGGGATGAGCAGTGAGAGTATAGTGGGCAGGCCAAGATATTGTCATGGCTTTTTCACCACCTGAATATTGTAGGTTGTTTGTTCAAAAGAAGGCTTACCAAGGGGGAGTTACAGGCACCCCAGGACACCCCCCTGGCTACGCCCTTGTAGCCTATCCACTTTGCCCACTGCTACGCTGAAATGACATTTGGAAACTTATTCTGTAATACTTGGTACCTGATTTGTATACTTGAGACGTTCTTGAAGGATGATTCATTTTGATGTAAGACTATGACCTGTAAAAATAAAAGATGAATTATGTGGATTCTTTCTCTGCCCACGAGTAGTGAGATGGCCTGGGTCGGTGAAGGGCTGCAAGGCCCGTGCTGGGAATGGTAAACTGGTGATGGATTATTGAAGTCATAAGCTCTCTTACTTTCCATCACTGCAAAACTATGGAATGAAAACGCACATAGGTGCATTGTATTCGCCGTGGTGGTGGTTATTACAGGTTTTCCTGATTCCTCATCGTCTAGATAAACTAGCGGAGCCTCTGGATAGAATAACAGGAGATGTGAATTGATTTCCCAGGAACTCTAACTGCAGTCTTTGGGTTAACAATAGAGGCAGTTAAGTCTAAAGCAATGCGCTGATCAAGTATAACATGCCCTTTCTCTGTGCAATCTTGTAGCTTCCAGCGGCTATTTCATCCAGTAAGTGGATAGATTTTCAATCGTACTTTCGACTGAAGAAAGTACCTGTAGCATATGAAATTCCTGTGTTCGTTGACCAGGGCTCCTTAACGTCGTTTTCGTAAGGCAGAAAAATTGCACAGCTTTCAAGGATTTTGTTATTAGTACTTACGCTGGTTTCTATAACCGACGACAAATTCATAGACGTTTCGCTACTCTTGTTTCCAAGCTGAGTGTCCCATGACACATTCATTAGTAACACTTTGAAGTGTATACTGACATCCTGTGGAGCTGAAAACAAAAAAGATATTTAGCCGAGTAATCTTTTTTCAACAGTTAGTGAAATGGGAAGAAGTGGAAGTAATGTGAGGGAGTAGTAAGAATGTTGGACTTGCGACCCGGAGGTCCTGGGTAACTTTTGTAAACAGCCAACTGGTTTCGGACCCCTGCCGATTAGGATTCTTAATCTTGTTACATTTTGTTTCAATAAAGGCCCCTGCTGGGAAACGAAGATGTTCAGTGCTTACAAGTGTATAGATATTGTATTTCTTATTCCCAGATGAGTATTTCCGTAACCATCGCCAAATGATGACCAAATTCGTTTCGGTGAATGAACTTTGAGTGCAATAATTATATGATCAAATATATGAAAAACTAAACTTATGACATAACCACATCATTGACAACTTTGAATCTTGAGAGTCACAAACTCATATTATAACATAACCAAAGTAAAGCGCGCGCTCTGATTGGTCAATTTAGCGTCCCCCATTTGCCCATGGGTATACGCTGCTGACGTGAACAAATGCAAAGACTATTTTTCCGCGCGCGCTTGTTTTTTCTGGTCACGTAAGATTTGTTAAATAAAAGGGAACTCTTCAGCTACAATGTATCAATGTTATGTTATAAAACAAATGGTAAACACCACACCGTACACTATTGAGTTATGGATGCACTTGGGAGGTTTGCTAAGCACTCAAGAAGCTGGAGTCGCTCTCGGCTATCGCCTTGAGCGACTCTTACGCTTCTTTCGTGCTTAGCAACCTCCCGCGTCCATCCATAACTCAATAGTGTACGCTGTGGTGTTTACCATTTGTTAAAAAGAGTAAAATATACACCTACAAGGAAGTTATTTGATGGGATCACAGGTAAACCTAGTGTAAGGCCGAGCTAGCTCGAGGGCTTCCTGTCCGCATTTGTAGCCTTCTTAGTAGTGGCTGGGCCTCTCAGAGACTCAGCTATTTCTCTGTCCATCGCCTGTGAGAATTGGTTCACATATTTTTTTTCCATTTTGTTCCTACTCTTTTTCTAGCCTCACCTCGATGCCGAGTGGTGATATTGAGAGCTTTCGAGGGGAACCCGAAGCCTTTTGAAGTGACGCGTACGGTCCAAATTGTGTATGTAGTACCAGGTTGTAATCTTGATATATTAACTTCTGATTGGCTCTCCTTCACTAAAACACTGCGTATAATGTTATCAGTGGCTTTGTAAATGACTCTTAGGCCCCAGTTCTCTATCACCTGTCGTTTTCTCTCAGATGACCATGACACATGAAGCGCTGTTGGGCCTTGTACGGTGACGTTTAATTGCTCGGGCGGCTTTCCTGGAACTACAGTAGGAAATTATCTTATTAATTATTGATGTAATCGTTAATCTCTATATTTTCTAACATTCTTCAGTGCTCTAAAATTATCATAAAACCCATTGAAAGTTATAGCGATTCTCTTTACGTGTTGAAATTTTCTTTGTTACAGGCTTCTGAGACCTTTCCCGATGTAGTACTTACATGTATCATTGATGACACTGATTGGCATGGACCCTAAGCGTCCACTTTTGGAGAGGAAACTGTAAAATTGGTTCGTATGACGCAAGTGGAACTCCCCTGAAAACGTTAGACGAATATCTGCGATAACCAAGCCGCTGGTATTCCTATTCAGAACCAAAACAAAAAACACAACAATTGTTTTTGAACTAACACATTCAACTCGGTTAAACGTGCCTTCGCAGGAAAATGGACGATTGATGGCGCCTTTGATACTAATTTATGCGCGTTAAGTGCTATCTCAATTCAAGATTTTAAAATCTCATCTTAATTATTGTTTCTGGCCTTAAGCATCGTGTACACATACTACATACTTAGCCATAGAGATTCTGTGGCTCAATGGTAGAGCATCGGAGCGCGGAATTCAAAGATCTGAGGTTCGACAAGACAAGACGAAGACATCTTTCTCTATTTCTTTACCAAGCCCAAAACTTGTCATCTTTCTTATTCTATTTATGAAAGTTATGATGAGTACAAAGAAATGCTACGTTTACCCAAATTTGGGGAAAAAAAAAAAACCAAAAAAACAAATACTTATGAATACGTTCAGGCAAGTAGAAACATTTGTTTCATCAAGGTTTCATATTTTATATTCATTTGACATCTACCTTAGTTGAAGTACTGATACTTGCAGAAGTGAAGAAGCATTACCTATAACTAGGAAGATCTGTCATGCAAGAAAGATAATGGAAAATAAAAGTATAACGATGCAAATATTTTAGTTATGAATGTAGTTTCGCACATATTTTAAGATTGCAAAATCTTTCAAATTGTAGCGATACTCGTAGAGGCGAGATAAGAAGCAAGAACTTAGCGCTAAAGCTAGCTCAGTTTGATCTGACTGTTAAGACCCTTACACTTATCGTTCGTTAATGGGAACAGTGTGCATCAACACATTTAATTTAAATCAATAGTAAATCACTCAATCTTTATCATTCGGACAGTTCCAGACATTTTGCAGTTTATTTGTACTGTTTATCATGATGCGCCTTGTTTAGTTTCTTTTGTCCTGTCCGCGTGGAGCTGGGTTAGATATGCATATTATGGTTTAGACAATGTACTCGCAAGTGAGTTGTTTTACGTTTCGTTTAATCGCGTTTCTATTAAACTTACGAATCTCGTAAGTAGTATTTCGTTCCGTTTTGTTTCGTTCAGTTTTCTATATTCAAATATTGTTTTCTCTTTTTTTGAGTCAAACCAGATTATACAGATTAAACAGATTGTACGAGTCACGTTAAACAGATTATGCAGATTATGCTAGTCTGATCAAGTCGAACACTTATCTACATGTGCACTTGAGCATTTCTAGCCAGCTTACTGATTCAGAACATGTGTACGAAATGACTTACGTTTTCCTCTAAGGCAGACGACATGTTCAAGGACATACCACTGCTTTTGTTTTCATAAGAAAGTCTCCAAGACTCGTTTTCCAGTCGCAGCTTTACTTGAAACGTTAGGTTATTACTTTCTGGAATTCAGTTTCGTTGTTAGTGTTACAAATAATATTTTTCTTTGCTTAAAAATACTTTGAAAAAATGACAGGATTATTATTGATAGGTAATTTGGTTATATCAACTAGGTTGGAATAGTGAATTGGCCACCGTAACGAGTTAAAAAGCTGACGTTTCGAGCGTTAGCCCTTCATCTGAGCGAATACTGACGAAGGTCTAACGCTCGAAACGTCAGCTTTTTAACTCTTTACGGTGGCTAATTTACTATTTCAACCTAGTTGATATAACCAAATTACCTTGTTACCCCCACCGACGCAGCGCGACAGTCTCTTTAGAAACTTTCACCCTTTATTATTGATAGTACAACCCATAAATATTTCAGGGGAAGACGATCTTCTCTAGTTTGAAGGAATTTGTAAAACAACCTTCTTTTTGCTTGCGTCAATTGTGGACAGATTTTAGAACTGGAATGAATTTTTACTCCACTCTTTGGGAAAGGAAAGTCCACGATGACGATACAATTCGTGCACTTTTTAAATTTTGACACAAGTTTTATTATCACGTTCATGTCGTGGTGCTTTGTATAATAAAGCAAAGATTTGTTGTGTTTCGTAAACATGAAATGACTGTGGTAGTAGACTTGTTGAACTGAAGCAAGAGTGAACGAAAAGGTTGGTCTATAATCCCACTAGCAGCCCTAGAAGCTATCAGTATATTGTGCCGGAAAAATAAACATACCGCTCTTTAATCTTGGTGTATCCTGAGAAGTTGCGATTGTGCTAGTAAAAGACGCGATTTGAGACACTGTGGATGGTCGAATGAAGCTTGTAGACAAAGAAGTCGAGGAAGAAACAGCTGCACAGGGCGTCGTTCTATTTGGGCCTAAGAAATATGCAAATTAGATGCTGTTAACCACTGGGATCGGACGATCACAATACTAATAGACCGAGAGAAGTGAATTCCTTTTAAATTGACAAAATCTTTTTGGACCTTCTTCCTTCCCCCTCCCTCTTCAGATGAGATTTTCGGTTTTTTTGGAAGCGATTTGTTACCTAAATTCCCTTTTTTTTTTTTTAACAAAAACTAGGGACCGACTGCTATACCAAATCATTGACAGAATTGGAACTTTGGGCTAAGGTTGGGGGTATGACGAGAATCAGATTTTTCTTTGAACACTCGTTAGAATTGTTCAACAAACGTTTCACAGCAAGTATAACTTATTAACCCGCGTTAAGTAAGAACTGCCCTTTGGAATCCGAGAAGGGTCATTTGGCACTCATTTTGTGGAAATTCTGAGGGATGACTGTTTAACCTTTTTCTGATAATTTGTTTCCTTCAACTGTACCACTTAGCAAAAAACAAAAACTACCTTTCAGTTGATAAAAAGATCTTGAGTTATCGAGCAATAGTTCATGATCTTTACACGAGAGCTCCGTCAAAAGACAATCACGTGTAGCTGTTATGTGTTCAAAGGAACTACAGTTGTAAATATTTTCTCCAGCCACTTGAAGGCATAACTGCGCACACTCCTTGACAGACAACTGCTGAAAAGATATTTTGTGGTAACCAGATGGACGATAGGAAGGAGAAGGGAGAAACTTTGCGAGAGAGTCATTGAGGCTTGATGGTGGTGCAGCTTTGTCTGAATAAAATAGAAGGTCTTCTTAATATTTTATACAACATTATTGTGATAGACCATTTTACAGTTGTGTGCTTAGTGGCCAAGCCTTTGATTTGGAGTGAGGCTGAAGGTGACCTTGTTGTGATAGAGACCAGTATCTAGTTAGCACGATAACAAAGTAATTTGCATTTGAAAAGCAGCAACGCTTGTATCATAAAAATGTCACCTTTAGCCTCACCCCTGTTCAAAGGCTTGGCAACCAAGCAAGCAACTGTTAAATGGACTATTCTGAGTCTAATAAATGAACATACGATATAATTTTTGTTTCCTAAAATAACCGTCAATTGCCTCAAGGCGCCAATTTATCGAGGGTGATACAAGCACGATTTGGTTGCTAAGAAACCAAAACCAATTAAAAGTTGCCAAGGAATGCAAATATAAAGAAATTTACAGCGATGTAAAATCAGAGAAAAGGATTAATCCGATGATGATGGCTTGGCATATACGCGAATAATAAATTCAATGTTGAAACTACTCAAACGATCCAAACAAAACAAATTAAATATAGTATATACAAAATATAGATTAAACTGAGAAAAGAGAAAGCAAAACCACGAGAATAAAAATGCTCAGGCAGAAAATGTATGATGTGTTTCTTTTGGAAAACAACCGTAACAGATATAAATGTGCGTTGTGCTTAAACTGTTAAATTACTCTTATTTTCTTTTTTTTTTGTATCCGACTTGATTTTTGTGTAGAGTCAACGCCAGGGCTAGTGTCATCTACAGGCTTATGACCCTTAAAACGGGTTTGGGGTTAACTGAATTGACGTTCCTTTAAGAGTTGCTTTGTAGCTAAGACTTGTTATTGCTGTATGGCCTGTTGTTAATAGTCAGGCCTCCTCCCTACTCAGAATTAATTTTCAACCTAAAATATAAACTGATAAAGACTTAGATGTGGAAATATATCATATAAATCACCAATAAAAGAGTTAGATGATTTCCAATCTTACAATTCAAACGATATTCACGATTGACCAATACTATATGTTCTTTTATTGTAACTTTCTGCCAATTTCCCATTTGATAAATTTATTTCAGGTTCCTTTGAGAAATCTTTTAATTGATGTTAGCCAGGATTTGAAAGTGTCAAAGCATTTACAGGTTCCCAACGCCAAACAGCTTTTAAAGCAGGTTTCTCACTGACTTAACCGCACAAACTCACTGATTTTTTTTTCTCCGAAATTTGACTTTATAATTTGATTCATGTACTTTACAACAAAAACTAGGTTTGATAGTCAAAATTGTTTCTTTCTTTTCCCCAATTTGAGGTTGAATCTTTACATGGTATTCTATATATGTATTCGAAAGAGCCAGATTCAAATTGCGGTTTTCGTGGTTTTTTGCACAGAAACAGAAAATGACTGTTTGACATGCAAATTACGCCTAAAACAGGTACCAAACGATTAAAATGAAGAGTGTACTCATTCGAAATCGTTTATATCCCGAGGTGCCTTGGAAGTAAACAATATATTCTTTTCAATAGCTTGTGTCTTAATTCACAGCTTCAAAGAACACTAGATGGCCTATTATTTTGTGATGAATTAATGATATCACCATAGTTTTATCACGATTTCGTTTTCTCGCAAAGAAATTGTAATCATACTGATAAATACGCATTCTATATTTAAACTTCATTTTCACTTTTTAATCTAAGATCGGCCTTTTATTTTTCAAACAAAAACTGTTCGAACGATTTTTGTTTATCCAACTTATAATATTTATTTTCCCTTACAAAGAAATTCGTACATCTGTTTTCGCGAGGTTCTTTCCAACATTACCTTCATTAGACGATTTCTAATTAAAAAAACTAGCCTCAACCTAGGTCTCGATGCTGCGATTCTTTACCCGATGTTTTGAAAATTCTCAAAATAACATATACATGGGCTAACAAGACGTTATAAAACCTCAAAGAAGGAGGAAAAAACAACCAAAAAAGTATTTATTTTTATGCCTTCCTAGCCTTTCAGAATAATTGTATAATTCACTGTAAGTTGTATCAATTTGAGATTCAGTTTGGCTTCACAACATCGAAATATCGCAATAATACAGGTTCCTGCAGCGCGCGAAAGCCCTCTAACCATACACATTGGGTATATGTGAAGGAAGAACTTCTTTTTTCCGAGCTCAGAAAGAATCTTCATTTCATTTCATCAGCAATCCGGCTTAAAAAAGGTAACATATCGCAGTTCTTGCAGCATGCAACCCTCCGACTAAACCGTACATTTTTGAATTTATGTTAGCCAAAGGATATTTTGTTACCAGTTCAGGTTAACAAAATTGTACAAATCAAAACAATTGCCGAAAAATCATCTCAGAATGAAAAACTCACATTCGCAGAGTAAGGACTTTTGCTCTCGTACCATATCCAAACAAAGGGCCAGACATAAAATCTGTCACAAAAGAAAAACAAAAGGGATTTTTTTAGTCATGATTCTCCGTACAGACATAATAAACGATGAGTTGCTCACAAACCTGCTTCACTATTTGAGGAGCAGACATTCTCAATCCGTCTGCACTGGTGCGGCAGTTAGTTTTGGGGACATTTATGTTATGCGCAAATTTATGTGTGCCCTTTACAACGCCAATTCAAAGCGTCAATCTGTCGGGCATATTGCACTCGGACTTAAGAGGTTGTCTGCTAAAGCAACATTTGCTATGCGGTTCAATTAAATATTTAAGATTATCCTGAGTCGAATTTTGCCATTTGTGCATATTGCGTGAACAACTGGGGAGCGCAAATTCACCCGCCAGCAAGAAGTCCTTTCAGAAAATCCTCATCAATTTTTTGTGCAACAATATAGTTCTTTGGCACTTGCAGCGAAGGGCTCTCTTTTCACACCAAGATTCTATCGGGCTCACAGCTAGCTGTTTAGTAGCTTCGGTCTGTCAGCTGTTATAATTATCGGCCGAATTGTTTATATTAGAAGGTGGTTTCTGGGAGATTTACAGATGTGTTTTCCATAATAAGTTGATACGATATACCTGTCACAAACCTCATTTTTATTCCCTCAAGATGTGATAACTAAGTGACAGAAGCCGATGGTTTTAAGCTTTTAATGTGCTTATGGATACACGAGTCAGTAAAAAAAACACGGAATGCTAAGAATAAGCACCGATAATTATGATCAGTTAAGACACCTAAAAGGCTGTTTACAATTTACATACTCCCGGCGATAAAATATATTCTAAGATATTTACTAAATCGCTATTTTTTTCTATTGTTTAAATAAAATGAGGAGACCGATAATTTGAGTTAGAAATATTCTTATCACTTTTAACTTGTTCATTCTCATATCGAAAAATGGATGCGCGCGGAAAATTTGGAAAGCACAAGAGAAGCGTAAGAGCTGCTCGAGGCGAAGCCGAGAGTAACTTTAGCTTCCTGAGTTAGTTTCTTCGTTTGCAGGAGTTGCAGGTTCATTGTTTTTCAATCGAGTATTATTTACTTTTCATTCTGAGCTCCAAAAGGTTTATGTCAATTGTAATGGAGCGGAAAAACGGTCTTGAATTTTTTGAAACCTCGGGGCTAAACTGTGCGGCAGCTTTGCAGCTGAAGTGAAACTGCACACGTCATGTTATATTCGTGCGGTCTTGTATACATAGAGATTTACAACAGAATGGCTCATTTGGAATTTGATAAGACTTGGGCGCTCTTTGTTATAATTCTCCAATGCAGAAGGATTGGTCTTTGGTTTTCCGTTTAGTTTCTCTATTTTGATGTTCAGCCTGAGGGTAACTTGTGTCATATTTAAACGGTGGTTATTCGGTTGATTTTATATAGAAAAATGTTTCTCTGTTGAATGTTAATAATCTCAGTTGAAAAAATCCAAGACTTTAGATCGAACATGAAATAAGCTTGAACTTTTTCCTTCGTTTCTTATTTCTGTTTTCTTTTCACAAATTTTTTTTCCAAGAAAACTTTGTGAGTCTGGTCTGACCTTGTCTAGTTTTTCAAATGAGATGGACACTAGATCAGACCGCCTCCCGGTTAGCTCAATGGATAGAGCGCTGGACTGTTGTGCGGGAGGTCGAGGGTTCGAGCCCCGGCCGGACCAACACTCAAGGTCTTAAAATAAAAATGACGAGAATATGCTACCTTTCTATGACATCAAGAAATGGTCAGATATTCTAGTCTTCTCGGATAGTGACGAAAAATGGAGGCCCGTCTCCTGCAGGGTTAGGGGTAGGAGACGTTAACTTCCCCCGCACGAGATTACTGTGTGATGGATGTCCTCCCCTGGGGTGGGATGAGTGGGTTTACTGGGACCGCAGTAATTGGCGCAAGCTGTTGCGGTGTCCCTGCCTGTCGGCGAATCTAATAAACTAAGCTAAACATTCTTTGTAATTCTGGCAATGATGTCATGAGCAATTCAACACTGACACCTAAATTTTCATGTTCATAAAAAAGGTATTTGGTCATCAATGCGCCCAAACTAAAAAAAAAATTGGATCGTTGATAAGTTTTGGTGAATGAGGAGTTTCACAGTGCCCTCAGAGAGAGCTTCTTTATTCTATCGCTTTTCCACACTCTTATAGATTTTTTTCTTGCCAAGGGACTGGTCATTATTTAATGCCTGTGGGAGGGGAGGGTGGATCGGGGGATTTTTGTTTTGTTACAGTATATTTTACCTGACACCCAGCTAAGGCTTTATAGCACTCTTAGGATCCCCCTCATTTGCAATCAGTTTTCTATAGCCCCCCCTATAGTTCTACTCTGCTGGCGCGACTGATCCCCTCTGAAAACCATGTGATCCTCAAAAATCCTAGGAACCCCCTCCCCCCGCCAGATTCTTGGACCCTCCCCGGTGATAGTTGATGACCAGACCATTTTAGGCTGGGGTTGTGCCCACCCGTAAATAAGAGAATTGGTCAGTAGAAAATTTCCGTTAAACGAGCAGCTTGACAATGTTTTATAGAGAAGTTTCTTTGTTCTCCTGCTATCGCACAGTCGCGGAAATAATTCATGTCGAATTATCTCTTGTTTGTTTGGAAAACCAGGTGCTGAAAATTATACGTTTACTATTTGCGCATGCTATCAAAAAAAAAAAAAAAATGAAGTAAAGATTTAAAATATAAACTGGAAAACAAAAATTAATTAAATGGATAAACAAAAAGTCACCTTCTGGAATTTTCTGACATCGTACCCCTTTTGTGTCTACCTTTGGAAATTTAATAGATAAAGAGCACAAGGGTAACAAATATCTCCTTTATTGAAAAGATACCATCCCATGGATTGCGCCACGCGCTTTGTTTTGAGTTATCTGCTAAACAGCGATTAACCCATTGGATAGCGTTATCATCCCTTTGTGGAAGAACTGGACCTAGGCTCTTAAGCATTGGTACTTTAACTGTTCTGAGAAAAGACATGCATTCACGGGCACCTCCATTAAAGGAGAACAAAGTTATATGCCTCATCTTTTTAAGCGACAATTCTATTCAGAGAACTTTAGTGAAGGGTATCCTATGATCGGAAGCCGTGGGTCCCCCCCCACAGTCTCTTATCGTCTCTGCTGTAGAAAGGAGACATGACCAGAATTCATAAACATAACTTTTCGGGTTTGGTTAGAAATTTCTTTCTTTTCCTTATTCTTCAATTTTAGCTCCAAAGGAACCAACCACATTACACATGTAGTTATCAAGTAATTCACCAACGAGTATAATCGAGGAGCCAATGAAAAAAATTTGAAAATTAAAATCATGAACTAAGCTTTTAAGTTTAACGTTAAGTAGTTGTTGATCGCGGTAAATTCTGTTCCTTATGTGGATGGTCGTCACACCCACAAGTGATATAAAGCATGTGATCAGTTCTTTTGTATCTGCAATCTGAGGCCGCTGAGATGTGAGGCTAAAAATGGCTTTCGATGCATTTATGAAAATATATCCACCGTGTATGACAGTCCGGATTTCGAAGAAATAGTGCTACACGTTTAGGCATACGACCTCGGCAGCCTTTTATGGGAGAGAAAATGAGGCGATCTTAACCAAATTTGAGTACCATTTTCATTACAATTGATGGGTATTCCATTTTACCTCTTGAAGTCTCTGTTGGGTTACCTCTGGCTACGTATGAGTAGTATAGGGGCATAGATTAACATAATGCACCCGTGAAACAGTGATGTGTATAACTCGTCAAGGGATAACACTCTCACTTTATGACCGGAGCATGCCAACAAAGGCTACCGAGTATTAGACAAATTTCGTGCCGTTGAGAAGTGACGCGGGCCTCCATAATGTACTGAATGACAAAGCAATGTCTGAAAAACGCTTTAGAAAAAACTTTTGCGAGTGTTCACCACCAAAAATCATTTGTTTGTAAACCGACATTAATGTACAAACAATACTTTGAAATCTTGTCCGATCAACACTTTGTTTTTCTTTTATCGCTTATTTTTTTCAAGCAAAACGTATTGAAAGGAATTGTGTTATTTAATGGAAAACTAACCTAATCGACACGTTTGGTTACATTAAGCTTTGAGACACTTTGCCACGTTATCAGCAACTTTTATCTAAACACCGACTAAAACATGATAAAATTTGAAGTCTGTTATCTAAGATATTTTTTCCTATTGGGACGGTGATGCCCACAAAAGAATAAAATAAAATAACGAAACGTAGCATATTAAAAAATTACGAGAACAGGTGGAAGTTAATGTACCTCATGCAATCCACTGTATAAGGAACGCATTCTAAACGTTATCATCACTTCTATCTCATTTGGGACATTTCAAAGTATCAAGTGCAAATATGGAAGTCTTTACAAAATGAGATTCTCCTTTAAATCTTTCGTCCTCTCAAAAAGCGTCCTCAAATAATTAAAAAAAAAAAAAACCTAGCGAGAGCCCGAGAATAAATCCCCACGATACTTGAAGGAAGCTTCTTGCCGGTATTGTTTTGGGTCGTTGTGGGTAAATAAATTATTAACTACTAAAGTTTTGTAGTTCGTGCAGAGGACTGTTATCTTTATCATATTCTATCGTGATTGGCAGCATGTAACTGCTTTGGTTTTTATGATCCAGGTGATTGTTTCGTTTTATTGTTTAGCCGAGATTTCGGTGGGATGCAACAAAAGATTCCGTTCTGTGCGAACGCTTTCGAAAACAAAAATTTAAAAGGTGCAGAGTTTCCAGAGGAGAAGCGGGCTTTTTAGCTGTTACAAAAGGAACTAGTAAGATCATTTTATTTCAGTACTTTAACAAGCCACTCATAAGTCTGAGGGAAAATGCAAAGCTTTGATATCAATTATGAATTTTCATCTATTTTTGTTGATATTCCACTTTTCTCCCGTGTAGACTTAAAACGTGTCCATTCCTTATTTAAGTCGGTGAATAGTAAAGACTATCAGGGTAGTGCTTCTCTAGAATGTGTTGTAAAGAAATCAGGAAATTTTCTTCCGCAGTTAGCAGTTACTGGTACTGGAAAATTTGCATTTCTCTCATTCAAGAAAATGGAGTTTACTTTTAATTTCATAAGTACGCAAATAATTATTTTTTCGAGAGGAAACGTTTTGTCAGTGGCACTGAGTCGGTAACACAGTTTGTTACACTCTACTTTCGTTTTTGACTTCAGTATATTCGAAATGTTTGACCGTTATAAAATGCATTGTTAGTAAACAATTCACAAATGAGAAAGTCAAAACGTATCTTATAATTGGCCCAATTTACTAATAAAACTCGTCTTAATGCGGATTTTAAAGTGATACTTTTGAGGGCTTGTAACGTTTTTTATACGAAACTGCTGAATCAAAATCATATTTATAGCCCGCTAGTCGGACAAGTGTTGTTGAAAATATCCAGTTGTACTGTAATTATTAAATCTCTATATTCATTCTCCACTCCATTATTGATGACTTTTCGGGAACGCAAGGCTTCAAATGTTCCTTTTGAGAACAATTCTATCAAAAAAGGATTTCATCAGTCCAATGAGTCCCTGTAGTGCAGCTTGTCAATAAAAAGCTCGACATCTGGATAAACTTTGGTTTTCTATCGAAAGGTAGAACCGGCCAGGAACTAGATAAACCTGAAGAGGAACTACATTACACAGTTTGAATTTCACATCCTAGCACGTACCGGTATAAAGTTTGAAGTTTGAGTGCCATAGAAACAGTAGCGATCATTCGAAGCTGTGCACGATCTTTGTGGAAGTTTCCCTTTGGAAACAATGATACTTCACTGTAAATTACCGAGGGAAATCAGAGGTATAAGAATGAATTTAGAATTTCCAACAATTTTTCATCAAAAGCCATGTTTTTTTCCTTCTATATCAGTCAGTTTTATATGCGTTAATTGGAACAGAAAAGTACTCTGATTGCGGTCAGAGTGGTTTGAACTCCTATTAACGCACAGTGGAGTTCTTTGTAAATTTTTCATGCTGAAGGGAAAGCCTGATGATTTTTTTCTCACACTCGAAGACACTTACTAGTGAAAATTGGGGCACAGTATCATTCTTTTTGCTCATCTCCAATCAATTGAACAACACGATTAGAAAGCGAAAGGTTTTTTTGTCATCCACATTTTATTGTAGAAAAATCGAGGAGCATCTTTGTGAAACTCTAATCCTGTATCTAATTTGTTATCTTTTTGTCAATAAAGTCGCAAAATTTCAAGGCGTGTGCTTCAGTTTGTGCGCTGATTACCGAGTCTATTAAGGAACTTGCTCTCTGATAATTGATAAGCAGCAAGAGGTAAAGTCACATGAAGTGATGAATAAACCACACGACACACCTTTGAATGCAGGGTGGAACTTAATTGGTCTTGTGCAAAATCAGGGTGGACATATGACTGATCACCTTAAGCTTTCTTCAAAAATGACTTAATACTTGTAGGTACTATGAGAACGCGCTCACTCACTCTTAGCTCCCCTTCTTGATATCACAGACCTGTTACGATGGAAGTCAGACCAACCTTGTTAGTTGCCTTCAGTATTGCATTGATGATGGCTTTCGTCAAAAGCGAGGATCCAATGTAAGTATTCTGATGTTCTGCACTTTAAGCCCCGTCCACCTGGAAGGTTTTCTTTCATTTCAAGGTTTTGCTTCGCATTGAATTTTAAAAACAAGTAAAGTTTTTTTTTTATCGACAAGTCCCTTTTTCCTTAAACGTACATGCTAGTCTTCGAACATGGAAACTCGTCCTAGAAAAACCCGTCAAGACTCATACTTCTGAGTGTCAGTTTGTTAGTCTATAACACCACGCCTTCTCCTGCATTTGTTTCAGTCCAAAACATACCAGCCACACGCATTCCAAATAAATAGTTATTTAAACACAGAAGAGGCTTCAATATTTAAACCCGATGGCGGGTTTGTCGTTTCTTGGAGTTCTTTATCTGATAGATATTTTTTTAAGTGCTGTTATTGACTGATAAGTGATTTCCAAGAGGCGTGTTCCAATTGTTAAGGCTTTCGATAAGTGTGCAGGGTATTCAATTAACGTAGGAACTCATGCAATTATTTCTCTCAGTGACAAGTACAAGAAAACGATGGAAGAGGCATATAATTTATCGGTGGCGATCAACAACAATCTAAAGAATTATGATCGAAAGTTGCGGCCTAATGCTGGAGGTAAGCGCTGATACAGATGCTGTAATCAAAGCGTGGATTTATTACCACTATAAACATCAACTATCTTTGTACACCAACCTCGGAGCTTATGCATGCTAGTTTACTTCATTTTGCATATATCTAACCAAGCATATCTCATTCTGCATCTTCGCCTCTTTTTTTTTTAAGCTTTCTTGATTTACACATACTTAGAACCCACATTACTTTTGAACCCTCGCAAATTTCAAGGTTGATTTTATCTCTTAGTTGCCTCAAGATTGAACTGCTCTTATTAACTGAATTCAGTATAAAGTTTATCAATAGTTAAATTTTATGTAGGTGAGCCAGTCATGGTCCAAGTGGAGTTTAAAGTTATTTCATTCGGGGAGATTAAAGAAGTTAACATGGTAAGTTGCTTTTGACTTTACATTTCTCCATAGAGGATCAGTTAAAGCGATGATTCTATATATGTATCTTAACCGGAAGGCAGTGTGTCCTGATTGCTGCGCGTTGCATTATCAGGGGTGAATTTCTATACCAGTCTAATTGCTGCGCCTTCTTTTGTCTTTCCATCATTTCTGATCGCAGTTAGTCGGTTTTCAGAGCATCGGATTAGAATTGCCGCGCCTTATTTTGTCTTTCCATCATTTCTGATCGCAGTTAGTCAGTTTTCAGAGCATCGGATTAGAATTGTGAGAAAAGCGGTTAATATACTGAATCTAAAAAAAGTGTTCAAGTCATTTCTGAAAATTTGAGTATGGTGAAATGGTTAGTTCAAACTATTTATGGTGTTTATCATCAATTGTAGGAGTACAGCATGGACATATTCTTCCGCCAGTGGTGGAAAGATCCCCGAATGAGGCATAATTCCTCTACTCCATTTAACATGGCGTTTGACCCAACGAATGTCTTCTGGACACCAGATACTTATTTCTGGAATGTTAAACATGCAAAATATCACTACGTCACTAGAGAAAACATGCGGGTCAGAATATCTGCGGATGGAGAGATATACTTCAGTACAAGGTGAACTTAAAGTTCTTGTACATTCTTTGTCAGAACCCGTGTTTCTTTTCAAGGGATTTAAGTGGTCTTAGTGCAGTATTGAAATAAGTTACGAATACTTTCAAATGCATTTATGGCAATGCTACATGATAGAAATAATGTCTGTTCTAGAGCTTGGTGGCCCTTACTTCGTAGAAAGAGAATACTGTCACTGTCGCATGAGGCTTCTAGGATTAGTCTTTCTTAAATCAAGTATCTAACAATTGACTAAGATGTTCGCAAGAACATAGGAATACCAAAGGCATAGTTTATCGCGATATCACCATGCTATATAACAAATAGACCAATACATAGAGTGACGCCCTTGCAGGTGACCTCTTAGTTTAACTCCACCAACATTAAGCTTAATTGCGACGTACAATTGTAAAAACTCATTTTGGTACTGTTTTGATACAAATTATTTTGCTAGAATAACAATTGTAGCTCAGTGTGACATGGATCTGCGCCTATATCCAATGGATACCCAACACTGTGCATTGAGAATCGAGAGCTGTGAGTACAGTAAAAGACCTGTTTTTTGGTTGTTGTTAATTTCGAAAGTAATTAAAGCAAAACTAATGTGGTGCTGTGTTTCTTTTTACATTCAATTTAGAATCGCATCATTGAATACAATCTCGCATTCTGATTGGTTAAGGAAGCGAGGTATTTAGCGTGGAATTGCGAGTTGAAAACGAGGCTAAGTGATATTGTTTCGCATCTACGTAAGCAAGTATCGTTATTAAGTTTGGTTTGTAAGTAATTTTAAAATGTTTTCAAAACCATTGTCATCTTTTAAAGAGCCAAAAACAAAAAAAGCGTTTTTCAAGGTGAGCCTAAGGTTCTTCCTTGTTTTGAACTCAACAATAAATTCTTGAAGAGGCATGAAAAACCTCTTTCGCTCGCGAGAACGCGAAAGCGAGAAAATCCAGTGAACGCGGCCCAGAAAAAAAAATCTCCGAGCTAACAGGTCACGCCAACCCGGGTTCAATATCCAACTACAGCCATAATCTTTTAGAAAAACAATAAAGGATGTCAAGCAAGTTGGCTGGGTTTTCAGTCGTACCACTACGACTGTCACAGTTACCAACGCCAGTGACTGTCCACGCATTGAAGCCGTTTGCGAGAAATTTATGTCAACAGCCTTGCACTTCCATCAGCAGTTGGCAATAACACAACAGCAATGAATAACGGCAGTGATGATCTATCATTGGACTGTTCACCAATGTATCGTTCAACAACTCTCCAGTGAATATTTCCCTCAACTTTCGGTCGAATACTCATCCCAACGATTCAGCTAATGGCAGTTGCCTGTTGTGAATTTATACAAATAAAAAGATAAAAGTTTTGGACTTTGCATGAAAGACTTCTATGTTCTTAAAGGAATAAGATATCGATCAATACACGTATTTACACTTCAAGGTACTTACCCGGCCTATATTAATAGCGATGTTAAACTTTCAGTGTTTTCGCTTGCACACTTCATTTCTTTCTGTTTTGCCACCAGAGAAAAAAGGTGTAAATTATTTTCCTTCTCGAGCAAATTCGGTGGAAATTTGAAAAAAAAGATGTTAATAATAAACGGCTTGTAAATTCAGTGAAATACCACCATTATCCTTAAATAGTGTGAAGCTTGCTTAAAAAGTTTGAAAACGAATGTAAAAACAAGGTTCAATTAAAAGGTGTCGAAGGTTCTAACGTGCACGACTGACCTTTCTTCCTATTCGCTAACGCAATGACAGTTCCGACTGTTGACTTCGGAATGGCTTTCTGGAGCGCGCGCTCAGGATGAAAACAAACTATATTATTGCTCTTTTCTTGTTTTCCAATTTTTATTCAGTGATGCGATTCAAGGAGAATTCATTACCTGACTCGTGAATTCCGCGTTAAATTGCACTTGAAAACCAATATCGCACTCATCGCTTCGCGATTCGTGCGATATCGGTTTTCGCATGCAATTTAACGCGGAATTCCCTCGTCAGGTAATGAATTTTCCTATGTAATTGGTTGGTTTCACGATTTTCGGAAATCAGCAACATCAATCTTCCGCTCGCCGAATGTCTGAGCTCTGTTTTAGGCTTGTCCTTGCTACATGTAATTACTGAGTCATTTCTGTTTCACTGTTTCTATTCAGATGCCCACACGGTGGCAGACGTAGACTATAAGTGGAAAATTGGAAAAAATAAAGGGATTGAGATCGTTTCCTCAGAGATGGCGCAGTTTGATCTTCTTCGCGTCGTGACTGAAAACAAAGCAAGTACCAATAGCAAAGGTGAGCTTACACATGGATTCAAAGTAAAGATCCTAAATTGACGTTACCTTTTCCCAATAAGGACTGAGGAGTCTTGCCTCCCCAGCTCATCAGTGTTTCTATTGTATGAAAGACGAAGCCAACAGTTCTACTGAAAGCTTGTATGACACAAGAGGATCCCACTATCCACCTTACATTCTCTCTTGTGACTGATTCTCAGATATACCTCTGTGCTTGTTATACAAGAGACCATTCTTCCCTTTTAACCTTATCCGGGAAAGGCACTTGTAATATTTGCTCTCCACCCATAAGAAAAATTGAATCTACAAATTTAAATTTTTATCGCAGGCAAGGTTACCTACGCATATTTGGCCCATCATTTGAATCGCTTCAACAGTGCCGCACATATTCCACGAGAAAGCACAATTACTTGTCCACTGTTATTCATTTTCCATTTCAAACAACACTGTTATTCTGAAGACTCTAAATTTTTCAATGTTTCGCTACAACGAAGGGCTAACGCTCGAAACGTCAGCTTTTGTAATCGTTACGGTGGCCAATTTACCATTTCAACTTTGTTGATATATCCAAATTATTTCGTTACCCCCACCGACGCAGCCCCAAACAGTTTCTTTAGATACTGTCGGCCTTTATTCAAAATTTTCAATGTATTGCTAAATGGTAGCCATACTTTTCTCCGTTCAGGTTCATTTGCCAAATTGGTGGCGGTCTTCTCCTTCAGACGTCGTCTTGATTATTACATTTCATCTGTGTACGTACCGGAGGTCATCCTAGTAGTGCTGTCATGGTGCACGTTTTTCATCACACCCACAGCTGTTCCGGCAAGAATATCACTCAGTATCACCACTATCCTGACTACCATCCTTCTATCCAGCTCCTTAAACTCAAATATTCCAAAGGTAATTATAACATAACCAAAGTAAAGCGCGCGCTCTGATTGGTCAAATTAGCGTCCCCCATTTGCCCATGGGTGTACGCTGCTGACGTGAGCAAATGCAAAGACTATATTTCCGTTCGCGCTTGTTTTTTTCTGGTCACGTAAGATTTGTTAAATAAAAGGGAACTCGTTAGCTGCAATGTATCAATGTTATGTTATAAAACAGATGGTAAACACCACAGCGTACACTATTGAGTTATGGATGCACTTGGGAGGTTTGCTATGCACTCAAGAAGCTAGAGTCGCTCTCGGCTATCGCCTTGCGCGACTCTTACGCTTCTTTCGTGCTTAGCAACCTCCCGCGTGCATCCATAACTCAATAGTGTATGCTGTGGTGTTTACCATTTGTTAAAACGAACGGGTATTACTTGCACGGGCCTGTTATTTAACCGTGTTCTAACCCATGCTCTTCAAACCGTTGATTTTTGTGAACAGCGCGGTCAAGTATGCTTATGGCTAGCGCGAGAAAAGAATGTTTCGTCTCGAACAACGGCACATAAAACATTTCGGTGACAATAATACGTCTGTAGATAACCCTCGTTTAACAACTGGCTTTTAGCACCTTGAAGTTAGGCCCAATAAATAGTCAGATCATTGGACGCGGTGGTATGTGCCGGACTTTTCTGAAAAGGTCGTTGATCGGGAATAGAGAAAGCCGTTCCCAAGCTTTAACAATTGTTCAACTGTTACTTCTGCATTTTAGGTCAGTTACATGAAAGCCGTAGACTACTTTATGCTGACGTCGTTCGGCTTCATTTTCACTGCTCTGGTGGAATAAATCATCGTGCTGAACACTCCTGAGGCATTTTCGGATAGTTGCTACTGCTTCAGGAAGAAGCAGAAGAATAAACCAGTTCAAGCTCAGGTAACTCCTATTCATTACTGTCATTGAGATAACACCAGTGAGTTAACTGCTGAGACAATTTTATTGTCCATTTGTGTTACAAACTTTGTCTCGCGCAAGCTTCATCCTAGGATTCTTCTTTTGCTATGTTTTGAATGCTTTACGTCTGCGTTAATAACTCCTGAAGAATTTTTTTTAAAAACTGTTCCTCTAGTACGTATAGGGAGGAAGGATTGACACACTTTACTCTTGTGCATTTAGCATTCGCTGCTATTTTCATTACCTGTTTAGTAAAATCGTGCTTGTTGCAGGACGGACCAGAGGAGTTAATTCTTAAAATCAATGCTTCTCCGAAGAAATTGGACTTGGGCAAGCCCAGCAGACCACCTGAAACTAAACCAAGCGCCCCCAAGGATCACTGGGTTGACAAATGCTCCCGTATCCTTTTCCCGACCTTTTATGCCCTTTTCCTCATGGCATATGTCATACATTACAAGAGCAAAGAATGAGGGAACACTCCTGCGACTGGTCATCTAATGGAGTGATGCCAATTCATGAGTAATTCGTGGTTGTCTGTCTTCATGGTTGTACGGAGTACATTATAATTACTTGAACAAATCAATTTGCAGTCATATTGGAATATTCCAGCTTACAGTCTTCGCGACCCAAAAGTGACGTGAGGAACCAGTGAGGCTACGCGAAAATTTTTAAGTTTATATCAACTGTTAATATGCATATGATAAGAAAATATTTATTTTGGTAGCTGAATTGTGATGTGTGGAGGCTTTCGCTCTTCTATGAAAAACTCAGGAAAAAATTTTATGCGCTGTGATGACAAACTGCAACCTTCGCAAGTGCAATTGCAACAATGCTAATACAGTGTAAATTGATATATCATTATTATGAGAATCATAAGAAGAGTAATATTATACTATAATATTCATATTATGATATTCATGTAAAAGGAATGGTTGGGAAATCTGCCAGAAAACTTGAGAATGATGCCGTAAATAGATTATGCAAATTTAGGTTGATCTTAACTAGGCAAGAATATGAACCTTGGACTTAAGGCAACAAGAACTGTCGAAGAAGTAGTCGTTCTTCTCACAAAGCGTCGTTGAAACACTCCATTCCTATTCAGTCACAAATATCTTAGATTCAAAAACGGAGTACTTCCTTCAGGGAGCTTTGGACGACCGTTACCTTTAAGAAAGTGAAAGCAAAAAACAAATTTCTCTCAGAAGTAGTACTTTTTGAGCCGGTTTCTGGTTTGTCGTGGCGTAAAAATCCAGGACAACTGAACATTATAATTGTTTCGTTCCTGATCAATTCGGAGATCTTCACACATCTGTTGTCTAAAATTCAAGTGTGGTGTGAATGAAACGTTTGCTAACTGTTCCATGCTGGGTTGTAGTTACTGGGAAACTCCTCCGTTCTAATTGCTTGAGAAAGTTTTCATTACTTTATCATTGCATAAATCTGGAGCGCTTCAGGAGAAAAAAAAATGTCCTCATTTATCTCGAATTTTTCCCAAACGTACCAAATCTGCCACTTTTTGGAAAAAAGCAAATCCCCAATCGTCTGGATTTTTTTTGACATGCGTAAAACAGCGTTAAGGACCTAATTGGATAGCAGGCGCTCTCCCAAAACAGTGGCTTGAAAACATAAAGCACATACTCTATATATGCAACACTAAATTTTCCGACTGAGGGGGTTTATGGGCCCATTGTATTGATGAAGTAACAGCAAGATAAACTAACTTCATACCTTTAATCATCCCAGCCCAAACGCTTCTTGCAATGTTATTGATAAGAACCATTTAAACCAAACTATATTTAAAATTTAATCAATCAGAAATCTACTTATTATTCTTGTAATTACAAATCAAGACCTGGTTAGCAAATCAATTTGTAATATTTAAACGTTTTTTTTTTTTTTTAACGCGATAAGAATTCGTGAGCCTTAATATAGCTTTCCTGAACTGAGGGTACAATAATAATTATGTCAGGAAGAAAGCGTATATCTATGACGAGGAACATCTCAATTAATGGTTCATCCTATAACGAGCAAAAAGTCTACGATGGATAGTCATTGTAATTGTTAAAAAATTGTTAAAAAGGCAGGACAAATAATATCAATTGCTTTACATGAAGAAATGATTCATGTAAGTAATTTATCTGCGGTCTTTTTGAGCTTATCCTGCACCGCTATATGTAGAGTGTTCTTTCATCAGTCAGTAATGAACGCCGTCCCAGGTACTTATTTATCATCTAAAGATACAAACTTTTATAACCGATGATTATTCGAAAAAGAGTTCGGGAAGCAGGACTAACAACTACCAGTTGCTTTACTTAGGATAGCAAAGTTTTGTGCATGTAATTCTTCTATACCAAATCTTTGAGCTAACCCTACATCATAGAAATGCTTTATTGGTCCAGTTGTGGGCTGGTTTGTAGAAAATTGCCAAAGTTGTTTTTCATCTTCGTGCAATCTGATTGGTTCCTTTAAACAAGCAACTGGTTCTTGTATTTAGTAAAGTTGCCTTCTTGGCTGGGAAAAAGATGGGATTTAGAGCAATAATTTCACTCTATCAACGCTAGTTAGTTTTTTGATTATTTTCTTTCCGCCTTTTGAGAGCCGTGACCATATTTTTTGACTGTACAGAGGTCCAGCGAAATTTAGCATTCGACCAATGTACATTCATACATTCTACGGTAAAAAAAAAACCGTACCCCCTGCTGTGGAAAAAAAGTTGTTAAGAAAAATGTAGGGGTCTCCTCTTTAGATTTTTTACTCTAATTCACTAATTCTGCATTTGCATCGCCAAAATCTCACCCACTTCGGGTTTACTTGACAAATTGCCTTTTTCTTTCAATTTCCTAATCTTCTCGTTTAAACCATCTGAGACTGTCCTTGTCAGATACTAAAATATAAAATAGGGCACTCATCACCTGCATGCAAAGAAACCGTTTGTTCCTTGCTACTAAGACTCTAATTACCTTATCAATATCGGTGGAAAGAAGACCTCGGCCAGCTTAACCAGAAATGTGTTTCTGAATCCAAAAGGCAACAATTTTTTTTTTATATTGTAAACCACACAATTTTCAAGAATACTTTCCCTCAGCTTCGCGTTTTTTTGAAAATTACATGTTAAAACCTTCGCGATATCGTTTTTAAAACTCAGGCATTATTTAGATAGGTTGATTTTTGTGCTTTGTAAGTCAACGTGGGCGGTTCTGATACAGAAGTAATTATCGACTTTCACCTTATATATACAGTTGTTCAAAAATGAATGGAATGAAATGTCGTTAAAAACTCCACCGTCACTTTCCAACTGAGTTCATTAGTCCAACACATTTCCTTTGGAGTCGCTCTCCTCCCTAAGCGCACTGTAGTATATGGTGTACGCAACCAGAAATGTGACGTACAAAGTAGGGAAGAGAAATCTCGACAAGCGGTCGATCCAGTGCGCCTTGGGTTTTGTTCCTACTTGCGGCATTAAGGGAAGTTGCTGTTTTGGCTGTGGCTTCAGTTTGATATTTCCCTTGTTATTCCTGATTCTACAAACTCCTTCATCCATCACCTGTACAATTAAATCAACACTCCCCTTGCTGTGTGCCTACAAAGAACAGATACCTTTCTTTACACTTTGATCCCAGGAATTTTTGGTCTTTGGAACTATCAGAATCAGGGGAAATGTTGTTAGCTGATATGAAGTGGTTACTCAACGATAAGATTATTTGATGGAAAAGGCTCTGTCAGAACTTCGTAATCTTGGTCAAGCTGGGAAAGAATTTCATGAAGGATTTCCCACTACCGTTCCTTTAAGCTCTTCAGTTAGCCACTTACTGATACACAGGGTTCGTTTGTGATAGTCTAGTGGTAGAATTACAAACTATTTTAAATTTTGGTTACATTTTCTGTTGAATTATGATAGCAATTCTTTATAAAAATGCCAAACGGTGAAGAAGTACGAGTTATTGAGCTGTGCTGTCATTAATTAACCGAGAGAAAATAACATTTGCTCCTTTTCCAACGATTTATGTTAAAGATAGTATTTTCTCTACCACTTACTTCACATTCCATGGCAATTTCTTTTTTGTCTGCCTTTTTGTCCTTTTTGAACCAGGAGGGTAGAGTAAAAACTGGACTGGTGTTCAGGACGATGATGAATTCAATTAACGCGGCAAAGATGAAGCCAAAGGAGGTCAGCAAGAAATAATCGACAGCCTTCATGTAGCTGACCTTAGGCATGTCCCTGTTAACGTTGCCTTTGAGCAGAATAGAGGTCAAGATGGTGGTGATACTCAGAGCTACTCTGGCAGGGACAGCTGAAGGGGAGATGAAGAAGCAACACCACGACAAAACAACCAGGACTACGGCAGGGACAAAGATTGCAGAAACAAAGCTCTCTGTGCGCCGTCGAAATGAAAACACCGCCTTGAGACTAGCGAAGGAACCTGAAATGATTGGAGAAAAACGCATTTGGGCTTAGTTACATTTCTCTAAAATTGCTGTTACGTCACTTTCGCTTGTTCACCGGGTAACTCGCATTATTTGGCACGGAAAAGACAGGTACAGTTTGCTATTTAGGCCTCGCCCACCTATTCAAAGTACTTTAGTCATCTCCTCAGATCGTTTTCCACGGGGAACTCGTTGAAGAAATTAACCGCCCAAAAAATAGTTTTTAAACTTGAATTTCCACTTTTCAAATGTCTCAAGCTTTTTTAGTTGGATTACTCATCACATTCTATTTTAAGAATGATCCTATATCAATATAATGTAAAGCCTGTACATCTGTGTAATGACGTAAACCATTTTTCCTTTATCTATGCAAAAGATATTATGAAAAAGAATTTGAGAAAGATAAAGTACAGTTAGTCTTACTATTGTGAGCTTTCTTCTGAATTATCTAAAAATCATTTGCCTTAATATGAAACGAAAAAGGAAGGGAATCTACAGCACGTCAAATTTACATCGGATTAATACCAAAGAAAGCTCCTTGTTTTTGTGCGTACATATAGGAGGACTACGGTCATTTCAGGGAGAAATACCGTCCACTAATTACTGCTCATAACTTTAGCCACTGTATTCTAAAAACTCACCCTTACTGTTGGTCTGCGACTTCGTGTAAGTTTTAACATCAGTCAGATCGAACTGAGCCATTTCCTTAGACACTATCTCTACACTTTGTTTATCTCCTCCCTTCCAGCGGTAATCAACATCTGCTGTCGTGTATGCATCTAAAAGAGATAAATGAATATCTTTTTACTTTAACAGATCTAAAGCAAGACGTTTGACCAGCCTCGTAAATCTACGCGGTTTCTAGTTTTGTTGGAGTAATTTTCGGACGGATTGCCGGAAGAAGCAACGAATACATGCGTCTTAGATAATAACTGTCATAAAGATGAGAAATGTCTCAGGAAGCTGTGGTAGCATAAAGTTATTCCAAAATTCCTTCGAATTACGGGGTTTGTCTTGTTAATATTATGTTTTTCGTCACTGTGAAGTTGAATACACTTACAGCTTTCAATGATAAGAGGACAATACTGTGTGTCCATTGGGTAAAGGTGTAAATCCATATCACATTGGGCTGTTAACGTTATCCTGGGAAAAAAATCACAGAAAAGTTCTCATAAATCAACGTTAATCTTTTTGCTCAGGAATGCCCTAAAAACAGGCTTAGGCAGAAAAGAGCTGAGAAGAAGAGGTACTTATTAATTTGGGGATATGTTCTGATTAAACTCCAAATTCTGAGGCTAAGAATTAATGGAGAGGTTTTGACAGATACAACGGGAGTAGATAGAAAGTATTAAGATCTTGCGATTAATAAAGATGCGACATTGAATGATCTACTTCAAGATATGGAGTAGTGTTGAATCCGTTTGATGAAAGTATTCACTAAGAAAAAGATGCAGGTTCTTCGAATCGTGATTACTGTGAGTTTGGTTTGAATTTTCTATGGTATTTATTTCTACAAATTTACCTTGTGCTGTAATAAATCTCCCCGTCAGGAGATATTTTCACTCTCATATTCTCCCGGGTGACGTAATGGTATTTAGCATCTTTTACATTCCAGAAGTACGTGTCTGGAGTCCAGAAAAGCTTTGTGGGATCTGCTGCCATATTGAAAGGTTTGCTATAGTTATTCTTAAACCTTGGATCATGCCACCACTGGCGCATAAAAATGTCCATCGAGTATTCCTAAAAGAAAAAGAAAGTAAAATTCACTTTGTTCTTGGAAATAACGACAGGGTAGTAAGATTTCTCTAATTCTATAAATCAATGATAATATTGAGACTCTTGATAAAGCAAAAATTACTCCTTGAATTAAGCCAGGAGTGGCTGACGTCATGATTAGTTACCAGGGAAACTAAGTCATGTCAAGATTCTTCGGCTTAGGTTTTCTTTTTAAATAGTGAAATGGTGATCAGTTTTCTACACGTATGAATTACGTGATATTTTAACTTGAAATAAGAAAACCTAAGGTAGATATCATAGACATACCATATTGGCTTCCTTGATTTCTCCAAAGGAGATGACTTTAAATTCTATCGTCACGATGACAGGAGGTCCCCCTGCATTTGGCCTTACTTTCTTGTCATAGCCGTTTAGGCTCCGGTTAATCGAGCGCGACAAGTTGTACGCTTGAATCATATTACTTCTCACTTCACTTGTAATTCTGAAATCAATAACAAATAAATTTTCTCCGGAACATTCTCACTTATGTAGGTAGTAATTTTTTACATCTGGTCTCTGTACAGCTAATAAAAACCAAATTTTCTGAGAACTTACGAAATATTTTTCGTTTGCACTCTAGCAGATTTCAGAATTCTAAATAGCCTCTGGGAAGTGTCCGTTTGCATTCCGATAATAAAAAACTATTCGTGCCGTACATTTCCGTGTTAGAGGAGTCCTTGAATAATTGGATTGGGTAAATGTGATAAGTGTTAGTGTGTTTTTTAGCTACTAAACTAATTTTGAGGCAGTCTGGGACTCTGCAGACATAAATTTGTGATAAAAGCTAAAAGTTTTCAACAAAAAGAAGAAAAAAATTTTTTTTCAAAAACGAGAAATATAGGAGGTAGATTCATCGTAAATACTTACTCTTTACCAAGTCCGTGAGCAGCAAGACTGAAGCACATCAGAAGCGCTGAAGCAATACGAAGATATAACTTCGCCATCATGGATATGTCACTGCAAAGAGTAGAACGATACAAATAACCTTACCATCAAGGAAACTACTTCTGGTGAATTGCGTTTCGAAATTTTTTTCAAGTTATAAATCAATTCTCTACCTGTTATGATTACTTTGAAACTGTCCCGATTAGTTCACAACTTTGAACATATTTCTCAGATAGATGAAATGCGCCATTTCGTTTGATAACGTTCCAAATTTTCTTCTTGTATTTCTTGGTACTCGGGCGAGGGTAAGAACCATAATGTTCTTATTATTTTACCTCATATAATCCTGTAATTACTTTCTAATACTTACATAATTGATTGAACATGAAAATTAGTCAAGTTTCAAGATAGCTGTAACAGTTAACCTTTCCTCATCCAAAATTTCTCGTGATGAAAACTACTAATAAAGGAATTATTTTTGTCGTTTCTTCTGATGCTGATGTTGCCAATTATCAAGGTGGGTACATCCCCTGGAGATATATTTACGTTTTTGTATTTATCTGGAACTTTCCACCTGCTATTAACCAGCAGAAACGCGGTTGGAGTGTCTGTGGCCTCGATTTGATAATAACTTCCTTTCTTTCACAATTTTGTTGAAAATTTTGCTTTGTATTAGTTAAGGTACGGCTGTAATCCTGTGCTCGCAGTAATAATATAATTTTGGTGTTGTTAATGTTATCTTTATTTTTGTCACCGCATATCTTGATAACAGATAAAAAAACATCGCAGTTACAAGTTTTGAACACTATATGGGTTTGCGGGATATCAAACAATAACTTTGAGCTTAAATGTTTTTGTTTAGCAATTATACCACAAGTTTCCTACACGTTCGGATAGCGTCTGCTGCTTTCTTTTGCTAAAAAATTGGTTCAACGCCCAAAAGAGTATTTTCCAACACAATTTTAACGACAAGACAAGAATTAACGTGGGATATAAGGTGATATCAATTTCACACTGTAAGACAATGTTCTCTGAATACGAAATCAAAGTTCAAAGCATTTAATACTGAAATAGCTATCAACTTGCTTTTTCTTTCACTCCAAATAACTCATTTCGTACGTTTGTAGGCTTTATCAGGCTGGCAACTGTGCCACAGAAAACAACCATGTATTCCAAAACGAAAATCATAAATAAAAAAAAAAAACGACGAGTCTAACTAAGATTGTTTCTCTCAAATTGAGCACAAAATTATCTCTCTGTTCTTGATTATGGCTGCTAACTTTACAAATTGTCTATTTTTTCCTTTTCGTTCAGTTTTGTTGACATGCCATTAGCTGAACCTTCATTTTGTCATCAACACATTTTGTCTCATTCAACGAGTGTAGTAATTTTGTATCTCCACATCCCCAGCCATGTCATGCTGATTAGGCCTAATATGGTCAAAATAACAAGTTGCTGCTGGTTGTGAACTTGGCGCCTGACGTTTGGTATCTCACTCTTTTAGAAAGCGACGATGAAATGCCACTAGCATTGTGGCCTTTGTGTGCATTTTATGGCTCGTCATCGTCATCATACTATTTAGTTTTGAATATCTAGAGAAGAACTATTTATTTGGAAGTTTTCAATTATATTGAAATCAAATCCTGTTATGTTTCTCCAGGTTTCCATTCTTTCTTCACTTCTAAGTCACCCTCTAAATTCCCAATATCTTTTCGACATAAAGCTATCTCTAAAATTTAAACCACCACTAGCAAAGAAACTGGAAATACGGACCAATTGATAAAAATAAATAAAAAAGCCAAAAATAACCCCCAATAAATTCAACATTGATAGTTTTCTTTATGTATGCAAATTACAATTGTAAAGAAATCTGTTTTGTAGCAGACACAAAACGATTAAGAAACTGGAAACACACTGTAAGGTCAGATTATCTGCCCGGCCTAAGCTGATGAACAAGCTTTTTTTTTTTCATCGAAAAATATAAGAAAATAATGCTTAAGGCAATAAGGCGTACTTATTTCGGCAGATTAGCATCTGTGCAGAAGATCGATGCCCTACAGAGAGAAAATTTACAAAAGAAATAGATATTTTGAAATGAAAATACTAAAAATTAGTTGTAAGCCTAAGAATCTTTAATCGGTTAATGAATGCCTTGACAAAGTGTTCGGCGGATAGATATGTATGTATCATTCGCAATACAAGATTTCCCTCGAGTATAAATAAACGTTTTTGGCATAGAACGTATCCACAAAACATATTTTGTCTATTTCAACCCGAAGTGAAAATGCCGTACTAGTTTCATCTAATAATACGTGAGATGGTTCGGCCAAAGATGTGTAATTCAAAAGGTCTTTAGTTCGCCTCAGACATTAGAATATACTAGCTCTCTTTATGTTAGCCAAACACTGAAAGAACCTAAACGAAGAAATCAAACAAGTGCTTGAGCGCGTGCATTTACCAATTGCTACGTGGCTTTGGTTCCCACGGTGCCGAAAAAATTAATAGTCGTTTGCATTTATCTTACGGATGAATGAAGAATGATCTTCATTCTAAACCATATAATCGATTTTTAAGAGGACAACGGCATTATTCCTAAATCCATGGAAAGCAAACTCGTTACTGTCGTTTAATAATCTATCAAATGTCGACAGATTTTATCAAAAGTGCTGGATTTTTTACTCATAGAGATGAAAACTGATGACGGAAAACATATTAAAACTTAAGTTTTGAGATGCGTCTTATATCGTAAACGAACAAAACAATTAGTCATGAAACGCTTACCTCTGTTTTAAGCGATTAGAGATTTTTTTAAATCAAGACCTCTTTTCAGTCCACTTGTGCCAGTCCTCGCAGTTTCAAATCGTCGCAGTAAAGTTGGACATGATAAGCTAGTTTCATTAATACTCGAAGAAGAGTTGTTTGTTGATAAATCTTGTAGTGCACTATTGAGGTGTTGGAAGCATCGATAGTTTAGTCTCAGGAGACAGTAAATAATTCATGCGATTCGATAATCGACTCAACCTTCATGATATCACCTGCTACCCAGTACAAGAAATTGATCTTGTACCATAAAATATTTGTTGGGACGGGGTTATTTAAGTATTAGGAAACGATTTTCGAAATTCTTTGACATAATATAACTAGGATATGATAAATTAATTTCAGAAGATAGAAATGTTTAAGTTCATCCATCGTGGCATTAAACTTAAGGATATTTGTTCTCAAATGAAGAATGTTTGTTAGCTCGGCGTTATTCAAGGATATATAACAATAATATTTGCAGTACTTTGAGATAATTTAAGAAGGATAAAATAAATCAATTTCAGAAGATAGCTATATTTAAGTTCACCCACATTGGTGTTAAACTTTAGAATATTTGCTTCTCAAATGATTTTCCATTGCTGGTGAAGCTATCATTATTGGTCTCGAAGAAACTGGCAGGAAATTCATTAAAATTTCTTCGCAAAATTCCTCAGTTAGTCAGATGTTAAACGAGCTCAGAGTTTTACACGAATAATGCACAAAATTAAACGACTCAGCACCATGTGGCTAAAGAGTTTCCTCTCATTGTACACTCAGTGAAACCAAATACATATCACTGCAATCAAATGCAAATGAGGTTCGCATGCAAAGTCAAGCTCAGTGCGCACACGCTTGAAATTCTTCATACTCTCTTTAAAATATAAGGAGGCATTTTTCATTAGTTCTCGGAAGTCTTTGTGACAAAATTTTAATTGAAACTTTGCTCACGAATGAAGTCAGCGGAGGAAGTAGATTTGCTTTTGAGGAAACGAAACGGCGCGGAAACCACTTTTCAACGTAATTTATCGTTTTCCATACTTTTCCAGTGCTTAGATGCTGATTAGAAAATGAAAAATGATTTCCATTTTATTATTACAAAAAGTAGAAAGAACATTTTCATGTTGTCTTGAATCATTCTGACGTCGTAAAAATTTCAAATTGGATTCAGTGTTTTTCAAATACGAAAATAATAGCTTTAAATTTTCCATGCTCACATCTTCTTTGCTTAAGTTCAAACATAAAAGCAGTCACTAGGCCAAGTAAAAGAAAAATTAGGCTTTACAAGTTCTTCACCGCTTGAGACCACATCTTAGCCAAACTGCAACTCAGAAAAAAGAAAAGCAGAAAATATGTTCTTTGATCGTTTTATAATTATGCTTCTAAGAGACCGAGAATTAGGGTCAATCTGAAAAATGTAGTGCAAGCCTGTTACATAATAAACCAAAATGGTTAAATTTTAGAGCAATCATCTCTGCAGGTCAAATATTACAAAATCCCTGGTATTTTCATTCATTCATTCCTTTTATCGGCCATTACCAGAAAAAAATTAACCGAATACAAAATTTATGATACATCGAGATAAAAAAGAACTATTCTAACTAAATGAACCTCAAAATCAAATGAACTGAAGAGCGGTAACAGCAAGAAAGCCTATTCGAAGCCGGTGGCTTATAAAGTATAGGCTTCCTTAGACTATAGGATAAACCACATCGTTCAAAGGTGCTAAATAAAAATTTAGATTAAGTCAAAAAAAAAAAAAGAAAAGAAAGAAAAAGGTGTGTAGCTTAACAAAGAATATATTTAACTAAGAAAGAGGAATTTTTTAAAGCCTTTTGCTAAACAAGCTAATGCTTTCAGAGTATTGAGTTTCCCGACTTAGCGTGTTGAAAAACTTAGGACCTTGAAACCGAATTGAAAATTTTCGAAAATTAGTTCGACAATGAGGTATGCAGAATAAGCTGTAATTTATTGTATTATAAGAATGTATCTGGCTAGCAAGAGTAAACTTCTCATGAAAATAATTAGGAAGTAAGCCCCTTTTAAACAGATACATAAATCTACCTATTTGGTAGAAATAGAGGTCCGAGAATTTTAAGATCCCATGTTCTTTAAAAAGAACATCGGTATGTGAATTAAAAGAAACTTTAGATATGATTCTCATTATCTTCTTTTGCAGAATAATAATACGATTTAAATTACACTGATATGTCAATCCCCAAACTGAAACACAATAAGTTAAGTAAGGATTAACTAAACTTTAATACAAGGAGCGTTAGGAAGTTTTGGAAAGGCAGAAACCGGACTTGTAAAGAATACCAGTTGATTTTGATATTTTTCTAGAAACGCTAAGAATGTGAGGCTTCCATGACAAATGCTCATCGAGGATAACACCCAGAAATACTGTTCTTTCACACGTCCAATAACATTGTTGTCAATTTGAATAGATATGTCAAGTGCCTGCCTTTTTTGGTGAGGACTATAAAATCATAAAATTCGATTTTTTAAAGTTAACGGACAGCTTATTCGCTCGACACCACTGAGTCAATTTAAGCAATTCAGTTCAAGATCTCAGAAAGTAAATTAAAATATTTGTGGGAAAAAAGTATATTTGTGTCATTCGCAAAGAGAATAAAGTCTTAGACCTTTGACAAATTGCAAAGATCATTTATATAGAGTAGACTAATTGTGACTAATTAGCAGGGAATATATACTATATTAAAGGTAAACTGCTTTTTGAAATTAAAGAAAAAGAAAATTCTCAAAGAACGTTCAGAGTAAGGAATTTGTAAATATTTCTGTGATCAAAAGTATTTTTATGCATTTTGTCGCCAGTCTCGCAAGGGATGATTTGTTGCCTAGCAACGATTTTTCTCGAGTTATAACTTCAAAAACATGTAAATTTGGATTTCCAATTTTTTCAACCTTTGAGTTATCACTAGAAATATCTTTATTAGGTTATAGTCTAATCATGCTTAAAAAATACCAATGCCCAAACATTGAATGGAAAGATATCATTCCAAAGTCAAATTAGTGATTTCACGTCAGCGACGTAGATAATCTACCTTAAGAAAACGCCAGAAATAATTTTTCATCTAAGTCGTAAATCTTCTTTTAGATAAAAGTCAATTTATCTCGCAGATAAAAACATGTAATAAAAGACTGTTTCTAATGTACAACTTACCTTCGGAGAATCTGAATTGAGCTGCACGTAGAAGTCGGGTGCATTTAAAATTCAAAGACAAACGTTAAAAAAATTTAGTTAGTTTGGTTACACCTCATATTTTTTGCGTTAAGCTCATTAGGTAACCAGTAAATATTCAAACACTCAATTTTGATGACCTTGTGTCGACCAAAAAAGGGTTAAATATTATCAAACGAAATGCTGGGTATGCCAGCATGAGTAATGTAGAACCGCATGTTACGTTATTTTGTCGATAGCACACCTTGATTAAATGGTCACGGTACCCAAAGAGGCCTTTCTGCCTAAAAATACACAATTAGGAGACAAGTTGTTGTTAAAGAAGCAGTTTAAATTCGTTTACGAAGAGGGGAATGTATATCAAAATGCATGTAAAAATAGTTTGGGAAATTCAACATGATTTTGCGGTTTTGTGCTTGTTTTCAACGCATCTGATAAAGGTCGAATGAGTTATCTGATCATCGTGTAGGCGTTCTTCATCGTTCATGTTTAAAGATTTATCTCCGCAAGGTGAGTGATTCGATCACTCCATTCACTGAGTCCCATCCTGAAGAGATCTCTTTTTGAGTGCTGTGAGCGATGAACCAATCCGAACTACTCGCGGAAAGATTTGAAGTTTGGTTAAATATTTACAGCGATGAAAATTTTCCTTTTAAATCGAAACAAAACCACTAAAGAAGGTAATTACATGTAATAGTCTGTTTTAGTTTATGAAGAATGCCTTTAGATCCGCGACAAGATGCTGACGTCGTTTAGCCGATGGAAAGCCTGTAAATTTATCGTCTCTTGCTGTGTGTCAAATTAAGCCGTAACACCTCATGCAATATTCAGCATTACAGGATACGTTTTAATTTCTTTGGTTCATCATGAAGTGAGTGTTTGACGCCTTATTTCTTCACCTTAATTCTCTGAGACAACAATATTTAATAACATGACTGTCGATTTTGGAGTAATTCTTTGTAATTCTTCTCAATCATTTGTGGTCCCACAACAGATGAAAGTTATCTTCACTTGTACATTATATTTATTCCAGGGTCTTTAATTCATTAAAAATATAATATCAACTTGACACTCCTTGATCAAAACTTTAGAATTCTGGTTTTAAATATACGTAATTAATCTTCCACGAATCGCTTTGACCAAATTTTTCATTAACTGATGCCAATGATATTTTCAGACGGAGAATTTGATCGAGCGGAATTTTCTAAAGCGATATAACACGTGACAGGTGGTCTGATTTCAAACGTTTTTTGTTTGAAGCGTTCTGTTTTTAAACTCCGAGATCTGAATGCGGATAATGAGAGGAACAATAATGAATAACAAGACAAAAGATCGATCATAATCAACTGGCTTTGTCGTGTGCGTATTACCAGCGTGAGACAATAGCCTCAGCTTTGAACAAACCGACGTGTTCCTTTCTACCAAGTTTGTGTTTTTACCTCTGAATCACTGTTTTAAACCTTTGTGTTTGAAGGTAGAAATCTGAAGAAGAGGTATATGTTTTGGGGTAGAATGAGGGTGAAGGGAATTTCAAAGCCATTTCGTAAACGTTTCCAGAATTTTCGTTGACTTCATATGTTTTTTTTCTTTTAAGGTCGATATCGCATTGTACTCGACAAGGTTTCTTTGCTCAGACCAGACATTGAGGCTCAAGGGAAACTCAGGTACATTGAAATATTACTTTTCCAGTTTTTCTCGTGAAGTGATTAAATAATTTTATTTTGTCATGAAACTTACCATGCGAGACAAAAACAGAGTTAAACGATTCCTCTCTTCGTTAGTTCTGATCAATTAAATTACATTTTTTTTAAAAAGCAAAACAGTATCGTAAATAACTATTTGGATAATTTTGAATGTATTCAATAATGGAATCAGTGAGGAAAAAAGATATCAATTTTACACTTGCTATTGTGGTGGAAGAAGGAAACTATCTTAGTACACTTTACAAGGAAACTTTTCAGTTATTCCTTTTGTACTTATTGAAAAAGAGTCTGCCATTACTTCTTATCGTTGAAAAGTGAACTTGAGAAGCCGGTAGAGTATTTATCTGATTACCCCTGGTTTATGGTGCTAAAACCAACTTGAGCTTTGGTGATTTGCAACATTTAGGGATGGAAACAATTCTGTTTTGTAGAGGGTCAAGCTTTAGCCCTATGGCGCGTCAAGTAATTAACATAAAGGACTTAAAGTTTGGAGTTATTTTCAATCTTTGAGTCTGGCCGTCGGACACATTAATACGTTCGTCGTCGAGCTTGTGTTTGAGAAATCTTAGGCAAATTCTTCATACGCATAGCAAATGAAAGTTTATCGACCGCGGACTAGGAATTGATTTGAAATTAATAAGTGTGATAATTCAGGAACAATTAATTGTTGTAAAAGCTTTAAAATTTATTGAAAATTATCTTGAGACCGAAAATCATTTGCAGAAAATAAATTTCAACTTTTGACCTTTTAAAGATAAAAATGTAATTCAATACAACTTATGAAAATCTCTCAACTGAATATATATCTAATTACGACGTAAACTAAGAAGAATGCTGTGAATTTAGCATGAACATTTAATTTTCAGAAGCTGAAAGAGCAGTTTAGTATTTTCCATTGTGAGTACTTTTTTGCAAATAATTTCGAAAGAAAATTTCTCCTCAATCTTTTAAGCCTCTGTTAGCCACACACTTACCTTTGACCACCTTATTGATATAATTTTGACAGACTTCTCTTTGTAGCTTTTTTTGTATATTTTCCTTTAAGGGCTATAGAACCACAAGGACTTTGAATTTTTGAGTTCTCTATTATTTAGGAACCTTAGCTCTTGAATTATTAGAGACTAGTGCTACAAAATGGTTAACTGTTTGTTAGTTTCTTTAACTGAGAAAGAGTCTGTCTTATTCATCCTTTTAGCTGAAGAAGGGTACCGGGTCACAAAACAGCATCCCTTTTAAAAATTATCTCGTAAAGTTACTGATTCAAAATAACTGATGACTATCGTCAGACTAATGCTACAAAATGGTTCACTGTTTTTAGCCTCTTTAACTGAATTGAGAAAGAGTCTGTCTTCCTCTTCATTTTAGATGAAGAAGGGTACTGGCTCACAAAACAGCATCCGTTTTAAAATTTATCACGTAAAGTTACTGATTCAAAATAACTGATGATTACCGTCGTCCACGCCCATTAAAAAATAATTTGCTTGCATTCTTTGAGGCGTAGCCAACTTCCCCTCTTGAGAAACGATAGCGACCTTCCAATCACGCAAAATTTCCATAAACAAAAGAAAACAGCCTAACCAAACCAAATTTTTTTTATTTTTAACCATGTTTGAAGCTTCAAATAGTTTCGTGTTTTTCTTTTTACTTAGTGAAGTGATCAAAACACTATAGCCCTAAACTGCACTTAGCTACACAGTACAATATCATCAATTACGTAGCCAGTCACGCAAGAATTAGAGAGGACCTAAGAGAAATAAAGACTGGAATGCCAGGTTTTGAAAGTAAAGCCACACTTTGGAGGCAGTTTGCAACAATTACGCAACAATCTATGAGTTATAACCTGTGCAGAGATTTTAACTTGTACGATAGACAACTTTTTATCACCTTTTCAATTACAAAACTTGAAATTAAAACAGTCAAAACAATTTGTTTTTTTTTGCTTTTCGTCCACTGCAAAATGTTATTTTTGCGTGGTTTTTGTGGCCGTTGCAGAGCAATTTCTTCTTTCTTTATCTATAACATAAATTACTTGTTCTGCTGTGTCCAATCATATTTTCACTTCAATTTAAATTTAAAAAGGGAAGATGCCTACATCTTACTACAGCTGACTTGTACAGATTCCGAAAAAGGAGTGGTTGACATATCGCTTTGTAGGGAGACAAAAACTTTATTGAGTTTCTTCCCGATTTAGTTTCAAATCAACAAATTTTATCTCTGCTATAACTTCTAAAGATATTTGAAATGTCCCATCGAAGGAAAGGAAATACGAGAAAAAAAAAAAACATTTTATTCATTCAAATAAACATTCCTCAAAACAGTGTACGTGACATCAAAAACTATGGTTACTCATTATTTCTCACCTGAATTTAGAGTGCAAGTTCTTCGTCTTACGTATTCTTTAAGATGCCAAACCGTTGTTTAACAAGAAAGCTCCACTGACTTTGTTGTTTTTCTGAATCCAGCTGGCGTTCTTTCTGTACAGCCGTTGTTTTATGGTAACACACATGCAAACTCAGGACCACAATACCGCAAGGCAATGTAAAAATATAAACTTATGACATCCTGCGTCAGTCTCTACTGCAAAAAGTTGTAAATGGACTTGGACTTCAATTTGACCACCAGCGACACTAGAACTGTAAAGTATAAAGAGGAGGTTTTAAGAATTAAACCAGCGGTTTAAACTTATCTTAATGGAATCCATTGAAAATGTGTCGATGAAACGATATTGATTTACATTTTCGCGCAGGTCTTAACCTTTCAGATGATATGCGGTTTTCACCGGGTAGATGATGGTTGTATAGGTTCAGGAAAATGGTTTGTTTTGAATATTCGTCAAACCGACCGGGACATTTAGTTAGAGGACTTATGTTGTCTCATTCTATTTATACGGATTAATTTTCATATGTTTTTTTGGAGCTTTACCTCTCTCTCAATGGGAGAGCTCCTTTTTTGGTCATCATACGATAATGGCCTCCGCATGCCGTCTTGTTTGGTGGTTTCACTTAATTCACAAATCGTTTGTAACATCCCAAGGTGGTGAATTATTTATTTTCCGAAATGTCCTTGTGAAAAAGGTTCTAGTTTCACATTGCAATCAGAGCATCGCATAGTTTAAAATCTGAACCTTTATTTAATCACTAAAAAGAGCCAAGTTTACCCTTAAAATATCTGTACAACCAAACGGAGGTTTCGTTCACATTTTGTACATTAAACATTGAAGTACACGTCAAAATGTTTTGACTCGCCGTTCTTGCTTAAAACTGATTAGAAGTACCTTAATTTTACCGAGAACAGATGTAGTTGAAAGTTCCGTTATGCTGTGAGGTGACACAGTATTTTAGAAAGATTCGTACGCTCATCAGTTACACAATATAAACATCTTCTTGAGCATCGGTATAATTCTATCACTCGTATAAGTCCTTATTGCAACGCTAGAAAAAACTCCTTATCTCTATAGAAGTGAATATCTCTTTAATTCTTTTTACTGAAAGAATTCCATAGGAATTTTCATTCCCAATAAAAACCTTCCAGCTTATTCTAAGAAGCCGTCTACAACGACGCGAGAGCTCTTAATTTATGCTAATTCTTCACCGCGAATGTTCCGGCCGCTGTCCAATGTGTATAATTAACGGAGTGCTTGAATACTCTTTGTATTTACCGTAAACCCAAAGCTGATTGTAATGTGCGCAGTTAAACGCTACAATGAGATTACATGAAATCTGTCAATTTCAGATCGCCTAAGGGTTCAATTTAATTGACATAATTTCAAGAAATGCTTTTCGCATAAAAATCATCGACTACACGCAAACTCGCAGCATTGGTGAGTATTGTTTGATATCTTTTGTGGTATTTGCAGAGAAACATACCTTATTCCATATTATCCACAAAATCCATATCACAGAAACACGGTACATTTTTGTAAATGCAAGTCAGAGTTCACGTTAGGCTTCAAGAACTTCTTCATGAGGGAGATCTTCCGAAAAATATTGCTTTCACGAAGTTTTTCCGAATCAAGCTTATTGCTACATAGTGCACCTAATTATGTAGCTAAAATAAGCTCTCCAGTGACAGTGGATTAGGCTAACGCAACTTAACAACTCTCCAGAAAAGGTGTCGTTAAGCATATTTACTTCAATGTTTATCCGAATATATCTAGACTAACCAACAAATATCCTTGTAGTAGTTTGCAATTTGTTCAGTGTATCAGAAATTTACTTTAAGTGATTAATATTTTAAAATAATTCAAAAGGCTTTTAAAAGAAAGCCTCTCGTGCCGTGTTGTTACAGGTGCTTCGGTAAACCAGTCTCTATGAAGCACGTTTTTCTCAGGTCTTCGATGGATCTTCCCTGATAGTGGTCAAAAGTGGTCTTTTGCGGTGTAAAATGTTAAAAAGATAAATCTTGCTAGATCATGGAAATAACATTTACGCTCAAAAACAAGGAGAAAAATTAAGCTACAGGCGATATTGTTCCTGACGCTCACTACAATGGAAAAGGTTGTGTTTGCTGAGAATTTAGCCGACATAAATAATTCACATTTTAAAGCGGATGTGACCGAACGGTTATTTTGTGAATCAGTTACGAATAAGAATGGAAAGTGACAAACAATAGAAAAGGATTCCCCTGTTGGCAGACAGATTGCTATTGTCTCCTTTTGCCAGATACCTTGGGTCTATCATTAATTCTTGTAAAGAATTCCACAGGATTTCTAATCCCACCTGCAAACAGAAATGTTAAGTTATTGTCGTATAGTATTAGTTTTCAAATGATGAAATATCATTTCCTATACCTTAACGACAGGTTGCATTTAATGTGACTTTGGAAAGGCTAGGTGAATACTAGGTGAATACTAAATGTACTTTTGCCTTCTCTGGTATATTGTACTGAAATAATGACAAAAATAAGGAAATTTTAAGCAAAATTCTAGAATCATTCTTCAAAATAACTGTGGAAGTTGTTAGACTAATCGTATTTTTTGCTGTTTCTTTACCGTTTTCGAAAATGACCGATATGTTTTTACTTAAAACATTTCTGGTTAAACGAAAATCTTTTAGGAAGTGTTGCTAAAGAGGAAACTAACGACCAAATTGTTGCAGGTCGCATACATTTTAAGCGGAAAAACAATGTATAATTTTCGTAAGCCTTTTGTGTATAGAGGGTGAACAGGAACCCTGTAAAGGTGGCAAAGTATCTAATGTGTTGAAAAAAGTTAAAATTCAATCGATGGATGGCGTTATAGTTTGCTATTTATAATTTGAGACTGCGAACTTGTTTACATTAAGTCAGTTGTGGGGTTGCATTTGTTTTGCCACATTAGGGCCTTCTAACTGCCAGAATGTCTGCGGTTAAAGCCTCCCATGTTTCCACGCACTGATAACCTATTTTTGGTACGATTTTAAGGTTTTTTGTTTTATAAAAGGAGACTTCTTTTCGATTGCAGGTGGACTAAAGAAATAGTGAAAAGAACTTGATGAATGTAAGGCTTGAATTTTTTGTGGGGATGCGAAGGAAGTTTCTATTGCAAAGATGGTTTGAATACTTCTTCCTAATTTTTGCACTAATACATTTTTGTAAAGTGAGCAATAGCTTTTTTAATGCAAGGGTAAACTGCCGAATGTTAACGGTACAGTTTTGCGAGAGCAGAACAGAGTTTGAAGCAGTCAAATTAGATCATTCACCTGTAACCTGGGTCTTGTCCCGTTTACTGATCATGCTGCTGTGTACTGAATGTTATGTTCTTTCTTAAGATATTTCACCCGTCTACTTAAAGGATTGTAAGGAAGATTAGGTTTATTGGGATAATTAAGGCAGATAGTGGTCCAACTCGTCGAAGAAATAACGCCACATGGGATAGGAATGCAAGGATGTTTGACCTAAGCCTCTCTAGGCGGCAAGCCAAAGAAAAGTAATGTAATGTTTGAGTTACGAGGGCTGATTGTATAATGACTATTTCGCGTGTTTGCATGGTGCATAATTTGCAAGCCACCCGACATAGCATAGTTATGACTGTACTTCCAAATGTCTAGAAGAATCGATCTTTAAAATTTCATTTATTGATTTATTTTTTTAGGGGGGAATAAAAGCAACCTCGTCTAAGATATAGTTTAATTAACATCGTTTCGTGTTTACTTTTTCAGCAAAAACCCATTTTGTATACTTCAAATGAAAGACAGGATAAAACTGGTTTGATAAGTGCTTGAAATAAATTCTGGTTGCCCAGTACTAATTACTCGGAACTAAACTTACTTTTCTTTAAAAGCAGATATCCATTGATCTCAACGAATACGAGTAAATGGATATTAGTTTTTTGCTTACAATGAAAATATGATCACAATGTTAAGAAAGACAAAATTTCCGAGATCGGATTCTTAGACCACTAAAATTTTACAGGAACCTTAGCAAATCAAGCTAAGCTAAGCTAGCGAAAATTTAAAGCTTTTAGTTCAACCACCAAAGCCATTATAGTGAAACATTTATTAAATCGTGGTAAGTTTAATGTTTCACATTTGCAACCACAACAAAGAAACCCAAATACAAACTCAAGGCCAAAGACTGGATTTTGCGAAAATTTTCGCCTCTCAAAAACAGGCTACCTTTAATGCGAAAGGACAAATATCGTAAACAACTATTCCTTAGATTGGCGTTTTACCAGCAAAGTGGTGTTTTACAAGAACTTGGAACCGCGAGAAAATGAGTTTGACTGATTTTATTTTCCTAACATGTACCATACTGGTTGGGTAAATCGCTTGGCGCCTTAGGTGAAACAATGGTTGAGGTTGTGGAAGATCTGAATTTCTATCTTCTTTGACCTTGAAAAGAAATTACATCTTAATGAGACATTGCAGATATCATCGCAGTTATACACGGTTGGCGAATTGGCTGGTATTTCGTCGCCGCTCCTCATCGCCTTTTTTTAAGTCTAAGTTCCTCGAGGTTTACTGAAATCAGAAAATATTGCGCTAGAGAATATTTGCGTAATATGGCAAATAGAAAAAATAAGCAAAAACTATCTCACTGTCTATCAGACTGTGGTGTCTTTCAAAAGCATTTAAATCATATGGCTATGAATGCTAGTTTTCGACTCGATATTTTTAAATTTTGCTTTGTGAGCTTTTGGATAAGGTTCTCTCAAGGCTATACCTTGATTACCAAGAATGATATTATCTTGCAGTCTCTTGGTGGAATTACTGTGACGACGCACTGTGTGTGATGACAATTTTCCTTACCGTTTTGTTATCAAAGCAGTCGTAATTTGCATATAAGGGTTATCAATAATTTTGCCAATTATGCATGGATGCTTGTCCGCGGTCATCGTGTAAATTAATCGTCAATCGATTTGCGTAAGAAAAAAGGTTGTTCGACCGTTGTTCTCTTTATTTCCTTCTTTAAACATCCACTTGTTATTTCTTCATGTCAACAGGTTTTTGAAGCCAGGACTTGACATCGACAAACATGAGGTTTCTGTCGTCAATATTATTCTGGATAACTCTAGGAAATGCTATTTGGAGATTAGCCGAGGCAGAAGAAGAAAGGTAAGATGTTATTTCATTTCGCTAAATTTATCGAACGGATCTCACGAAAAGTTATTTTCAAACAATATTATGTACAGTAAAATGTTCTGTGTTCCCTGCTGGCATGTGATAAGAAAAGAACCAACTTATTGCCATCTTTACTAACGTCGCCATGGGGAATAAGAAGGAAAACCCAGAGTTAGGATCTATTTTCTCTGTATCTAATCTGTAGGGAGAACAATGGTTAGCTCTTGTGTAAGCAATCGTAACCAGTTCCATTTTTTGCTGACTTCTGCTACATTTTGTCTTTTCAAGTGCAATGATCTGTTCTTCATTAATAATATATATTTAAACGGTATGCCATATTGATCTTTTTCACACTAAAGACGCTTTACAAAACTGCCTCATTTAAAAGCCTCTAAAATAGCCAGTGTACATCAGTTCAAAGATAAAAGTTTCTAAGCTCGATCAATGGTGAAAGGGAAAGCTAAATGAAAGCTTTAAAGATGAGTCCAAGCGGCTCGACAAAAATTCTTTATTATTCTTTCTCATCTCGCAACAGGGAATCCAATAGCCCTGCTCTAAATAAACGAGTTGCATTTATGAAGTAGTGAACAGAATTGCAAACGTATTTTCAGACGCGGATGGTGATCAAACGGAAAATGCTATTGCTGCTGGTGCGCTCTAACTGAAACTAATATACTGTAAAGTCACTGTTTTTTGCAATTAAAACGAAATGGTACAGACAAAAGATATCTGTCATGCTGCTGGAAAAGGAAATCTAAACTTCCTGCTAACTTCTGCCTTTCAAAATTGTCTTTATGGAAATTAAGTTTTAATAATAATAATAATAATAATAATAATTTAATATTTATATTACGCCAATTAACATGTGGATATGATCAAATGCGCATCACAACACTTTTCAGGGGACTTTGGCCTGACTGCATCAGCATTTTACAAACAATCGAAGGAAACTTATCTGAAGATGCCCCCTTCCCCTCAATTCCTAGTAAACAGGCCAGACCACATCACAGTAATCTCGTGAGTGGGTTCTTTAACGTCCCCTGGTAAACAATATAACTAATTAATAGACGCAGGAGACGGGACCTACGGTTTATTCGTCCTTATCCGAGAAGACTAGAATCTCTATCCATTTCTTGATATTATAGAAAGGTAGCGCATTCTCCTCAGTTATTTTAAGACCTTGAGTGTTGATCCGGCAGGGGCTCGAACTATCGACCTCGACCTCCCGCACAATAGTCCAGCGCTCTAACCAATTGAGCTAACCGGGAGGGGTTACGACAGCCTGTCCACCCATGACTTCAGCTCGGTCGACTTTTTATGAAAATAACCCATGGACTAATAGGATACTAAAGGAAGGTATAAAGAAAGCTGACCGCTGGCTATGTTTCCAATTTTCGCACCCGATGTTGGTAAAAGATCATCATCCTGTACTTTTATAACTATGCTACTAAAAACAAGACGAAATAGAATAAGTCAAAACGAAAGAATATAAAAAGAATAAGACGTAACGAAATAAATGATAAATAAAATAAAGCATGAAAACGTACATCAGGTTTTAAACTTATTCAGATCTAGGGATCATAGAGATGTTGAATGAATTCAGTTTAGTTTAGTTTAGTTTAATTCATTCGCCACAGGAATGGCAGGAGAAAGGAACAGAACTTTCGTTCCAATTGACACCTAACCCCTTTTTTTACCCAACCATCTCACCCTGGGGAGGACATCCATCACACAGTAATCTCATGTGTGGGAAATTAACGTCTCCTACCCCAACCCTGCAGGAGACGGGATTACCATTTATCGTCCCTATCCGAGAAGACTAGAAAGTCTAACCATTTGCAGATATTATTACAAAGGCAGCACTTTCTTCTCAGTTGATTAAAGACCCTGAGGGTTGGTCCGGCCGGTTTTGAACTCACGACCTCCCGCACAACAGTCCGGCGCTCCACAAATTGAGCTAACCGGGAGGCCGTTAATTTGATGGATAAAAACATAAATCGATGAATGATAAAAGGAAAATTCTTGTGGGTTCTTTTTTCCCCGTGAAGAGTTCCTATCACAAATGAATGAATTAAATAATATTTTGACCTGTTGATAATATCAAATAAGGAATTAATCCTCACAAGTAAGCTGCAGTTAACGAAATTACAGACAACGAAACTTTAAAAACATTTCTGGTCGCGATGGGAAGCCAAAAACATTTACCTTGTCATCAACTTGTGGCCCAGGGGTTCGAAACACATCTAAAATGAATTTTTCAGGCTCCTTTTTGTGTAATTTCGAATGGAATTCTACCAGAGAGGATAATGTTTATTTTTTTTTACGATTCATAGTTTTATTGAACCTTAAAGGTAGAGCGTGTTCATGAGTTTTGTTTGTTTTATTTTCTAGGTCCCTTAAATATTATGAGAAGTCGATGGAAGAGGCGTTGCAGCTTTCAAAGAAGATAAATGACGCTTTAGCTGTGCATGACAAGAAGGTTCGACCAAACGCTGGAGGTGAGAAGAGAAATATTTTTTACAGATAAGGAAAAAAGAATGCTAATTTTTCAAAGAATTTATCATTCTTAACATCGATCGATCCAAAAAAGAAGGATCAATATAATAGACCAAGAAACTAAACAAAAATCAGGGTTGCTTCCATTTGCTGCTGTGTGCTTCTGTGTTTTTCTCTCCAACCCTCTCAGGGTCATAAATGGGCCTGGATAAGAATTGGCTTGGGGACAATTATTTCATTATAATTGACTGTATGCCACTCTAAACCTTTAACTTTATTCTTTTACTCTCCCTTTTAATAGGTCCTCCTGTTATGGTAGACGTAGAATTCAAGATCATTTCGATTGGAGAAATCAAGGAAGCCAGCATGGTAAGAGATAAATCTACCAGGAAACAGAAACGTGGTAAAGATATTGATTTTTAAAAAATTATTCAAATATAATTATAATAGATAAATGTACAAGTAACTCAATATATATATCCTTCAATACTGTCTTAAAGGAATACACGATGGATATTTTCTTTCGACAATGGTGGGTTGATCCGCGGCTGGCACACAATTTCAGCACTCCATTTAACATGGCAGGGGACGCTACAAAGTTGATTTGGACACCAGATACATTCTTTTGGAATGTGAAAGCTGCCAAATATCACAAAGTAACACGGGAGAACATGAGAATTAAAATCCGCGGCAATGGAGAAGTCTATTTCAGCACGAGGTTAGTCTAAGCTTGGAGGGGGCAAAAAGGTTACCTAGGAAAGTTATTGGATCTTTCAGTATTTCAATGCTAAAACTGTTTTTCTTTGTATTGAATGTAGGATTACTTTTACGGCACAGTGTGACATGAATCTTCGCTTGTATCCGATGGATATTCAAGTTTGTCCATTGACCATCGAGAGCTGTGAGTAAAACTTCTTTATCTCCAACATAAGGCTAGAATCACTTCATTGCCTTAAATTAAATCGGATACTCTTAGAAGAAAAGAATGAGTAGCCCTTCTAAGCACGAAAGATGCGTAAGAGTCGGGCAAGGCGATAGCCGAGAGCGACTCTATCTACTTGATTGCTTAGTAAATCCCCCAAGTGCATCCGTAACTCAATTGTGTATGTTGTTAGTGGTGTTTACCATTTGATTTATAGCATAACATTCATGCATTGTAGCAGAAGAGGTTCCTTTTACTTAACAAATCTTACGTGATGAGAAACAAACAAGCGCGCGAAACTAGTTTATGTATTTGCTCACGTTAGCAGCGTACAGCCATGGGCAAATGGTGGACACTGAACTGAATAATCTGCAGAGCGTATGCTTTACTTTGTTTATGTTATAATCATCACTAGATGCACATACCACAGCTGATGTTGATTACCGATGGAAAGGAGGAAAGGCACAAGGTGTTGAAATCGTCTCTAAAGAAATGGCCCAGTTTGAGTTTGTTGGTGCAAAAACCTCAACTAAGGCAAACACCAATAGTAAAGGTAAGAAAAACAGCTGCTGAACTACATAATAGAACAATAAAAGGAATCCACCCATGACTTGACGTGCTTGTTATTTAGATAAAATTGAGTAAATGGCTAAGTTTGCATATAATTCACGATATGTTAGTGAGATTTTATGTCCAAAGAGGCTAATCCAATGTAGATGCCATTCCTTTTTTCTCTGCAACCCGGTAATTTATATTTATTAAAAAAAATTTTGAAATACCGATTCGAAATGTCAAAGAGGAAAGTTATTGGTTGACTCCAAACCATGCTATCCTTCGTTTTAAGGTTCTTTCGCCAGTTTGCGAGCATTTTTCACATTCAAACGTCGCGTGTCCTACTTCATCACGGCGACCTACATGCCTGCTATGGTCCTAGTGATCCTCAGCTGGTGTTGCTTCTGGATCAGCCGCGCTGCTGTACCAGCCCGAGTCACCCTCTCCATAACAACAATTTTAACTACCATACTACTCTATGGCTCGGTCAATTCTAACATGCCTAAGGTATTTATTCAGTAGTAAGCTCCAGATTGGTAAAAGGTAAATAAATTTGTATTTTTCTGCCGAACAAACGTCGCAGGCATTAAGCTGCGCCATTGTATCATAAATTCTATCGAACTCAGCATCGTTTTTGAAAGCCTCAGGAGTTAGAAAAAGTTTCTATTCTTAACAAGAAGGGATGTGGCCTGGTTTAGAATCCTGCATCTGATTTAGGCAGGTTAGGCTTCTTGCTGTCCCACCATTGTTCCAATGCTTTTGTCATCAGAATAGTCCATTTGTCTTCCTCCAAATGAATTCAGCGCGCCAAATTCTAGTTCAACGTAGTAGCTTTTTCTGCTCTTCGGCTCTTTACTTGGAGAAAAACCGCCTTCTTTTTGCCAATGTCCCGCAGAAAAAGAAAATAAAAGTTATCGCATCCTTCAATGATGTTTTCGACATTATTTGCTGTTTTTCAACAGGTGAGCTATAGTAAAGCCATTGACTACTTTCTTATGACGTCATTGGGGTTTATCTTTATGTCACTTCTGGAGTTCATTCTCGTTCTCAACACGGATCCACGGTTCTGGACCCAAAGACGAAGGCAGCAAAAGGCTGAAAAAATGAAGTCACTTTACAAAGTAATGCTTAAAGACAGCTTACTACGTTTTTCATTCTACAAAACATAGATGATTATTCGTAGGGAATCCACGAGGTCATCTTATTACTCCCTTAAGGAACATGCTTTTCTTTAGAGAAATTGCTCCACTCTCTACCACTCCTTCACTTGTCAGCCTGAGAACGGTAATTGTAATGGTATGCGAATTACTAAAAAATTTAGTGCAAACTCCAAGTAATTTTCGGGAAGTCAATTGTGACGAGCACTGTCGACAAAAAAGAAGTCGAAACCTGTTATAGAAAGGGATTTGTAGTAACTACAACTGTAAACAGTTTGAGATTTTACAAACTATTGAATGACTGATGTTTTCGTTGAAAAGTGGTGCCAACCATGAAAACAGGACAAACGCGATTCATTCATTGTTATGAAATCTATTTTAATAGGAACGTAATGGTGCAAAATCCAAAAAGACCATTAAAAAAAACTGATGGCTGCTTCGTGCAAACTACTACTTCTTCTTTTAATTTTTACTCAGCGGAAAAGTAATGTAAAAAAGCTAAAATGGTAACACAATACTTTTTTTATTCATTATGTAGGAGGTTCCCTCCGAGACCGTTGTCTCACTTATGGACGGCAAGGCTCAGCCGACAGACGTTCTCAAGGAGAGCACAGTCTTGACTCCTCTTAATGGCCCGACCAAAGAACCTGAAAAGGATCCACCAAAAGCACCACCAACGCCACCAGCCGCTACGACCCATTGGATCGATTACGTCGCTCGTATTCTTTTCCCCATTGTCTACTTCTCGTTTGTAACCTTCTATTGGATATACTACATCAACCACCCCGAGTCAGCCATGGGTGAAGTTACTGAGTGATACTAAGTCAGTACCCCTTTGGAAGTTGACTTCAAGTTTGCCAACGCATTCTAAACTAGCTTTCCTACTTTTTGCCATACTTCATAATTTTTTCTGGCTGAACTCCGTCACAAGAGAAGAATGCTTACTAATTTATGAAAAAATTGTAAGAGCTCTCAAAATACTAACTTTAACCTCGTTGTCTTAAGCCTCAAAGTGATTATCAAAAGCAATGTATTAAATTCTAAGCTTCCGGTGAGTTTTTCGAACTGACACGTGAACCCCAAGGAAGGACTAAAAACAGTGGAAAACAGGTCACTGAGGGAGCATGATCTCCGTATCGGTGCATCGTTTAGACTCATCTTTGGAAGCAAGTATTAAAAGTAGTGGTATTATCTCTTTAATAATTTTGGTACATTTTCATTTCACAATATGCATATCAAAAAAGGCCATATGAAAAGGAAATCTGTGTTTTTGACGAAAGATAAGTGATTTGTTATATGACTATTTGGGTTCTCGCACTGAATCTTATAGAAAACCATGATGAAAGCTAATACATGCAAGTATGGAGCCAGATAAATTGACGCGAGCTGGTCTGGTGAAAGCCGTTCGGCACCGGACTCTACCTGCTCAGCTTCTCTTTTCGAGAACTTGAATTCTAATTGGGAACTTAAGCTCAAATATTTCTCAGATATTTCTCAGATATTTCGCGTTTTGTAGTCGTTCAACGCGCGCCCTTCTTGTGAATGAAATTGCGTTTTATTTTGGTTCAAACATAATTCCAAAATTACGACTTGATGCTCATTATGATCTAGCACATGGCGAAAAAGTTTGGTTGGTCGAACGGGAAAATACTCGGCCTTCTTTTGGTGAAAGAACATGTAGGTAACATGCTTTAATGTTTTCTTGTGCAAAATCCTTACGACCAGAATGAAAGTCAAATTTATGTCGGATTATATATCAGCTGTTAAAAAAATTAGATGTCATTATCAATGACAGCATAGTATTAGTAATAAGATAAGACCCATTTCATTTAGTTACAGTGCTTAAAAAACGGTTCCGAAGACTCTAATCATTTGGTAAACTAATTTTTTTCGCCGGGTATCGAAAGGATAAACAACACGCACACAAAGAAAAACAAGAGTGTAAAACATGTGGATGCAAAGTGATATTTTTTCCTTACTAGAAATTTATTTTCACTTGATCACAAGTCTCAGAGGTCACTGACTCATGCCATGAATTATTCATTTATAGTATAGCAGAATGATGCTAGATCAATTGCTATTTTAAGAGACAAGGAATACAAATTGTTGTGTACAGTAAGTGTAGAGGATGTACACTCTATGAGGTTCTTATGTCTTCTCTTTGTTCTGGAAATAGTGCACGCAACCTTAAAAAGAGAGGCTTAAAAAGTCAAAGCCTGAGTTAGCGTCAAATTCGGTATTTATTTTAAACGTATATGACAGTCTATAATATTACTGCTAAACGTCGAACTTATTGACTTCGTGGCAAATTATAATTATAGCTGTTATTATAAACATTTATGATTCTGTCGGTATGACAAACATTTATTTAATGATTTCAAGAGGAGTTTCTATGGAGAAAAAGAGTCATCTTGGAATTCGTATTTGCTCAGTAAAACTTATTATTGTCGTAATATTGATGCCAGGACAGACTTCTTACGTTCTCCAAATTTATTCTGAAGGAATTAACGTCTGTTCCCTGAAATTGTTATATGGCAATGTGTTCTTGATAATTTGTAAATAGAATGCTCTTAATTAACAGCCAATAAAAGCATCGTAGATTAATCTGTGTAGCTTTGTGATATTTGGTTGATTGAGGCTAGAATCTCAATAGATTCATTTTTAGTTTTAAATATCTAAGGGAAACGAAGCAATATTTCGTATGACGATACTCTGACAGTACATTTGACAAGCAGTCTATATTCCGTGGGGATTACCGTTCGGTGAACCCTCTTAACTTTTTAAGCGTTTTCTTCGAGATTTGGTAAAATCTCTATCTCTTCGTGTGGAAAAACTATCTGAGAGACCATGAAATTGGGGTGTCATCAAGGAAACCAGATGACCTAGAACAAAATTATGCAGCTAAGGATGAAACACTAAGACAGCGGAGTAGTAATAATAATAATAATAATAATAATAATAATAATAATCGACTTTATTTAAAGAGGGTATACATGTAACAGCTTGCGCTGATAAACCAATGGCCCTAGTAATTCTGCAGTGGGAAAAGGACAACCTCCCTGATTTCGATTTCAAAGGCATTCAACAACGTGAGGCATAGTATACTTAGTGATAAATTAAAGGCCCTTAGCTTAAATCTGTATATTATCAACTGGTATCTTAGTTTTTTACGAAATCGCAAACAACGGTTAGTGTTAACTATTTAACAATTATTCCACGAGCGCGCGTTGGATATGAGATGATAGATAGCCAACGAGGCGCGTAGCGCTGAGTTGGCTATAATCATCTCATATCCAACAAGCGCGAGTGGAATAATTGTTTTATTAAAAACGTCCTCAAGAAATTATTATTTTGTAAGAAGAAACCGCATTTTTTAGCTGCCTTTTGATTTTAAGCTGACTCATACGCTTACTATATTTGTAGATTATGGTATATTGGCTCATATACCCTAATGGCTAAGCCAATAAAAAGTCTTGGATTGTATTATCCAATGATCCAGTTTTTAATAATAAATATTATTAAATATTAAATGAAATTACGTATTAAGTAGGAAAAACCCATTCTTAATCAGCAATTAAAGCATCTAGAATTGTCTCTTTCCTTTTACTTATGTTGTTCCTTGGTCTTTTATTTTATTTTATTATTATTATTATTATTATTATTATTATTATTTTGGTCTAGTCAAGCGCGCGCTATTTACATTTTTCGCGTATTTAATATTCAAATTGTAACGTAGCCCTACACGTAATTTGTAACGTACCTGAATATAAATTAAAATGTACAACTGTTAAAAGCTCATTTGCAACTGAAGATGACATGAGAATTTCGGAACGTGTCTTGGAAATTTAAAGTCAAAGTTGTCGTTTCTTTATTGAGAATTATTATGTAGTAATCATTAATTACGCAGGGCTCCTATTGATACCAGCCTAGTGCTGAAAGGGCCACCCTGCTTAAATAAAGATGACTTTGACTTTGAGTGACTTTGAAAAACAATGGAAGATTTACAGAGCACATTAAACGAAAACTCTCCGAAGCGAATAAGTGCCTCTATGTGTTAGGGAGCTTACTGAGGAAGGAAGGATATAACCAAGTGGAAATTGATCATCTGTTTCAGTCTTTAATTTTATCTAAAATTTCGTAGATAGGTCAATCTCAAAGAGGATTAGTTGCCTGCCTACTCATCCGCTGTACAATTTGTTGCCCAAAGTTAAAGAATCTTCCAAACGTTTGTGAACTCAAACAACCCTACTACCTTGTGTCAACACAGAACGTTCCAAAGCTAGTTATATTAATAGAATGTATTTTAAATATGCTTCCGCTTTTTAACTTTTTAATCAATAATTTAAACATGTAAATATAGGTATGTGTTTTTACTGGTATATTCAATAAAGACCAAAGAAAGACTAAAGAGCGAACTTGGCCATCACCGGGTTCGTTTGTCCTTATTAGCTGGTTGCTACTCTTCGTCCCTGCTTCAATGTACTCCAAGTACAAATTGAAAAGCGGAAAAAAGAACTATCCCGTAGACATTGTTCTGTCCGAAACTAAAATGTTTTCAGATATCGTATTACCTATGATGGTCAGTTGAGAACATTCAATACCAGTGATCTAGAATTAGTGTGTGCTGCAATAAATCAAAAGGTCAAATAAAGAGGTCGAACGATAATCGTTTTGTGATTACTTCAACGTCCCAAAATCTCAACACAGTTTGCAAAGATTTATTTCCTTTTATGGTACATGCAATATCGTCCAATTACCTTATTAACCAGGGCCGTAGCAAGCATGAGGCAAGACGAGGCAATTGCCTCGTCTTAATTTTAGCCTTTTTTAATTTTTTTCTTAAAGATTGACTTTTCTGAAGAAAAAATGCCAAGGAAAATCCTTAAAAGAGCATTTCTAAACCTCTAGATTTCAAAGTTTTCTGGGGGGTATGCCCCCAGACCCCTCTAGCGGCTCGTGCCCTCGGCGCTCGAAACTTGCCTCGTCTTGTCTTGAAATCTGGCTACAGCCCTGTTAACTAAGGTTATTTATGTAAAACAGCTACTGGTCTTACATGGAAAATCAATGGATCATCTGTTGTGATGTTCTCTTCAGTCCTTTCAGACGACCGTGTGACGTTAGCTCAGTTTTAACAATTTAAGAATTACACATTTAGTACAGCGTATCTTAACAAATGCAGCTGTACTCACTTAGCAAGTTACTTTGTTATCGTTAAGAAATGAGTGGGTTAAGAAGCTCAAACGTGTGCTAAGGGACTTATCATTGAGCGAATTTGATAGTTTGTTGATTAGAATGTAAGTGAGTTTTTGAGTCAGTGAGTCAGCGAGTTTGTCAGTAAGTCAATGAGTTAGAGTTCCGTCTGCTGCGAGCGAGTGATTGAGTGAGAGAGTGAGTGAGTTAGTAGGCGGTTTTGTCAGTTCATAAGTGAGCAAGTGAATCAGTGAGTTAGTATATAAGTTAGTAAGTTAGGTTGTTACTATCAGTAAGTAGGTTATAGAATTTTTTAATGTGTTGTCAAATTATTTGATTAGTCAGTCAACCGTTTGTTTAGTCAGTTAGTTGGCTAAGTAGTTGGTAAATTGGTTATTTGGAAATAGATAGTTATTGAGCGTTATTTTGTGAATTTTACATTTTATGATGGATTGATTACTTGGTTTTCAATCAATTAGTGAACTCCTTCATCAGTTTTTGATTGATCTCTTAGTAAGCTATTACCTTAATTGATAAGCCAGAATTTGCCTGCTTGTTAGTGGATACGTAAACATGCTTAGGTGTAATCTGGCTGGATGAAATTTGCAATCAGTCAAAGAATCTAACCGGTAAGTCGTTATTCTGTTACTGAGAATGCTTCTTACTTTACACTTATGAAGTCTTCACTCAGATGGCTAAAAAGGAGACTGTCAAATTTGAACTATTCAGAATAAATAAATACGTGCTTAAATAAAGTTTTTGATGAATAATACTCCATTTGGTCTTCTGCTTTGGGTTTCGATCGTTTGGGGCAGATTCCGGACTTAGACATCAGGGTATTCATTTTATTTTCGTTCGTTGAGCTAAAAAGCTTGTGAAATTTTGATACGTAGAACAGAGACGACCACTTTCCATCGACGATTTTCCTTTCTTTTATCATCCATCCCTGTTCCACCTCACAGTAAGAAATAATCACTACTGACATTATTCCCAGTGCTATTGTAACATGTATCGTAGCCTGCTGAGCAGATGTTCTAGGGGAGTTTGGGCGAAAGTTACACCGTACGAAAAATAGAGCGAGGCGAAAAATTAGGAGGCAGGGGAATGGGGAGAGGAGAGAAATGAACGCCCGCCAGCAGAACTTGAATATTTGAAAAACACCCCCTAATTAGATATGCTGGAGTAACGATCATGGCGCAAACATTTGGCCAATCAGGTAGCGGAACGGAAGTGGAGTTTCACTTCCGTTGCAAACACACACACGAGAAAACTTCGCGCCTGTCAAAATTTGTCAAATATTTGATAAAATTTCTGTTGACATGTCGCCGAACGAAAATTGTCGGTTTTGTGGCTGTAGTTTTAAAGTTAAATACGGCTCATGCATATCATCATTAAATTTATTCAGAGCATCGAAGAGAAGTGATGCTTATGGAGTAATTTTATCAGACGTGTGTGCTCGAATTGGCATCAAACTCATTCAAAACAACGAACAGCTCTCCGAGCGCTGTTGCAATCCGTGTGCTAGGAAAGTCAGAAACTTGGGACAGCTACATGCATTCATCCTTAAGAAAGCAAATGGCCAATGCAAAACTCTAGAAAAGCCCAAAAGTGCAAAAAGGGCCAATTAGACAAGCCAAACAAATCTAGTCCGGCATGGAGTAAGAAGAAAGCCGCTTGTATACACTCGCCCAGACTACCAACACCGAAATCCAGAAAATCCCTGAATATGAGCGAGAATCTCGACACAGCTTCATCGAAGACAAACAAAGCGAGGAAAGATGACGATTAAGACACTTTTTTAAACGTAGATGATCTTCCAGAGGATGGATTACAAGTTAAAAGCGTGACAAGAATGGTGAATGGCCAGGTAATAGTTAGAATTCCACGTGAATTCCTTCGTGAGAAGCTGCTTGACTCGCACACCAAATCTAAAAATCATGCTTTTACCGAAGCCTGTCGTTAATACCGCCAACACATCTTTATTTCTCGCAAGTTGACGTATGGCATCTTGCTGTTCATTTTTTAAAACAAAGTTTTCTAAGGCATCAAAAGTAGCTAAAGAATCGTTCAACGCAAGATCTATTTCTTCTTCGTTGAACGCCATATTGGATGTGATCCGTGGCAATGACAAACGTAAAGTGACGTCACATCCTGCTGCCAATAAAATATTCTTCTGGACCAATCAGAATTGCCCGTTCGTGAGCGAACGGGTTTTTCAAATTTTCAGGTACTGCTGGCATGCGTTCCTTTCTCTCCCCTCCCCCTACTTCCTAATTTTTCGCCTCGCTCTATTTTTCGAGCGGTCTAACTTTCGCCCAAACTCCACTGGAACGCCTGCTCTGCAGGCTACATGTATCAGGAGCTTAGCTACCAAATTACCCAATAATTCCTAGCGTTTACTGATCATGAGAGATTACTTTCAATTTTGTGTTTTGTTTATACGTTCAGAAAACTTACTTAGCGGCGCTTATCGATAACAGGTGCCTCCAAACTTTTCATATAAAAATCCTTGTTAAAAGGATTTGCATTTAAAAATTCTGGTTAAAAAAAAAAACGAATCTTAAGTAATTGATTTTAGACGGATACTTGATCTACAAATTTACGCCAGAACAAAACAAGAAAAGTAATATAAGTGGCAGGGAAGATGATCCGGGAAATTATGTCGACCCAGTGGGTACTGATTCTTTTCCTCTTCTTAGGCGGTTCTTTGTTAATAGGTTTGACTTGAATCTCGCCCTGACGCATTGCACCCGTATTATCGAATAACATCACAGTTGCTCCTTGATCTCCATTAGAGACTACTACTCGCCGGATTAGGGTGTGGCCGCACACTCCCACGTGGCTAGTTGCTGCGGGTATGCCAGTCTCAGGGGAGTGACTGATCTCAGCATCGATGAGTTCCGTGTCTGGTTCAGTACTGGAGCTATTCTGTGAAGTAATTGAAAGAAAATTAGTTCTATGGGAAACAGAGTTAAGAACAAACACTGCACAATCATATTTAGCGTACTCATTCGTGTGTTTCAACCGATGATAATATATGATAATACGATGATAACCGAGGATAACTATATGATTAACAAGCTACAGTCTATACAGAACACTGCTGCGCGAGTTATTAAGCCTTGACAAAGAAATGGGAAGATATTACACCTGCATTAAAGAAACTTCATTGGCTACCTGTTAAGTATCGCATTATCTTCAAAATACTTCTACTTGTCTATAAAGGTCTACGTGGCTTAGCTCCAACTTATATTGCTGAACTGTTGCATCAAAGGAATTATGGCTCTCGTGTACTACGTTCCTCATCACAAATGCTCCTGATGGTTCCAAGAACATATCGAAAGAACTATGGTGGCCGTGCCTTCTCCATTTCCGGTCCCAAGCTTTGGAACGATTTACCATATTCTCTGAAAACATCTGAATCTGTTGCAATTTTCAAGAAGAACCTTAAAACATACTTGTTCAAAGACGCTTTTTAATTATCGATTTTTTATAATTTAATTGCTATGTTAATTTTGTAATTTTGCTATTATTTTGGTAATTTTGCTTTAATTTTGTAAAGCGCTACGGAAGAACTAGTCGAGCTTAACCCTATATAAATGCTTTATTATTATTATTATTATTATGATAAACGGTAACTTTGCAAACTTATCGAAGTTCGATTTGTTTGATATTAGCGGGGAAATTTAACTAACTAACAAACAAACACTGAATACCTAAATAACCAACTAATTATGCAAATGACCACATAAATTACTCACTCACCAACTGCTTACCTAGTCAAGTTACCAATTTTATGACTAACTGATTGACTGGCGCACTGGCTAACTGACTGATGGACTAACTTATTAATCAACTAATCAGCTGAAAGATTGACTGATAGACAATCTTAGCCTTAGGTAAGTGAGGCAAGACAACGTAAGGAAAATATCACTTTTTCGTATCTATTATTCCCTAAAGGTGGTGCTCGACCAATTCTAGGTCGCGGCTCCTGTTTAACCCGGGCAGGTTAATCTGTTTTTTTTTTCGACAGAACTAAGCTAGAGGGGTGAGTAAAGTAAGGCTGCAGCTTGGGTGGATTAAAAGCTACAGACTGATGGATACCACCCACCCCAACAAGAAGCTAATAAAAGACTTTACCTCTTTTTCGTGTACAGCATCCATAAGTTTCAGTGGCTGCCTCTCTTTCTATATGTTTACAAATATGAAATTTTGGCAAACAAAATAGAAAAACTAATTAGATTATGAAAAAGAGGTCATCAGGAGGGATTGATAAAGATTATTTTATTATATAAATTAAGAGAAAGCTGAAAATTACAGACAAAATTTTAGAATATCACCTTTTTGGATCGTAATCTCAAGCACGTCAAGAAACATCGCAGCCACTTGGGATCAGGATCCGTGTTCAATACAACCACAAACTCCAGAAATGAAAGGAAAATGAACCCAAAGCTGACCAGTAGAAAATAGTCTTGAGCCTTACTGTAACTGACTGGTGGCATAGTCTCGTTCACTGAGCCGCAAAGCACGATGGCTGTAAGAATTGTTGTGATACCCAGTGATGCGCGTGCGGGAACAGCATCACGGGAAATCCAAAAGCAACACCATGAGAGCATGACAAGAGTAACCCCGGGAGAGAACACTGTGGAAATAAAATATTCCAGACGGCGTTTGAACGAGAAGACAACACTCAGACTGGCGAACGAACCTACATGTCAAAATAAGAAATACAAAGCATTTTAATAAGAATAACACTTTAAAATTGAGTGATTTCAAATGCTTGCTTAAACTTCTAGAAGACGCAAGTTTGTTTCCATAGCTGTTGGTGGACACATTCCGGATTCTTCTTTTCTCTTCAAGATGAGTAAAATTTTAGAAAATTATTAAGGTAAGAATTGATACGAATCCCCTCTCTGTTTCAGAGCAATGCATTAATGGGGAGGGGAGGGGGGATTGTGCAATGCTGTTCTCTGCCGATTTCTTTTTCCTTCTTCCGAACAAATCTGCTGATAATATTCCGAATGGCTGGTCATGCGTGGTTGAACACCGGATGGGAAGGGTCTTACTAAAAGCAAAAATACAAGACATCTTAACTACCTGAGGATTTTATAGTTCTCCAAGACATTTCAAATATTGTTACAAATTTTTTTTAAGAATGACTTCGACCGAGAGAAACGAAAGGAACTTAATTAAAAGTTCATAGACTTGACACCTTTGCTGTTTTTTGTATCTTTTAGCTTGGTGTCTATGCCAGCTAACTCAAACTGAGCCATTTCTTGGGAAACAATCTCGATCCCTTTTCCTCGGTTTGCTTCAGTTTTTCTCCATTTATAATCCACGTCATCAGTAGTATGCGCATCTGTAATAAAAAATGAATCAAGGTGAAGCCCATTTGTTACTTCTATAGCATTTCAACTTGTATCATTTCTAGAGTTTAGTCGGTTTAGCTCAGAGAAATAGGAGAAACATATAAGGTAGTATAGTACAGAGTCAACCGTGGGACTTGCTTAAAATTTGAACCCCAATTCTAACATCTCTCGATGGGATGCCCTACTAACTTGTTGCTTAAGAAAAATTGTTGAAAGCTAGTTGGTAAAATAATGATAAGTTATTAACGATATGACTATTCTGAAATAAAACTATTCTGGCAGGAAGTAAATTTTCCATTCCAGACAGAATAGACCATTTCTTCTTCCATGTTTTTGATTGAAGAAAATTGCGGCTTTGCTTATCTTTAACTGATCTTTTAATTTGTTATGTGTGCACAACAAGATCGGAGCACCATTGATATCCCAGCTTTAATATCGAGTCACAATCACACTTACAGCTCTCAATGATCAGAGGACAGTGTTGGGTGTCCATTGGGTAAAGCTGGAAGTCCATGTCACATTGCGCTGTCAAGGTTATTCTGCAAAGAAAATGAAAAGAATGTCCCCGCAAAACGTTATTAATACCATTTAAGTCATTTTCGTTGCTTTGGGTGAAAGAAACTTCAATTGAGGGCTCGGAATAATTTCCAAGAATATATGACTTTTTGCCTTGGTGCATGTGGCATTTTATTAATCAGGAAACAGTATTCCTACGTACTGGAGTGAAAGAAATGTCCCCACAAAGAAATATTCAATATATCGTACTGTGGCTGTCATCACAAATTACTCCTCTTTAACACCAGAATTTTAAGCCGCCCATCATAACTTCTCAAGAATATCAAATAGCTTCTAAAGTTCATTCTTAATGAAGCATTTTCATCACCTAGCACTGAAGTATATTTTCCCAGTAGAGTGAATCATGATTCGCATGTTCTCACGTGTGACGTAATGGTACTTGATTCTCTTTACATTAAAGAAATATGTGTCAGGAGTCCAGAAAAGCTTCGAAGGATCTCCTGCCATGTTAAATGGTGTGCTGGAATTGTGCTTGAACCTTGGATCGTACCACCACTGGCGGAAGAAAATGTCCATCGAATAATCCTGATTTTTAAAGAAATGAAAGCTCATCAGAAGCCCAAATTAAAATGGTTTATTCCTATGGCAATGAGCACGTAAACGCTGAGTTTTTCAAAGAAAAGTTATAATGGTTATCAATAGAAACATCATAGCAAGGGCTCAGTTGTCAATGATATGCTGGAGTAGCAGCTCCCTGCGGCAAATCCTATACTTCTATTTTGTGTATTCTCGCCGATTTACAACGATTTTCAATTTTCATTGTAGAATCTCCATAAGATATGGGTAACTAGATTTTTATCAAGATAAGTCAGTGCCAGTTAATTGAGTCCATATTCACTTATCTCCACTTGTCGTTCTTACCCGAGCACTATCTCAGTTAAACAACTGTGTTTGTGCCTTACACCTTACACCAACAAAAATAATATTTTGTACCATGTTTGCCTCATTTAGCTCTCCAAAGGAAACAACTTTGATCTCCACGGTGACTTCAACAGGTTCACCTATTAAAAAATAAACCAAAGGAAAAAAACTAATCATATGGAGTGCACCTATAACTAACAAAGGGTAAATCGAGTGAAAGTAGTTCAGAGTGTGTCAGGATAGGGTGGAATGGCCTGGAGATACTTTGAATAGGAAAGCCTTCCTGTTGTCTACCCGAGAACGTTAAAGAAGCAACAGTATGGAGTCAATGTACAGCATCTATTTTTAGCATATCTTTTCGCCATCTTTGATCCTTACCTTGTCACAAGTCAGGAATGTATTGGTTGATTATATACTTAGGGTAGAGGAATAGAAACTCATAGAAGTCTGGTCTTGTACATATAAATGTGAGAGCTGTAGCTGATCTTTTTTTGCAGTCTGATACATTTCATTGAGCAGCTTACCTCCGGCATTAGGGCGGAGTTTAGGGTCATACGCGGCTAGTATTTCATTAATGGTGGAAGATAAATTGGCAGCCTCCTGCTTGCCTCGTATCCAGTCTTCATCCTCCTCTAAAGACCTGTTTATATAAACATGAAACATGAATGCATTAAAGCACACGGTAGTTTAAAGACCTAATATCACGAGGAAGGTACCCTTCACTCCCAAGATCTCATTAGCAATTCTCCTTACTGTCTGCCATACAATTCTCATGATGTTACTTTGGAGAATTTGGTATTGGATCAACTGATAATCCCCTGCTTTTCTTTTTTACTTGTTCTCATCACTTGTCTGCTTGAGATTGTATTGATATTGTAAGGAGAAATTCTGTCGTGGTAACTCATGGGAGTTACTGTGGTCAATCATGGGAGTTAAATGGGTAAGTTCATATTGAAACCGATGAAGCTGGTGTCCAGTAAACTTGATGAAGTATTTTCGACGTCTTTAGAGGTTCACGTGAACGTGCATGTATAATTCGATTTATTAAATTAGGCTTATGAGAATAGTCCTTAAATATGATACACACAAACAATAAAGTAGTATAACAGTGGAGCAAAAAAAAAATAACATTCCTGAAGGTTAAGGTAGAATTTAGAGGCACTCTGACTTGTCTCACTTAACAGACTTCCAAGCTTTCTTTTTGAAATATGATTTCGTAAAAACGTGCTACTTTTGCATTCTTTTGAAAAATGTGGCGGGATAGAAAAAGGATTTCCAAATATTTGTGTTATCAAAGTGTGTTTGCAGTATTGAGAAAGTAAGAAAAGCTGCAGATGTCTTTGGGAATGTTTGTTTCAAATAGAATTATAAAAACATCACTTTGGAGATTTGCTTATGAGGATGAAATAACTTCTCCAGCAATAACAGCCCGGTAAAATTTCTATTACAGGAAATATTTATACCTCTATTAATCCGCGAAATATGCTTTCAAGAATACGTCGCCGCATGCATTCAACCTTTTTAATAAGAGAATCTAAAACTCAGTGGTATGATGAAATCTTATCCGGGTTTGGAGAAAATCAAATAGAGCAGCGAGAACTCCGTGTAAGAAATTATGTATAATCAGTTACGGGTATCTGTTTTGTGAATACTATGCTAGTCAATTTCTCTGGAATGAATGATTCCCAATCCAGAGAACTTTTTAGGTTTGCTGCCTTTGAGGTAGATCTCATTGCACCAAGTTACGTATTGTTTTAGCAACTCAAAATTAGGAATTATTCTTTCTCCGTTATTTGAATGTCTTTGTTAGATAGAAATTTCCGAGGGAGGAAGTCATAGCTTTCAATAGATAGATTATCGCGTTTATTATCAAACACAATAGAGTGCTGTGTTTGATAATAAACGCGATAAAGGAACACATCGCTGAAAATATACCGTTCAACTGATACAATAACGTTACAGGTATAGCTCGAAAAAGCAAATTTTAGAGTCCTCAAGGCATAATTAGTAAAAACTGCCTGTCTTTTCAGTCGAGACAAGGTCACTTTTAAATATTATTTCATGGCGATTTTCTGTCTAGTTTAGTTGGATCTTGGAAATCTCCTGTAAATACAAGCGTGAAGCGGTCTGACAAGCAATTCAATGCATAACTAACTGCAAAGCTCTCTCCTTTCTTTCGTTAATTTTCCAACCCTTTGAGGAAAAAAACTGTTCTATACATTACTTTTGTTTACATCTTCAGTTGTTTTTGTCGCTATTGAGAGTAGTACAACGAATAGTAACGAGTTGGGTCAATATGTTTATTCTCTTATTGTAATTTGCTAGTAAATATATTTATAGGCCATGCTTTTTAACAGTCGGTTTTGGTAACTTCTGTCATAAATTTGATTAGCAATCAGGATTTTGCATTTGGAAACTTATGAAAAGAAACCGGATGTTGTTACGCTAAATCTAAGGAACGTACGAACATTTTCATTCGCTGGAAAAGCTTTTTGCTTCAAATGATATTCTCATTCCTGCACAAACACGGGTGATAAATATGTAGTGACTAATGCATAAAGCATGAATTTAAGGAAAGAAGGATAAATCATGGTCACCAGAATTGTTCGGCCAGAAACGTAAAGAATAAAAACTAAGAAAATGATATGTTTTCCTTGGATAACAAATTTTAAAACATCACAACCCTTGAATGCGAGATTCAAAGGCGCTCGTGTGCTTACGAATAGACGAATTACCTTTCGTATCGATGGCCTGTAATCGAAAACCCACTGCTGGAAGAAGCTGCTATCAGTAACAAAGTCACCAACGTGTATGGCGAACTCATTCTGGAATCCAATGTAATTAAACATTGTAAACGTGACTTCAAAATTTTACAATCGATCGAATTTGAGAGATTTCTAAATAATTAGCAGATTGATGTATTGAAGTTAAACATATCTTACCTGCTAGCTTCGTTCCACTTATGACAAAAAATCCCGCAAAGGTTTAGAATTTAGTATAAAAATGCACTATCGTTTGCCAAAGACAATTTTTTGATAGTAATGGTTTAGTCATAATATTTTTTTCTAAGGGAGGTTTGGTGATAATTATTCGTAACCAAAAAATTTGCAAAACAATCAATTAGCCGTATTGTCCATCGCCAAATTGTCGACTTATCAATAATATATATTCTCATAATATTTACGCGCGCGATTTTTGGAAAAAAAAATTCGGGCGCATTTACAGAATGTCCTGTAATGCAATACGATAGTTTTATCCTAATTTCCTTAGGCATTTTGGTTCTTCGTTTTATATGAATAAATTACTAAGCATTTGATATTTTTTAGTTCGATGGATATTATTATTTAATAGCAAGCCAAAATAAATGAATTCAAGCCATACTTTTCCCCAACTGAAGCGCTACCATACAGCGAACTCTGCAGGTCGATAATAGGAAAGAACAGCTGGGTATCCTTGTAAACCTAATACAATCCCTGCGTACTTTTGTCAGAATGTTATTGAGAAGCACCTTACAGATATTGCGGACATAAAAAATTAATATGAAGACGATAGAGGTGAAAAGTTTACTAGGAAAACAACTGATCCCCCCCCTGAGGCTGTCGGTTTAGAAGTGATGGACTTAAAAAAGGCAGAACGTTCTTCATGCAAAGTTGAATCAAACGGATGACGTTTCATATTGCGACTTCGAGGTTATTTTGATTCTTGATACGTTCAAAATCATCCTCGGTATACAACTGATCGAGATAACAATTAAATCCTCTAGGAGAGCGAGAAAAATTTGATGCTCCGTTTCTTTCGCCAACCAGGTAAAGATATTAGTTGTTTGGAAAGTTTACCTCCCGCGACGTTTTGTTTTGAGCAGTTGGAGCTCCGATTCAAAGAGAAACTTGAAATTGGAAACTTTGAGATTAGCTACTTTTTTGTTAAGCAATCCCAAAACCTATTACTGCTCTTTTTTTTAAGGTAAAACGGGAAATACGTCAGGGCATGATCGCTACATTTACCGTTGAAAATGAAATTTTCGTATAGCTATTTTTAGCTGGCCTCGTATAACGTTAATTAGGTAAACAACCTGCATAAGCCTGTGATTACGGTTAGATTCCGCGGCAAAGAGGTGGGATCGAAATTTATTCGTAGCAAAATCAATAATTCCAACACGTGTCTTGATAATGTTGATACATCCAGAACAGTAATGTTTGTGAGCTACTTAAGCAGTAGTGAAAACAAGATCTGAAAAAAGTTTTCAGGACAGTACTAACAGCCTCTAAATGGTAGAACCAGAGGGTTTTTCGGTCAAAATATTGCAAACGAACCCCTGAAAAATTAAATTTAATCCAATTTTGGTAAACCAAACCAATTTATTCCAAACCACAAGAAATGTTTGCCCAGTTTAATCAATTTAAACCTAAAACTTACTTAGATATTGAAATCATCTTGTGGCTAAAGCAGATAGCTGAGATATATAAAAAATCCAAACCTTTTTTTTTATCGAGAATTTTCTACTGTATTTTCAAAAGCTGGAAAAGCCCCCCATTTGTAATTTCTCCTCAAATTTGTGCACTGCAGATAAACCTTCAACCTTGCAGTATCGTTGTTTTGACGCAGGTTAAGTGTTACATAATGATTGCTGTCAGTTCATTGAAGGGCTGTTTGATATTATTTAGTTCTTAAAACTTTCTAGAACGCGAATTATTTTCCAAACTAAAGGATATGCATAACTTGTATTAACGCATTTTAATTAACAATACAACCTTAAACTATGCATTATTGTTATTGTTGATGGAGGGGAGGCATCAAAATTTTAATTTCTTTCAACAAAACGAAGAACTGTTTCAGAAATTGTCCATGAGTAAGCCAGACGTATATGTACATGTATTCAGCCAAGGGGCGATAGTGCTCAAACCACCGAATTGGCTCAAAGGTGGCACAAAGTTATCAAAGGATACGAGGTCCCCCTGGGAGAACCAGTATTCTCCTTTTTTTTTTCTGGCATAATTGATAAGCTTACTTGCTTTGCTCCAACGACGAACAGAAAAGCCATCCCGAAATTCAATCCCTTCGTTACGTTCTATATTTATCCCATCTATGAATCTCCTCGCACAACGAACTGCTCAAACTTGTCTCCTTTTCTTCCTATACTTCTCCCTAAAGTTATAACAGCTTTTCTCGGCTTTAAAAAATACCTTCGTAGATGAACCCCGTCTTGGAGGAAATTGATCTCGATGATGTTACTCAAAAATGCCACATGAACTCTGTTTTAATCAGCTTTTCACCGGCATGTTTCAGATGAATTGATTGCGTCTGTTTTCTTCGTACTAAGAAAGACTAAGATTATCAGTTGGATATAGTTTGTTTTCAAGATGGTGTTCCAGTTGTCCGTTTAATTTTTTTCTTTTGCAGCGAGTATGTTGCTCTTCAATTCTGGTTTTTCTGAGACACTTAAGAGGAGGAGAGAACTCAGGAAAAAAAGTATAAAATTAGGACACAGAAGTGATTGGGCCCTTAAAGGGATGTTGAGCATCACCTTGATGACAATCCCCAACATCTTATTTTGACCACCTTTGTATGCAGTTGCTATTCATGTCTCACACCTTTTTAAATCTTTAATCATTGAATTAGTTTTACAAGCTTGACAAATCTTCATAAAGGGGTTCTCTGTTGGTACTTCTGGGCACATTAGTAATGTGCATGGCAGCTCTAAGGTTTAGCATTGTGATTCCCTGTCTACATACATTTGCACAAGCTTCTACAAAACTTTATGTTAATATTAATTTTACAACAAATCAGAATAAATGAATATGAGCCATCACATCCAGCTTAGAATGGTGTGTGGTTGAGTAAACATGATTAATGGCTTAACACTGGTATTCAATGTGGCCATCTACTCAAAAGTTAAATATCGACGAATAACGACTATTCGGATGAAAAAAGAGTATTAAATTTTAATCTCTGTAACTAAAAGCACTCCTGCAAACTCTATGAGCCTTTGAAATCTGCATAGTTTCTTTCAAAGGTTGTACCAGATTCCACAGGACTTCACTATAATCATCTGTGCCCTTGAGTGTCTAAAGAGATTCTTAAAACATTATTTTACGATTTCTTAATATATCGCGAATACTTAATGACAGTGTATACTACCGGTTATCAATGAGAAGCACTGATTCAAACTGCTGTGGTTACGTATTCGCTATAAGGGGTGAAGAAGACCCATGTTTCAAATATGAGACCTGGATTAAACAATTCAACTTTTGAACTTAGTATCACTGTCGCCGTTTCTAGGTGGATTTCCGGATTATAGAGCTGTTTCCCACACTATCACGTAAACCTCCTCGTCCGAGTTGGTTTGAGGAGCCGCTACGGTTCCTTCGGCCTTCGAGTGATCTTTGGCAACATCTTCTTGATTTTGCTCTGAGAAATAATAAAATAATCCTCATCTGTGTTTGATTGCCAACAAGTTGCCTGAGGAAATTGTGTTTTACATTTAATTGGACAAGATGCCATGAGGATGCCATACCAGATATCATGATAATGCCGGTACCCTGTTATGACCTTCCCTTTGTGCACTTAGGAATAACGGAGTGCATAAATTGGGCTCATCCTCGGTGTAAAAACCTTTGAAGCTCACGAGTGACGTAAGACAAAGACAACAAAACATTATAAACAATAGCGTACAACAAAACAATACCTCATGAAACAAAGAAAACCTCGTTAGGTTTTAACACCGAGGATGACCCATAAATAGATTTTAATACCTAAATTTGGAGTTAGTGATGAAGAAAACCTTACTTTAATCAGTAGATTGGTCCTCACCTCCTTTAAAGTCTGTGTGTAGCTCTTCATATTTGGAATTTTCTGCAACATCTTTCTGGGTCTGTTTATGATCTTCAGCCTCTGTCTTCATTGGCTGTACTGTTATCTTGTCAGTAGAGTCGCGATCGGTAGGCTCAGTTTCAGGCTGTCCTGGCTTGGCAGGCTCTTTCTGTATTGTGTTCAGCTGCCCTTTACATGTATCTCGGGGTCCAGTGTGTTCCACACGTGAGTGATCATGTTTGTGGACCTCCTCTTGCTCTTTTTAAGTTTCTTCTTCGGCTTCTTTGTCTGGTCCTGTGTGGAATATGCAACTTTAAGAGATTAGTAATTATTGTGAGATCGGTTTGTGGACAAAGCGGATTACACAACATCATCACAAAGATAGAACTTGCAAATTTGTACTGCCGTTCCTCCATTCTGAAATTTATCCACTCGGTTGAATTTTTTTTTGCTTGCTTGTAAATGAGACTTGAGAAACAAATAAGACCACTCTGTGGCTCAAATACCATTATGATCATTTGGAAGTTATCCAGTGGGTTCTTTATTCTTAGCATGCTTCAATTTCGGATTTGTTGGCTTTTTTAAAGTCTCCTTATTCTCTTTATGATCGTTATTTTGTTCTTCATTTTGTTAATGGCCGACACAATGTTCTACACATTCGTTCCTGCGGTCTATAAAGCATATCTAGTGATTTATGATTAAAGAGAACAGTCTAGATTATTTTTTTTTGTAAAGATGAAATGGTCAATTAGCCTATGTCTATTTTTGGTTTTCTCCGATGAAAGTTTCAAACGATTTTGTACTATCGTCAAAGATGTGATCGGCAAAATGGCTAACAGTGCATGCATATTACTTTCCTCTCTTCTCAGAAACACCCATTAAGAAAGACACTGTTCATGGTTACTGAGGTCAATATTTGGGGCATAGATCCAAAAGGACATTGAATGGACAAAGGAAAAGATTGTTAAACGAACAAAGTAAAACCAATATATCTTTCTTTTTCCGGTTCACGTACCCTCTTCCCTTCCAGCAGCTCCGAAAGTCCTCATCTCGAAAGCCTGATCGTGACCCGGATCTCTCACATCTTAATAAGAAAAGTAAGATAGAACTGAGTTGCCATCTTAATTGGTGAGTATTAGCTGAAGCAAAACATCAGCGGAGGCCCATACCTTCTCTGGTTTGGGTTCGAGTACACTTTGCCATGAAATAGTTGCACAGCTGTTGCCATTTTGCTTTGAGAACGTTTCGAACCTATATTTGGGACAAAAATTTTTTTTTTCCTTGAATTAAACATTTCTCCAATGAAAATATCGAAAGGCCATGTCAGGTCATGCGAGATGGCTTTGTGTTACTAAAAGTTAATGTGACAAAACGTATTTATTTTGGTTCTTTTTTTTAAACCTGTAAATTTTAAATTTTATCTGTATTTGAGGATATTCGCATAAACTGGTCCCTCTGCGATAAAGTGTTTGACTTCTTATTACTTTAAATCTAAAACATATCTTTTTAAAAGCGCTTACTCAAGGATATCGATCTAGTAACTAGGGTAATGATTGGTGAGATCCTAACTTAATATTAGTAATATCCAACTTAATACCAAAAAAATAAGTAATGTGAAATCCATGATACATCTAATGTATTTTTTAATGCATATTTTGTTTAGAACCTTATAACGTTACAAAGGGTAAATCCTTAATTCTTCCTACTCTCCCCTAATTAGTTTCGTCAGTTGTTCAAGAGTTGACTATTGTAGGCTGTCATCTTTTTATTGACATTTCGGTGATGTGTTTCAGTGAGATAAACTAGCAGAGCTTTCATGTTTATGATAATTCTATTTGAATTTACAAATTCTAAAGAGATAGTTACCTGTGTGGTGGACAAGGTGTATAGGATTGGATTGATGGCGGAGTTTAATGGAAGAGCAAACACTGCGATCCATACGGCAAGATCTCCTCGTGTCCTGAACGCCTTTTCCGCGATGGACCTTAGTCCAATCACAATAACGGGCATCCAGCAGATGCAGTCAGTCAGGATGATGAAAAACACCCGTTTGGCAAGAGCTGTCTCTCGCTGGGTGTTGGCTGACATTGCCTGAACCCGACATCTGTTTACAACTATTATAAGGTAAGCGACAATAACAAATGCCAAAAAAGCCAAATTTAAGCCAACAAAGACAGCCAGAGAATATTCCCAACCAAGTGCCTTATCATGGGAGAGCTGAAGTGGGAGACATACAACAGATTTTCCATAGAAGTGATGACCTCCAGGGCCTTCAAAATACTGGATGCCAAAAGTGGGAAGAAAAGCAATTATGAAACCGATGATCCAGATAGTAAAGCACAACGCATGAGTGTCTTTGTTGGTTAGGCCACCGACATAAAAAGGGAACACAATATTTTTAAGCCTGTCAGCAGAGATCAGAGAAAGAAGCATTATTGACACCTCGCTTGATAATACAGCGATTGCACCGTTTATCTGCCATGACAAACTTGATCGCAACTCATAGTCATGCAAGTAATATTGCCCCGTCCAAATGGCATCCTTATAACCTATGGTGATTAGGTAAACACCCATTAAGCCATCAGATACTGCTAAGTGTATTAACATGATTGGCTGTACAATATCTTTCTCCCTGTGGATCATTCTCCATGTGATAACAAACACAGCGCCAACCAGAGACATGATAGCAATAACCCAGATACACGTCTTGGGAGCTCGATTCATGAACATCGTTTCACAACTGGCAAAGCTGTCGACATAGACAAAATCGCAATCTGCGTCTTCTTTCGTTAAGTGACAGCACATCAGGTTGGTGTCTACAGTCCTGCAGTTCAAAAAACACTTACAATACATCCGGAGGAAAAACTTGTTAAGCAATGGTATTTAATTAAACTGACGCAGGTGTAATATTATGATGTATAACAAGGTCTAATTATTTGGCTAGAGATAAGGCTATAGGAAAACATTTCTGAGAGGAAAAGCATAAATCCCTTCAGACCAGGCATTGAGGTTAATCTAGCTCACTTACGCTGTTATTAATTTCTTCATATTCGAGAAAAACCCTCTGGGTAGCTCTCGCATTTGGTTGTAATGAAAGTACCTGCAAATGGATAGAAAGTATTTCAGTTAAACAATGCTTGCCCATTCTGTAATGACATGGTGCTTCCTCAGCTTCATATAAACCTCTTCTAGGGCGTCTTCTCTCCCTCTTCCTTTGTACAAACAAATTCTTCAAACTGTAGGAACTCATAAACATGTCAATATTTATGCTACACTTAGGGACCTAAGAGGACGGAGGGGTATACCGTTCTCACATTAGCCAAGCCTCTTATAATTTGGTGATACCTAAATTCTGCCAAATTCTGAGGAAAGGAGACCTTCGGTGAGTAAGGAAAACGATAGAGCAGTCAATGTAAGCCTCTGGTGCTAAGATAATCTCACATTTTCGCATACAAGTAATTCTGAAATGACCATGTAATACAGAACATAATCTAAAACCTTGGACACTAAAACACCTAAATTTATGCCGTACTAACATTCTACTCCCTGTATTAACTAGAAATTGACATTCCGTAAAATTTTCATAATGCCTTGAATCGTTTCAGTTTATGCATACTCACAGGAATTGAATGGTTGGTGCGACATCTTTGAATTGTTCATTGGTCACTGTGCGGATTTTGTTGAGATAAAAGCTCCTGCAAAGTGAGGAAATATCAGAAATGTTAGTTTGCCAGACTGGAGTTATTATGGCATCAGGGGGAAGCTGTATTGAAGGAGACAATAGAGGACGACATTCTTGCGAAAAGCCATTTTCATCTGTTAAAGTGGGGGAGCAATAAGCAGAGAACACAACTGAACACGGGGCCATGAGTGAAAGTTTAATGTCTGGCAAATCATGTCCTCTGATTTGCTCTGAGGATAGTTAATGTTTCTTACTTTACTTTTGGTTGTTTGCTGGTTGTTTTGTATCACAAAGTCTCACGAACTCAAGAAGATCCACAACGGAAATGATCTTCACCCTGTGGCAATTATAATAGTAAAGGATCAAGCAGCACAAATTGTCGACAGATTCTCCTCGGATGCAGACTTGTTTTGTCTTGTTTGGGCTTCATATCAATGCCCCTCCTAACTGCTCCACTAAAGAAAGAGGTCCGGAAGACGGTGGAATACAGAAGATATCTAGTCACTTTTTTAGGTGGAGAGTGTTATAATTTAGGATAATCACACTAAGAAAACCACAACAACTACAAGGTGTGTTCTCTCTCCTTTATGCACCAAGCATCATGGGTATGATGACGTATGAATGTATTACACTAATTTCCCCCACAAAGCAAAGTGGGGTTTCTTTTTCAACATAACTCAACAATAACAATCAGCAAATGAAAATACCTAGATGCTCAAAGGTTAAGTCTATCAACAGGTTTTTAAACTCTTTCGGATCTCCTCAAAACACATGGAGAGGCGGAGGCCTCATGACCTAAACAAATAGGTGCCATTGGCACAACTGGATTTGAGTTATCTGGTATCTGTGACAATTCTGAGGTTTTTTCAGGATTTTCCTCTTGCTCAGGCTGTTCATATGACTCGGGAACCATAACTTCAGCTTCCTCAACCTTATCAGGTGCATTGACACAAGCCCTTATCATGTGATCAGTGTGCACATAACGATTCCGATATCCTGTTTTAACAATATATGTTCTGGGACCACAGACTTTAACAACTGTCCCTGGAACCCACCTATCAACCTGAGATTTTGGTCTGGTGTTTCGTACACGCACTCTATCATATACTTGGAAAAATCTCTCTGCATCAACTTTAGGATCCTTATAAACTGCTTGCTTAGTTTGCTTGTGTTGAACAGCTTGTTCTAGATCAGATTTAACTAAGCTTAGCCCAGTTCTTAATTTACGTTTTACCATGAGTTCTGCTGAGGTCACACCAGTGGTGCTGTGAGGGGCTGTGCGATACCTAAACAAAAAATTGACCAATCTATGCTTCATGGATATTCTCTTGGTTCCCTCCAATACTTGCTTTATCAATGCTTCTTTCAACACTCTCATAGACCTCTCAGCTGCCCCATTAGATGGTGGATAATAGGGAAGGACCAAAGTGTGTTTTATTCCATTTTTAGGCATAAATTCAGAAAACTCATGGGACACAAATTGTGGACCATTGTCAGAGACTAGCTCTTCTGGTAAACCATGCTCTGCGAAGATCAACCGTAACTCATCAATTGTTTTATCAGCCGTGGTTGAGGTCATATGTTTGACCTCCATCCACTTGGAGTGGCTATCAACAACTAATAGAAAGTAATCAGCTTCTTTTTGACAGAAATCGACATGAATTCTCTGGAATGATTTTCTTGTCCATTTCCATGAAAGTAAAGGTGCACATGGTGGAGAAGTCCTAGTACTCTGACACACTGTACAAGAACCTCACTACATCCTCTATTTTCTTATCCATTTTGGGCCACCACACACATGAGCGTGCAATTGCTTTCATCCCGCACATCCCAGGGTGTTCCCAGTGCAACTCCTTCAACATTTTGACTCTTAGAGAGGGTGGGATGATTCCTCTTGAACCCCTAAGAATACAGCTTTGTTTACAGGACAACTCTAGCCTACGATTGTGATAAGGTTTTAGTGTTTCATCCTCACATATGTCTGGCCATCCAGACATAACAAAATGAAGGACATTGCTCATTGCTAGATCATGTTGGGTTTCTCTGGCAATGTATTTGGCTAAGATGGGAAAATCATCATCAACAGCACTTGCACGATAAATTGAAGCTTCACTAGCTAGATCAGAGCCTTTGTGTGGCAGTCGTGACAATGCATTATAGTTGGCATGATCTTCAGATCATTTGAATACAATCTCATAGTCATATGCTGACAAAACTAGGGCCCACCGCTGCATCCGGGCTGCAGCTAATGTGGGAATGGCCGACTTTGGTCCAAGAATTGACAGCAGAGGTTTGTGATCGGTGACCAAAGTAAACTTCCGCCCATATAAGAATTGATGAAACTTCCTTAACCCATAGATGATAGACAGTGCCTCACGCTCAATTTGGGCGTAATTACTTTCACTAGACGTTAAATTTCTTGAGGCATAAGCAACGGGCCTTTCCCTGCCGTCATCCATCTCATGACTTATGACAGCTCCAAGCCCATAACTGGAGGCATCACAGGCCAGCCTAAGCTCTCTAGTGACGTCATAGTGAACTAGCAGAGAGTCACTCGTAAGGCCTTCTTTACAGCCATCATAGGCGTTTTGGCACTCAGTAGTCCAAACCCATGCCTTTCCCTTCCTTAAAAGATCATGAAGGGATGCTAGAGAACTCGCTAGGTTTGGATGAAAGGAATGGTAATATTGGATCATTCCCAGGAATGACCATAACTTACTGACATCACGTGGTACTGGTGCTTTTCTAACTGATTCAAGTTTTTCTTCAACCGGCTGTAGTCCAGCTTCACTTATTCGTAGGCCAAGGTAAACTACATCTGTTTTCAGAAATTCGCATTTGGATAGCTTCAAGTGTACATTATATTTGTGCAAGCGTTCTAATACCTCTGAAAGGATTCTCAGATTTTCCTGAGAGTCCCCACCACCTATGAGAATATCATCTTGCTTGCAAACACACCTTTCTACACCCTGTAATATAAGGTCCATTTTTGCCTGGAAGAGTTTTGGGGAGGATCTAACCCCATAAGGAAGCTTGGTGTAAGAATACAGCCCCTTATGTGTATTTATGGTAAGGTATTCTTGGCTTTCTTTGTCAACACTAGGTTGAGCGTAAGCGTGCGACAAATCAAGTTTGCTAAAATCTTTGGAGCCACTAAGAGCATTGTACAAGTCTTGTGTAGTTGGAAGAGGGTATGGTTCATCCTCCACTGAATGGTTTATAGTGACCTTATAATCACCGCATATTCTGACTGATTTGTCAGCTTTGGGTTCTACTACTATTGGGCTTGCCCACACAGACCTCTCAACCTTCTTTATGACACCATTCTCCTCCAGCTTATCTAGCTCACGCTCAGCTGCATCTTTTTAAGGCATATGGCATTTTTCTGGGTTTAAAGAAAACAGGTTTTGGCCCTTTTCTAATAGTTATATGGGCTTCCAACCACTGAAGACCTTCATAACTATCCTCAAAGAGAAAATTGTGCTTTGAAATAAAGTTGTCAAGCTGACTTGTGTTTCCATGAGGTTCTGGGCTTTTAATCTGAAAGATGTTTTCCCAATCGAACTTAACACAACTAAGTTAATCCCTCCCAAGCAAAGTTGGTTTCCCTGTGTAATCTGCAACTAACTAGGGTAACGAGTAAGTTTGGCCCTTATATACCACATCACATCTCATTTCTCCACACACATTTACCAGCTCCCCCGTGTAGGTCTTAAGTATAGCGTTTGAAGGTGCAAGGGTGAAGTTACTGAATTTTAGTAAGTGCTCTTACTCAAAATTGAGCGATCTGCTGCAGTATCCACTTCCATCTCGCACATACAACCATTGAGTGACATGTTAACTTTGTACTTATCATTCTTCGACACAGTGGTTTCGACAGAAAATATACCCAGTTCATCATATTCATCATTACTTTGCATGTTTTGAATGCTACCCTTAGCCGAAAACGAGTTGGCTTTGTTTTCTTCACTTTTAGCACGACATACTGTGGCGATATGCCCTATTTTTGAACACTTAAAACATTTAGCATTTTTAAACTTACAACTATTATAGTTGTGTTTTCTTCCACATCTAAAACATGATTTGTTGGACGAGTTTTCCTTTGCGCTCATTTTCTCAGTTTTAAGTTGGTTAACAGTTCCTCTTTCACTTTCTCCTACGGCAGCAGCAGGGTGAAAGTCTTGTGAACTCTTCTCAGCCATCTCCATGGACTTTGCAATCCGACATGCTCGATCAAACGTAAGGTCTTCGGTATTCAGCAGCTTGTTTTGTACCTTGACATTGTTGAGACCACAAACAAATCGATCTCTCAGAGCTCTGTCCAGAAACAGTCTATAATTGCAGTGTATAGACAATTTCTTTAATGTAACAGTGAAGTCATTCACGGATTCACCTTGCTTTTGATTACGTGTGCCAAAGTGTAAACTTTCGGCAATCTCGAGTGGACGCGGATTGTAGTGTTTTTCCAGACATTCGATTATTTTGGTCAGTGGAATTTCCTTCGGTTTCATGGGCGCCACAAGGTTGCTTAGTGTAGAATAAACTTCTGGCCCAACTTCTGTGAGAAAAATTGCCCTTTGTCTTTCTTCGATCAGTTCGTTGGCCGCCTCTTGTCGTTCGCCCGCTCCTTCGACGATACCGTTTGCAGTGGAAGACATCTCAACTCTTTAAACATAGGCGCTGAACGTCTCTTTCTCAGGACTAAACTCCCCGACTTTACCAAAAGGTGCACTAGCAGCCATCCTTGTTGCCGGAAATGTTGTATTTTAGGATAATTACACTAAGAAAAGCACAACAACTACGAGGTGTGTTCTCTCTCCTTTATTCACCAAGCATCATGGGTATGATGACTTATGAATATATTACAGAGAGGAGAAATGCAGCAGGTGCCATAGCCTTCAGAGCGTAGCACAAGCGCCTTTGGAGCTATTAGTACATTTTAAATCAACGAAGATCAAGGTTTTCTCTGGAAAGAATTGAGTCCAGTACCGCTTATTCGGAAAGCCAATTTCCGGCAATACTTTCCTTCGTGATACTTATTATTTTTCGAATAACTAACTACAGAAAATCAGGAATAAAAATTTGAACATGTACTTACATGAACGACATGTTTTTGGTGTCTTTAAAAACTTCACGTGGCAGATGTTCAATGTTGTTGTCATAAACAGCCCTGTAAGAACCAAAAATCCCCCAAGTTTACCACTGCAGACCTTGTTACTTCGATTGAATATGCAGTGCAATTTTATGCATTTAACAATAAACGAATCGATAACAAAACGATCAAACGACTGTCATTACACAGAACATTCAGAGTCACGGAGGTCACGTGGTAAAAAGTGACGAATTCCTGGATTTCACCCACGTGACCAATACCTTAGCAACGGTTACTATCCGCCATCTTGGTGTCCCTCGAGCGTAAACAAACCGTATCTAACGAAGAGTTCATGTGAGAAAGAAGGGATGGTTTTATGCATTGTTGTTAGCTGTTCGAGCAAAAGTGGAAAGCATAAAGACTAAGGATTTTTTCGTATAATAATTTAATAATTTTATTATTTCTATAGCGCAAAATTCATTATATATATGATCTAATGCGCTATACCTAAGATCATCACAAATCAAGGGGAAGAACAGGAGGAACTAGAAGTTGTTGTATTGTTCGAGGCTTGCGGCTGTTGTAGATCCTCGATTTTTTGGTCGAGCTTTTCTTTGAGCTTCTTAGCCGATGAGAAATCGATGTCTTTAGCCCTCGCATACGGCACTTCATTGACCTATGTCGGCAAAATCCATGAGCATTTTACCTGAGTGCAAGTAAGCTTGGGGTGTCACGAAAACTCACACCCCGAAAACTCAGACAAAAGGATCATTCATATGCTGTGAATGCCAAACTCGTGCTCTCACGACATACTTGCCGGCGATTACTTTGCCTACAACTGAGGTTACAAATCCCGACACCATTTGATTAAACGCCTCTAGACTCTTGAACGCCTTGAACTGCTTCTTGGTGTAGAAGCTGGTCTCAAGAACGAGGTAACTCAGCAAGTCCGACACTTCCACAGGAGGCAAGCATTTTGGACTGAACTTCTCGGCTGGTATGCTTGCAGGGTCAACCCCGATGATCGAGATCTTTTGCAAACATCTTTCCTTCCACCTCTCTAAGCTTTCGGCATACTCAGAGAGCACTGGGATATCTTAAGATGATTGCCAGATACTTTTATCGCTTTTTTCTTTCTGGATATTCATGTAGTTAGCGAAATGATACGGCGATAAGAGAGAGGGCTTCACTATAGAAATCGACTAATTATTCATAAATTTGACACCCGAGGGACACCAACATTGCGGACACTAACTTCAGCAAAGCTTGTGACGTCACATGAAACCCAAGAATAGAGAACCCGGTAGTAACAAGTCTTCAAAGACACACAATCATCTCAATTGAATGAAAAGATTACAAAAAAAAAACTCTCATGTTGCAAGCCCTCCAATAGTTTTTATTGATTCCGGATATCTAATCAAATATAATAGCGATTTTAGAGACTGCTGACCTTAACACATCCAAAAGATAATGGAGAATAATTAAACTATTAGAAGCCCAGGTTTTTAATTTTCGGTGTCGAGATTTGAGCTTTTTAATCAGAACATCCCATGGTCAAATGCAAGAATCTCTTATTAGACTGATGATCATGTTTCTGTCGATCTATCAGAAGACTTGACATAAAACCAAAGTGTTAATCATACCAATAAGATGAGAACGTTTACTTACAGGTCTTTCAGTTTGGAAAGGCCATGGAACTGATCAGGGGAAAGAGCTTTGAGCCTGTTATTGTCCATGTATCTACATAATAAATGAAATAATGGGATACAGGATCATTCAAGCCATGCCAGTAATGTTGCAGTCATTGCCCAGGGTCATAAGTAATGTCAGTTTAAGATCGTGAAAGCATCATCAGACTTTAAAACTTGTTCTACCAAATCGATCGGAACCTCTCAGTAGCTGAATATTTATCCTTCTTTGCATCCGGATTGAAATATATTTTGGAACTTTTAAAAGTTATATTTTTTTTCATATACGAGGCCCCTATATTTACTCAGATTTCATTACAAACATGAATTACGTACAATGTCTCAATGTCGGAGAGATTTTTGAAATGTGGCAAACGCTGAATTTTGTTGTTGGAAAGAAAGCTGCAAGGAAAATAAAAAGTGAAAACTTAGAACAAATATGTTAGCTTTACAGATTCCTAAAAAGTTTCTTCTCCTTTCTGGATGATGCCCTCGTTGTTTTGAAAACAATTCCGAGTATTTTAAATATTGCGAGGCAAAATGATAGGACTGTCTTAACCTGACACATTTAACCAAAGTATATAAAATTTTTTCACCTGATTCCTAAGAATTAGGAAAAAAGTGCCATTTTTACACCCTCTGTAAAGTGTTGCAGGAACAACATCATGAACAGGTACATGTCGTGAAATATTGCTATAGAGCCAAACAGCTTAAATGCTGTAGTTGTTAGCCAAATTGCAAGGTGAAACAGGTCAATGTTGTGAAATATTGCTATAGAGCCAAACAGCTTAAATGCTCTAGTTGTTAGCCAAATTGCAAGGTGAAACATTTTTGTAAGACCGACTAAAACCAGAGACACTACGTTGAGAAAAAATTAACGCTAGAACTAGCTTTATTATTACATTTAAACCGCAAGCCACTTACACCTTTTTCAACTTAGTGAGGTTGCCGAAAACATCCAGGGGCAAACGCTCAATACCGTTGTATGACAAATCCCTTGAAACAGTAATTGGAATAAAGCTAGCTGTGAGAGATAATTCGTCACTTCTTCTTGAGAAAAAGAAAAACATTCTTCCGCCCTTCTCTCCCTCACCCTTTCAGTAGTTGCTTAGTCAGGATTAGGTCATCTGTTCAATTGGAAGCAAGGGAGCGTGATTTATCAACATGTGTTGCGCCTCTAAAATATGTCCTGAGAAATCATCAACTGTTGCAACGAATAAACACTAATGCAGAAGCAATTGGACTTCATGACCAAGTTGATTCCAAAAAATAATCGAGTCCATTTTTGTGAATTAGTAATCACAGAGCTCCTTGAATATTCTAAATGAAAAAAGAAAACTTGAAGTGCAATCTGAAAAGTGAAGGCAGAAAAAGGTGGAAAATGGGATACAATCTTAAACACTATTTAGATTAACATTATAACCGTTTGTTATTAAAAAGAGCTCCACTTACAATTTTTTTAGCTCAGTATTTGTGCTGAGAACACCTCTTGGCAACCTCTGCAACTGGTTGTAGGACAAGTCCCTGACAATAAGAGATTGTATAACTACTGGAAAATATGTTCATTACAAAACAGCATAAAAAAAAAAAAAAGAAATTGAACACACAGGATTGAAATTGAGCAAAGTTCGATTGCCGGTAGAATACGCCTACTCTCATGCAGCTCTTTCTAAGGAGATCTGTAAAATAATTTACCCCCACCTGGCGGGGAGGATAAATCAGATGAGAATAAGGAGCAATTACACGGCACATTACAAGAACGTTTATTTCACTCCTAAACTGACGATTTGTACAAGTGATTTACGAAAACATAGTTACAGTTCCTCCAAAACGGTCAATCCATGAAATATGTTGCGAGGTAGTGTTTCTAGACGGTTGCCAACCAAACGTCTGCATAAATTTTGAAAACGAGAAAAGGGTTTAAATAAAGAAACATTCAACATGCCTTTTTGCTCAACAGATACAACGCTGGCCAAACGCGAAAAACAATGAGAACCAAGCCTCAAAGTGATCATTATAAGTAGATACATTTAAAGGAGTTGCACAGTGTAAAGCCTGAAAAGTTACAAACATGACCAACAACAGGACAATCACAACAACAGGACCCCTTTGTAATCCCTTCTCATATTCCATTTGATCCGAAACTGATACTTGAGCCAGCGGTTCAAAGAAGTACGTTCTTCAAAAAATTATTGCTCAATGTAACCCAGAGACTTTTGACCAAATGACGGTATTTTGTGACTAGGATCAACTGTATTTAGGAAGTTCTTCTGCCTCTCTTATGTGCCCTCGTCAGCAGCCAAAGAGAGCAGGACAACTGACTTTCGAGTGAAAATTTTTGAAAGAAAGTTATTACTCACAGATATTTTAACAGATTTTGCCCGGCAAACAGATCTTCAGGTAATGTCTTTAAGTTGTTGTTTCCCATCCAGCTGTCCAATAAAACGTGTCAAAAGAATTTCATCAATTGTATAAAATGAAGGGAATTAAGATAGAGAGCGGGATTCTAAATCATCTGGCTCTTTCCTAATTGCTATTTCAGTGAACAACGAAAGGTCTAGGCTCGATTTCCGCCGCTCTCTCGGGTCCGGTCTTTTTCGTTCCTCTCCGAGAAGAGACGGCTGGACGCATGAGCGGCCAACCATGTCTGTGACTTAATTTGAAAAAATTAATCTATGCGCTCTCAGGTGTCACCGGAAATGAAAGAGGACTCCAATTCGAATGGATGGCGTACATATAACCGCTGATACGCGGATTAAATTTAACTCGAGAACTGGATGTGAGTGAATAGAACGAAGCGCGGACGTGCCCTCCGATTCCGCAATTTCACCAAGTGTTGCCGCGCTGTCATATCTCTTCGTCACGCAGCAGATCAAGGAAGAGTTAAGGCCGCGAAAAGACTATCATTTCCAACTAATTTAGAACTGCACTTTCAAGTTGAAAATAAAACTACACCGAGAAATATTATGGGATTCTTTCAAAGGGTCTCCAATAGAGTGGTTTCTCTCCACTTTCTGTAGTTTAGTAAACTGCTTGCTTGTATTTGAAATAATCACAAATCAGGCTTAAAGTTGTTGTGACAAAAAATTACTGAAAAGCCTTATTTGTCAAGGCTTTAAGTGCAGACTGATTTCCATAACTTGGTGTGATTTTACTCAAAGTTTGAACCCCTTCGTTCTTTATTAAATCTAAGTTTTAAAAGCAACAATAAACACTACACAGGCATCTTATCCTGTTTAATTTTCATTTCTCTCACCCATGGCTCGAAATGTTCCATCGTGCATGAAAGCCTTGTGCTATTTAGGTTTAAGTGCTATTAAAAGGACTACTAATCCTTGAATAATATACGAAACGCGCTTCGAATATAGCTCCGCTCACCAATGAGAAATGCAGTCAGCCTCGTCAATTGCAATCAGACATAACTTCTCTTTGGAGAGGCATGTACCGCTATCGTTTAGTTGACAGAAACGCCTTGGGTGAACTGCACACGATTTGGCGCTCTCCACTTTCTATGAGTTAAATGGTCTCTTAACTCGTTTGTTCGTCTCAAATAAACTTTACTGTACTTCCCACAGATTTAAGAAATCGAACTTGATCTTCCAAAAGTGAACCCATAGGAGAAATGACAGGAGCGATTGACTTCGTATTTAACAAAGGTCTCATATGATATCACCGCGTCAAAAACAATCGGAGCGGGCTGAAAAACTGTCTAACCGTTGGTTGGAATCTCGAAGACATGCTGGCCGCTAACCAGTTTCTCTAGAGCTTCTGGTTGTAAATCTGTCAAACTGTCGATCGCATGTCACATTCGTCATTTTGTCATCGTCCACCACTTTGAAAATTTTGTCTGACAAGATAATTTATGCGGCCTTACAAAAATCTGCAGGCGAAATTCTGATTGGCTATGAACAACAAAACAACGTCCAGCCGTCGCTTCGGGGAGGAGCGCGGGCTCCCGTTCCCGAACAGCGGCTGGTAATCGAGCTTACGAAAGGTCTAGAATTTAAATGCACTCATCGACGGCATGAGGGTTTCTTGATTTTCAAAATAAATCATTAGATTTTGATGCATAAATGCATTTATTAATTGGTTTTCTAGAGTCTGGGAAGCCCGAGAAATCTACCATCTGGATATTTGATCAGCCCAGTCGTTCTATAAGGATGCCGTACTTTATCTTGTTATGATTTGGTATCAATTTAATTATAATCCAGTAAATGCTGACAGATGAAAATCGAGATGAAAGGAAGCGATGCTCAAACCACTGGTAAATTAGGGGAAGGGAGTGGACACCCATACCCAGAAATCATCCATTACTTTTTTTTTAATGATTTTTCACTGATTCTTTTCAGCAGTTACATTTTTCAAATGTTTATATGTTATTTGCGGTGTTACTCATGATTGACAAAATCGAAAAGGGTTTGAGTTAGAAAGGATCTATGAAGTTATAGAGGAAGTAACCGGAAAGAAAACACTTCCGAATGATTTAGTGGATACTTGGTCGACTGGGAACAGTGAAACCTAGCTCAGATAAAGGGGGGTCATTGATGTGACCCATTTATTCAGAGCCTTTATGGTGAGCTTCAGAGAAATATTTACTCACAGATCAAATAACTTATGGGCTATGAACACATCCGGTGGCAGTGTCTCCAATTTGTTGAAGTCCAGGGTTCTGTGTTAGAAAATAAATTATTAATTTTGCAGATTGTCTGCAGTTTTTCACCCTATTTGAAATTTTCTCCGAGATTAAATTTTGCTAAACAAAACAGCCGCGTTAGTAAACCCAACCCTGAGGTTTATTTTCGCTTAAAACATGTCCTGTCATTTTTGTCAACCTTATTCTTAACAGTTAAGCGCAGAACACAGCGTATAGCGCATTTTTAAGTTGTTGGTGAACATACAAATTACCCGGGATTACTTTTTGAGATCACATCAAGTTTAAACTTCAAAAGGCTGCCTAGATTAATTCTCACGTTTAGATGTTATAAAAGGGCACCAATTCATATATTTTTCAAGAGTATTAGTTTCCTTTGATTAAAAACTCTTTAGGAGGTTAAGTTGATAGGGTTTTTTTGGTATCAGTGCACGCTCATGATGCATTTTAAGTAATTTTGGTGGGGTAATTCTCAGGTGAGGCCCACTTAGCAAGATGCACTTTTCCAAGGCTACCAAATAGATGCTGCATAGTTTGAAGTTGATATCAGTTTACTGTGCAAAAGTTAAGTTTTGAACGCGCCATACTTACAAGTTTTGAAATTTGCTCAACCATGAAACCCGAAAGAGAGGAAGTTGACCAGAAGAGAAATTAGTTAACTTGTTGTTGTTCAAGAATCTGCAAGGTCATCAAAAACAAAACCTGTTACGGGCAACGTTGTCGAGTCTATTTTTTAGGTGTTACTGAATTGGAAGAAGAAGGCAATCATGATAAGAGCGTTCACTTTGCTGACTGCCACATGCAAAAATTGTAGGCACTGAAGGTAGTGATTTTGTTTCTGTGGGTATGAGCTTGTAATAATATTTGCGATAGTCATTGAATTGAAGATATCACTGATAACATTCCTTCCAATTTGAAGAAACCTTTTGTATAATTCATTAGGCAATCCTACAATATGATCTCAATTATATCCCATAACGGAAAACCTTTTGGGGGATGCTTAGCACTTTGCTAAAAAAAAAGAAATCATCCAGAGAGCGGGACCACACTAAAAAATTGGAAAAAATGTCCTTTTAACACATATGAACAAAAGGTTATTTCACATGTGGGTGTATTAAAGTTTGAACATGTGTTGTACCGAGTTCTGATAGGGAATTGAAAAGTTATAAAATTCCTGAACTTGAGTGCTGCTGCCATCAAATAACTTACTTGTATACAATACATAGAAGTTCTACTTACAGCTCTTCAAGATAATCATTACGAAAGAAAACTGCTGAAGGTAATTGCTCTAGTAGGTTGTAAGACAGATCACTGCAAAAGCGGAAACATCCACACGTGAAATTTATGTAAAAGATGGTAACATCGGGGGAAGTCACACCAACAGTAAAATCCACATTTATTGATATTATCAGTTCACCGATTTTCATTTGAGGCAAAATTATGTCCAAAAAGATTACTAATCAACAAGTTAGTGAATAATGAAAACTAAGTAATGGGAATGTGTCAGTGTTGCATTTCAAATAACGACCAAGATGACAAAAAATACATTAATTAATACAGAGAATAAAATAATCATGTTAAGTAACAAGAAAAACCAAAATTTATGGGACGTCCACTGAAAGACCAATAGACATGATGGCGGTTACTTACAGAGTTAATAAGTGGCAAAGCGGATCAAAGACTCCTGAGGAGAAGTTCTTTAACTGATTGTTTGATACGTCCCTGTTTACGTTAAACGATAAACAAAAGCTTTAAAGTGCCAGATAATCTGAGATCATCCTTTTGAAAGCTTTCGTTTTCCAACGCCCGGCTGACTCTTTCCTTTGAAAGACAGAATTTCTATACTGGATCAATTTCACCTACTCTATTACATATAGTGGTATGTGATTAAGACCTCAACTACATGGAAATGTTTCATTTCCCAGCCTGCATATTATCCCTGAAGCCGGGTCGCCTGTGGAGCAAGGGAAACCCATAGTCAGGCTCGTTAAATAACCAGTTGCGACCGTGTTCATAATAAAGTAAATCCTATGTTTTGATAGGTTACCCTAGCGGGAAAGATGGGTGATATAAACTACTTTGGAAACAGTAAATTATATTACTACTGCTACTCTGGGGACTTGAAAAGGAATGTTTTATGTCAGCTCAGGCTCTAATCAGGTTCCTCCAGGCTTCTCTGTCTTTTGTTCCCTGCTTCCATGTACCTTCTGCAATGTTCTTCTGCTTCGGGTTTCTTGCGCGGTGTCCTTGAATCGAAACCTAGGCCTTGCCTGGTTTCTCTTGCCTTCTCGAAGTTGGGAGTACAGCAACTGCCTAGGTAATTTCGCAAAATTCCCTCCTCCTTACGTCGCCGACTCATCTCAGTTCATCTGGGTTAATATTTCAGCCATAGATAGGAGACCTGCACTCTTTAAAATATTTTTGTTTGTGATTTTGTCTGTCCAAGAGATAGTCATTATCCCACTTAGTTTGCTCATGATACATTTAGGATCTTCACTTGTGGCAGGTAAATGGTCCAAGTTTCGGTACCATCGAGGAATGTACGTGGTAAGCATAACAGCTTACATTTACTTCTGGTGATGACATTTCCCCCAATTTCTCCTTATTCTTTCCTGAAGTTTCCCATTCGCAACACTAGCCTTACCCATTCCCATAGTGATTCCCTAATCGAGTCTTGGCCTCTCTGAGACTTTACTGTAACGATAGATAAAATGCTTATATCTTATACATTGTGAACGGTTAGTTTTTGACCTTAATCGCTGTCGGCATAGCATCAGTCAAGAATTCATGCGGTTGGTATAAACAGCTCTGTTCTTTGGGCTAAACTATGATGCAGCTTTGGCGAGTTTGTGAACGACAATTTTTATATGCAAAGGGTTGTGTGATTAAAGAGCGCTTTCGTCATCGAGCAACAAATCTCTGACGGCTTTCAGGCTAATCATGGTATTTAGATTTCAAGCTTCCTGGTTCGAATGTAAACTCCTTCTCTGGTGTCTTTGACGGCCACTTCCAGCAAAGCTGTCTGATAAAACAAGAACAGGGTGGGCGTCATCACAACCTTGTTTCACGCCATTGGTGAATTGAAAGTCTTTAGTGCTGGTGTTGCATATGTTGATATGTTATTGGGACAGGCATATTTCTTGCGAACAGACCACGAGCCTTGGCGGGACACATTGTCAAAGGCTTTCCGGAAGTCGATGAACACTATGTAAAGGAGGCAGGTTGCGTTCGATACATTTTTCCTCTCCTGCATCTGACGTAGGCAGAAAATCACGATCATTGTGCTCCCGCCACTCTTGAAGCCACACTGAATCTGGTCGTATTTTGTGATGTTATGTGTAAGTTGAGTCTGTTTAAGAGGATACGCTAGAGCATTTTGTTGATAATTAAGAATAGAGATAGACTACGATAGTTCCCACAATTCTTCCTATTGCCTCCTTGAATATAGTACTATTTTAGTGGCTTTCCATCCTTGTGGAACATCTTCACACCTCCAGATTTGCAGTGTTATTATGTGAAGCCGAAATGCATTCCTTGATTGCTGACAGAGGTTTTTCAACCGTAGGCTCCTCCTCTAACTCGATAACTATAGGTCTCTCTTTGTTCTTCTTCTGCTGCTGTATCCAAGGGCCCTGGTACATTGAGTAGTTGGTTGAAGTGGTCAGAAAATCTGTCCAGTAGTCCTTCTTTCTCTTGCAGAAGTGTCAACCAATTTGCTGCAATGAAATGTGTGCTGCCCATTTTTTTAGAGCTGCGTCTTTCGCAGGCCTTGGTGGAATGCTTTCATATCATTCATGTCTGCCACCAGCTGGATTTTTGCACGAATAAAAATTTCTAATAAAACCTTATATCTTTTTACTACATTCAAGCANACATTGTCAAAGGGTTTCCGAAAGTCGATGAACACTATGTAAAGGAGGCAGGTTGCGTTCGATACATTTTTCCTTTCCTGCATCTGACGTAGGTAGAAAATCACGATCATTGTGCTCCCGCCACTCTTGAAGCCACACTGAATCTGGTCGTATTTTGTGATGTTATGTGCAAGTTGAGTCTGTTTAAGAGGATACGCGAGAGCATTTTGTTGATAATTAAGAGTAGAGATAGACCACGATAGTTCCCACAATTCTTCCTATTGCCTTCTTGAATATAGTACTATTTTAGTGGCTTTCCATCCTTGTGGAACATCTTCACACCTCCAGATTTGCAGTGTTAGTATGTGAAGCCGAAATGCATTCCTTGATTGCTGACAGAAGTTTTTCAACCGTAGGCTCCTCCTCTAACTCGATAACTATAGGTCTCTCTTTGTTCTTCTTTTGCTGCTTTATCCAAGGGCCCTGATACATTGAGTAGTTGGTTGAAGTGGTCAGAAAATCTGTCCAGTAGTCCTTCTTTCTCTTGCAGAAGTGTCAACCCATTTGCTGCAATGAAATGTGTGCTGCCCATTTTTTTAGAGCTGCCTCTCTCGCAGGCCTTGGTGGAATGCTTCCATATCATTCATATCTGCCACCAGCTGGATTTTTGCACGAATACAAATCTCTAATAAAACTTTGTATCTTTTTACTACATTCAAGCAACTTTTAATATCGGATTAAATTCCATATCACGACTTGATTTAGAATAATTTGACTAAGAATTTATTAGAAACAGATATTGTTTCCACAACTTTCGAGAACGTTTATCTTCATTTGAGTCACCGAAGGAATGTGCCTCGAAACTAGATATTGTTACTTAGCGTTTAGGCTTTTCATGAAGTCAATATTCCTTTCCTTTTTTCCTTTCTTCTTTTGTCCTTTTCACTTTTTTAACCAACCGACGCAATCTCTGAGAGGGAGTGCATTTGGGAAAAAAGGTTTGTGGCACTAGGACCGCTCATATTCCGCATAGATTCCGTAACTCTGGGAAGCCTGTTGTATATGGTGTCAGCTTTGAGGTTACTATCTCTTGGTACCATGAAACTTTGATCTTTGCTGCTAATGTTTTAGATCATCACATTTAATGGGGTTGTTCCTGGTTGAAGTTGCCTTCAATAGGTAGTTCCTGACGCCTTTGGGACACTAATATCTCTATGGGCCAGTATAGCTCTGCACTTTTGGAATTTAGCATGGTGCTCTTTATGATTTTTACAGTGGACTCTTACTGAACTTCAACTTTCACGAAGGAAGTATTTACAACACGTTTGCGAAAATGCAAATTGAAACTACAGAAGACAATCAGTAGTCATCGATGACTTGCCAGAGGAGAGAAATTTTCGGCGGCTAATCAGTTACTGAGAACAGAGAAGCTCTGAGAACTGAGAAGTTCGTCGCCTGTCATCTTAAGGGACAGGGAAATATAGGACTGAATGAAGGATCGGTGGGTTTCCTTGGTTCAAGCACCTTAAGGCCCTGTCTGGTGATCAATCGAACATAAGGAATGCAAAGAAGCGCTTTATGTAAACAAAAGATGTACAGATGGCATTTTTAAATATGAGATTGCTCGCGTCAGTAGAATTAAATTTGTATCTAGAGAACTACTTACAGCTTATAAAGTGCACTCAAGTTATTAAAAACTCCTGGCGGTAATGTCTCAATCAGATTTTCTGAAAAGTCCCTGTAAACAATAGAGGGAATAGCAGAA